AGAGATCGGCCAAGGGATGACAGAAGGGACTACTATGGCGGCCAGAATAACCAAGCTCCACCTCCGCCACCAGGAGGCGCTGCACCACCATGGCAACAGAACGGTTCAGGTTATCCAGCTGCTAATGCTGGAGGGTATGGTGGTTATGCTGCTCCAGGTTACAGTGGCGGTGGTTATCCAGCTGCACCCCCTCCCGGCCTCGCTGCCCCCCCTGGTCTAAGCAGTGCTGGTATCAGTGCACTATTGCAACAATTCTCTGGTTCAGCCCCGCCACCACCTCCTCCATCTTCGAGCGCTCCACCTCCTCCACCACCTGGTTCAGCTCCTCCACCTCCTCCTCCCAGTGACCAACCGCCTCCACCGCCTCCTTCGTAAACAAGGTGTTTTCAATGTCAAAGTCATGTTCCTGGACGGATAACGGATGTCTAGGTATTGCCGCAGTGCTACTAACATAGAAGACTTTCGTTGCAGACCCTTACTGATTAATCGGTGCTTGGTATGGCATCCACATTCCTTTTTCCTTAACTTGTATTTTAGAAATTGATTTTGTTACTCCCGAGTACTTCGTCTATCTGTTCCAATCTTAAAGGCTTGCTGCATGATCAGAGCGAGTACTCAACTTAACATGTTCTGTGATTACGCTAGCTACGCCTTTGACGACAATGCACGTGCCACGGCGCTGTTTCTCCTTCTTATACTTGGTCACAAAACACGGAGCGCCGACTTTCTCTTTGCTACATGTCCAGTAATACTTGGCTAATCAAACTAGTTTGCTACGGGGATTTATTCTATAGAAAGTTTTTATTCCAGATTCTCTCAATTTCCAATCAGTATCCACCACAACGCTTGAAAACCTTACTTCTTCCCCTTCTTTGTCTTTTTGGCCACAGGCAAATCCTTAAGCTCACCCCCATCAGCAGGTTTACCTCTTTTGCCTTTCCCTACCCGGCCTTTCAACTCCTCGCTCTTTTCCCCCTTTACACTCGCACCCTCATTCTTCCCGTTCACGACCTCACCCTCACCTCCACCCCCCTTCTTCCTCTTCACCTTCTCCTTCACGTCCTCCTCCTCCCCCTTCAACTCAAGCTTCCCTCCTCTCGCCCTCCCCGACCTTCTCACCCCCTTCCCGCTCTCCTCGACCTCGATTTTCTTCACAATCTTATTCTTCCACCCCTCCTTCTCCCATTCTTCTTGTTGGGCGAGCGCGGGGTCTTTCCGTTTTGGTCCGCGTGGACCTCGCGGTTTGCGGTTCGCTTCGCGGATGCGTTCGCGGCGGGCTTGCCAGGTTTCTTCGGAGCCTATTTTGGAAAGGAGTATTAGTTTCTCGGGTTTGGGATCAGGAGGGGATGGGAAGGGAGGGGAGGAGGAGGGGAGACGCACTTATTCTGAGATCTTCCTGGAGCCGAGAGATTTGATCTTGTAGGTCTGAGATCAGGCTTCTCAAGAGCGTTACTTCCTCGTTATGATCTCTCCCATCTTGCAAACTAGCGATTTCCTTCTCCTTATTCTCGATAGTAGTACGCAGACCAACGATCGTCTTTTCGAGCGATTGGATCGTATTTTGCAGGTCTGAAAGTCTATCGTCTTCGTCGTCTTCTTCGGCTTCTGGGGATGTGTCTGGGACTGGTGGAGATGGGTCGATACTGGTGAGAAGGTCGATTTCCTGTTGAGCTGTACGGAGATCGGCGTTTGCTGTGTCTAGTTGCTGTTTGAGCTCTTCATACTCCACAGCGGTTTGGGCGATAATCCTGTTGAGCTGAGATATCTCATGCTTGTGCTCGAAAGTGCACTCTGCATTCTCCAGCTCCTCTTTCAAAGCATCGATCTGCTCTGTTTGTTCATCGATCTTGAGTTCGTAGTCAACGATCGATTCGGAATTCCTGTCGGCCAGGTCGTCTAATCGTTTCACCTCCACTTTCATGCCTTTGATGTTTTGTCTGAGCTCTTGGATTTCGAGTCGATATGAATTGAACTTTTTCTTGACCACTTCGGTGTGATCGCCTTGGGTTGGATCGACTCCAGCAGAAGCCAATTGCTGTTCTAAAGTTTTGATTCTCTCTCGAAGTTTGTCGGCGTTCTTGATTAGAGCACCAACGGTTTGTAAAACGAGCTTGTTTCCTTCTTGTGAGTCTGTTGCTTGTTTACTGAATCCATCACGAGAGGTAGCATTATCCAGTGTGTCGAGAATTTCAATGATTGCACGAGTGTTGTAATCATTGTCCAAAGACAGCTTGAGATAGTTCTCAGCTTCCAGCACACTCAGCCCTTCTGAAGCGGCTGCTTGGGATTCGCCATTGTTGAGACGTTTTGTAAGGTCTTGAATGACTTTTTGATTATCTGCGAGCTTATTTTCCTGTTCCTGATTCTGTAACCGCAAGAACTGAAGTCTTTGGTCATGAATCAAAGTCACTTCCGCGTCGATAGAATTTCGACGGAATGCACTGCTCGGCGGAAGAGCACCGGGCTGCGCTGCAGACTCGAGAGATGTGAGAACAGTATCTAGTTCGTCAATGAGAACTGAAATTTCTCGACTCCATTCTGGAAGCTTTGCTGCCTCTCGGTCTTTTCGAACGTCGTCTTCGTCCTCCTCGTCATCCGGGTCATAAGGCTTGATCGGGGCGGCAAGTCGACTGTTGATTTTCTCCAGTCGATCTACCGAAGCGCCAACTAACGTCTGAAATGAAGCGATCGTTTCTCGGGCTTCGTCTAGAGTAATATCTTCGTCTTCAGCCATAAGTTTCGCATTCTGCAAATATTGAAGATTCTCCATCTGTGCCTGCGTACGTTGCGCACGCAAATGACGGGCTCGAGTCTGGTAATTCGCAGAACGCTGTCTTTCATGTTCCAGTAGGGTAGCCGTCGCTGCTAAAGCTGCAGTGCGGTGGGCATCGAACTCAAGCAAGTTATCCAGCAGCAATTCGATATTCTCTGGCCCTTCCGCATCTTGGGAGAGTGTCTCTGCAAACCTTTGAATTGCTTGGATGTTCTTCTCCTGGCTCTCGTACGCGTCTTTTGCTGCTGCTACAACTTCTCGTGTTTTATCGTCGTCAGCTTGGAAGTTTTCATATTCGGCTAGCTTGGCCTCAAGCTCTCGGATTCGTTCTGCATCCCCCATTTTGGGAGAAACAATTTCTTAATATCAACACAACACAAGTTCCTGGCCTGAGGTAGTGTTGAAGATTTTTGACTGTTTCCTCGTCGCCCGAACTACTAAACTGCAAGTTCAAGGTTTCAATGCTGGAAAATAAAGTTCTTTTTCAAAAAGAAATGTTGCAATAAACATGCTCGGAAGTGTACGGAGGTGCAATGACAACACGCAAGGTAGTCTTCGATTTCCCTCTCAGCTTTCTTTCAGTCTTTGTGTCTTAGATTAAGCTCATCCAAAAACATACGAAATAAAGTTGTTTGCGGCTTGGGATGAAAAGTCGAGGATTCTTTGTTGATTGTCGTGTTACCAACATCGTTCTCGAGCTTACGACTAGAACAAAGAAAGATTGTGTAAAGAAGACTTTTCAAAACACAACTTCGAGAACTAATTGCTGAATTGATATATTCCTCAAAGCATCCCCTACTGATCCTAACAAACTGCTTCCTCGAGACTGGCACGTACATTCAATGCCATGTCTTTAGTCGCATGGCTATCGAGGAGCTTTACAGGCACGAAACCTGCAAGCAATAGGACGAACATATGTCCAAGAGGTTGATTGATGATTTGTCAGTACATTGTCGTAGATCGGCACATTTGTTTCGAGTAAAGGGAAAAAGACACCGTCCGAGTATTGACATTCAAATATTGGAAATATTGAAGAATGCGATGGGAAAGAAGGCTCAAGGAAATCTGTTATCGCCCATGTAGCTCGAACCATACGATGAGTAAACTCAGAAACCGGACCGTTGATTGTAGAGCAAGCGACAGAGCCTATGATGTTAATGTCGCGTATAGGAGCCTTGTGGTTGAGAAAGAATGTCCTTGGCAACCCTGCTTCTCGTCTCGTGGACAGTGCCTTATACTATAAATATAATCGTACAGCAGGATACTAGATTATAATTATGTAAATTATTTTATGACGCTAATTCTTGTCAATTGCAGTATAACCTTAAAAACGTCAATTCGTTAATCGATTCAAACGGGGCCAAGCCATAGATTTTACGATCTCAAAGCACAGCATGGAACTCACACTCAATACCCCCCTCGCTACATTCACGATTCTACCAGCTTCCTGGAAGCTATCACACGCTCGTTTTAGTAAAATGAAATTTTCCTCGGTCTGGGTCTCAGTCGATAAATTGGTATCCATCTGACTCGACGGTGCAGTTATAAGTGCGAATCTTGTTTTATACAGAGAAAAGAAATCTTGCACAAGGGCGACGTAATAGGCAAAAGGGGTTCATGTCTTCATAAGAGGTTAGTATTGAAAAGATCAACCCTTGCTGGTGAGAAACCTACTTACGGTCTGTCTCGGACTTGCTGGGCAGCGCGAAGACTACGATAACCCCCAATCAGGGTCACAAGCACGATCGATCGTGACAAATGGAAGCTTGCTCAAGACAGGCATTTCAAGATATTATCACTCTCTCGTGTGAAAACGGGCTGGATTGATTCCAAACATCTTCTTCGAGATATATCGGATTTCCTTGTACCTGGTAAGCAATTCCAATTATTCGATGACCTTCACCCCAGATATACGCTGACGGGTTCATCCTTGGAAATAGCCACGATATAGACGACTCATATCAGATCTTGGACGCCTACATGAGATGTCTCGATCAAGGAAACAACCGGTTGAAGTTGAACTCAGATATCGGGGTATTCTAGGCTCTTGATACAGTTTATTTGACGAAAAGAGCTTCGTGGAAAGGGGTGAGTACCTAATAGCATATAGTGACAAACCGCCGGGTCCTGAATAGTGGTTGGGATTTCGAGTAAGGCCCATTACAGAACAGTGACCAAATTTGAAATCAATGTTTTGGTAGCATTTCTATAGCTGTCAATAGCTTGCTGCCTAGACTGACATATGACCAAAACTAAATACTGTACATACGATTGTGGACTTTGAGAGTTCTCTGGGTCATCTGAACACTATCACCACATGATGCAATACGTCATGATAATACTGTAGGTTCTGTGTTTTAAATCATATAGTCTTTGCTATTCTGGTTCAGAAAAGCCCGATGCTTGTTTGTTAATCCCCCGAGCCCATAAAGGCATTTCGGAGGCACTGCAGCCCCCTCACCACAGTGTAACGTTATGATGCGTGTTGCAACCACAATCAAAACAGACATGATCTACCACATTTAATGAACGCATTCGAGGACAAGCTTCTTGGATCTCTTTTGAATACAACGGTTACATCGAAAAGTAAGCTAAAGCGGAGTTCGACTTGGTTTCAGTTCTGGTAACTTCGTTGCAGAAGTTGAATTACTGCATGCCTGATGATCACTTCCTGATCAAACCCGCAAGAGTCGGACATCCGATTTTGTAAAGGCAGTTTTGGATTTGCTCTCTTTCACTTTTTGGAGATGTTACTGATGGAATACTAATAAAAGCCATCGTCGCATCAAGTAAGTCTGGTTTTTTTCGTACACAGTAAAATTATTTTTAAAATTTCCATGATGCCTCACATTTCTACGCCGCTGGGTTCAACTGCATTGGCCGCGTGTGCAAATATTCGCTCGGCAGTGCAAGCAGATGTCTATTCCCTACCTGCGGCTATTTTGAGCCCAGAATATCTCTACGCCAAAACTCACTATTGGTCCGCCGCCAACGCAGATAGAACCCCGGCATGCGTCGTCTTTCCCACCACTGCAAAAGAAGTCTCGGAAATTGTTCAGGTTTTGCTTGGGTTCCCAGATGTCCCGTTTGCGATTAAATCCGGAGGACATAACTCCAACACGGGATTTGCAAGTACGGACGGAGGGGTACTAATCTCGTTCAAGAATTGGAACACCACAACCCTCTCTGACGATGGAGAAGTAGCCAATGTTCCTCCTGGAGCACGGTGGGTGAAAGTGATGACTGATTTAGAACCACATGGGAAAGCTGTCGTCGGAGGTCGCATTGGTACGATTCGTGACAAGGAGAGCTCAGATTCAACTAACTGAGCGTTATAGGTGATGTTGGAGTGGGATTGCTTCTTGGCGGAGGTCTTAGTTTCCTAAGTACATCCTACGGGATGGCTGCAGATACAGTTGTGGAATACGAAGTTGTACTTGCCAATGCTACAATTATCAATGCCAATGCCAAAAACAATTCGGACATTTTCTGGGCGCTGAAAGGGGGTGGAAATCAGTTCGGTTAGCTAGAAGACCCCCAATCGTAGCATTTCACTGACCTTTACAGGGATCGTCACTAAATACACTATGAAAGCAATCACACTTGGACAGGTATGCTTGAAGATTTCATTTTTTGCTGGTTACGCTAATATCAACAGGTTTGGGGAGGGGTGAGAATATATTCAGCTATTTATGCGAAGCAATTGCTTGAAGCAACCCAACACTGGACCGAAAACTTCAACGATCCCAAAGGCAGCATCATTGTGACCGGGGACATCGCAGCCGATAGTGTCGTCGACATCTTTGTTGTTTTTCTGTTCTACGCTGAACCTTCTCCTCCAGTTGGAGTCTTTGACAAATTTAATTCTATACCATGGATAAGTGACACAACGAGAACGCAATCGTTCAGTTCTTTGGTGAGCCCAAAATCCCCAAGATCTGTTTCTTTTCAACCCCTACTTATCCCGTATTAGCTTGATGGAAACAGCCAATTGTCAAGTATCTACGGCCTCCGCTGGTTTGTTCGTGTAGGTGACCCTCTATCGAGTAAGCATTCCACTAGACTAACATTTCAAGGGGGCTACGGTTCCGAATCTACCAGGACAAAACGGCACAGACCTATACATCTCAGCCTACAACCTTTTCAAAAGTTATCTTACGAACCAAGGTCTCGAAAGACTAAACCAACTAGGTTTCGTCTTCAGCTTGGCTTTTCAACCATTCCCCTACGTTATCCCAGCCGCTGGTCTTATCCAAAACCCAGGAGGCACCCCCATGAATTTAGATGCTGCCAATGGAGACAAGATGTTATTACAGTATTCGATTTCCTGGCCTACAAACATCAGCGACGCGAAAGCGCTTGAGATTATATCCGCACAAACCCCGCTTCTGGAAACACTCCTGGACACGGAGTTTGCAGGGCAGAAAAGCAGTCATTACGTCGAAGGGAGCGACAACACTGACGATGGTAATTCGTGGGTGTTCTTTAATGATGCTATGTATGACCAAAATCCGTTACAGAGCTACGGCGGGGATAGTTACAATAGGCTAAAGGTAATCCAGAGGAGGGCTGATCCGCTGGGATTCTTTCCTAGTAGAACAGGGGGATTTAAGTATATATAAGACAATAGGTAAACTTAACAATTTAGTATTTATAGATAGAGATAGCGAAGAGAAGATAGTAGGGACCTTTTCCCTTAGAGCTTCCTAGACCTATTACTATAGATAGAATAAATAGAGAAAGTATATAGGTCTACTAAGGAAACTAAAACACGTTTCTTACTAGCTAGCTAGCTAAATATACTTAATTTACTATTTATAGATCGTCTATCTCTTAATTTAGAACATATTTAGAGTAATAATTATATTCTTATAGAAATGCTTTTCTTTTTCCTTTTAGATTTAATTATCATTTCCTTTTTATACTAACTACAGTAGTACGGCCCGCACGGGTAGAATTACTAATAGTTAAATAACTATTCTAACCTAATCTTTATCCTAGATTGAAACCAAACTTAGTCGTTTATCGGAAGAGTAGTATTAGCTCTCAAATCCGCACTCGAGCTTCCCACGTATATAATAAAGTCACCAGGCTCAACTACGTATTTCATCTTAATATTCCAAAGCCCCAAGTCTGTAACCGCAAGAGTAATTTGCACCGTTTTCGTTGCACCCGCTGCGATAACGACTTTTGCGAATCCTTTCAGCTGGATGTTGGGTACGACTACACTTGCAATCACGTCTCGGACATACAATTGGACAACTTCGGTACCGTCGCGAGTTGAGTTGTTGGTGACTTGGACAGAAACAATGACTGTATCGGCGACTGTGGCATTGGCTTTTGACAGTGTGATATTAGAGTACGTGAAGGTGGAGTATGATTTGCCGTAGCCAAATTCATACAATGGATTGGGGTCGTTTAGGACGTAAGAGTGTCCGAAGGCGATGGTTCCATTGTCGTACTCTTTTCCCACGTCAGGAGAGCCATCCACACGACCAGAATTCAGGTAATCGTAGTAAATTGGTGTAGTGCCGACATCGTAAGGAATCCCAACGGACAGCTTTCCACTTGGATTGACAGCGCCGAAGAGGACATCAGCTAGTGCGTTGCCACCCTCTTCAGATGGATAGAATTGTTGTAGGAGAGCCGACGCGCTTGAAGATATCCAAGCCTCTGTGACGGGTTTTCCAGAGGAAAACACAACTACCGTTGGCTTTCCTGTGTCTATTATTGCCTTGACGAGATGTGGCATGGCGCCAACAAGGTTCAACGAGGCGACGTCAACATGCTCTCCAGTCGTGGCGTTTAAGCCTTGCCAAAGCTCGAACTGATCGCGCTAATAGAATAGTGAGTTGGACATCTTAACAACCAAAGGCCATGTTACTTACAGACCAAGTTCCGACTACAACAACAGCAACGTCAGCAGCAGAAGCCGCGGCTACAGCTTCTGGAAACCCAGACTCGTCGTTTGACCAACGCTCGCAGCCTTTAGCGTATGTTACAACTGTGATAATCAGCATCTAGTGTAGTATTTGGTGTGGGAGTCCCCTACTTCCTTTACTTGCCGCCTTGATTCCATCAAGAGGGGTCACCCCACGCGCAGAGCTGTTCTTGACAACATAGTCTCCGTACTACCTTGGATTAGTCGAATACCTGGACTATAGAAACCAAACTTACATTCATGAAGCCATGTGCCATTGGCCCAATCACAGCTATGTTCGCTGTTTCCGACAATGGAAGTGTCTCTTTGTGGTTCTCAAGAAGCACAATTGATTCAGCATCGAGTTGACGAGCCAGGGCAATATTTTCTGGCGTGTGAATGAGGCTTGAAGTCGTTTGGTTAGAGGCTATTCCCGCATAAGGATTTTCGAATATGCCTAGGGCAAATTTGGCGCGGAGTAATCGCGAAACAGCAGTGTCAACGACGTCTGAACTTAGCTTTCCGGCCTTGACGAGCTCTGGTATTTTTTCGAAGTTGTAGGAGCCTCCACCCATTTCCACGTCATTGCCTGATGGTAGAGCCTTATTTTGCCATTAAAACATGGCCATGTCAGTAACATGGTGAAAACTTACATATTGTGTCACGGCCTCTTTGTCTATGGGCTTCGCTCGGCACATCTTAAAAGAACCACACAATCGATCGGTCCCTCCTGCATCACTGGTAACCCAATACCTGAAGTAAAATTAGTACGCTCTTCAAGAATTTGTGGTGGCTTTCCCGTACTCATAGCCCCATTCTTCTCTCAATATCTCAGTCAAAATATGATGATTTGCAACAAGAGGTACTCCATCGTAGGATGAATATGCCGACATGATCGCATATGCTCCTGCACCCATGATCTGCCGTTTATATGAAGGCAAGTAGGTTGTACGAAGTTCTCGTTCTCCGCCATGGACGGGACCAGTGTTGAGCCCTTGCTCCGGGACACCAAATGCAGCAAAATGCTTCACCATAGCGCTCACATTTCCTGCCTGCATGCCTTTGATGTAACTATAACCTATTTCGCCAGCAAGGTATCCGTCTTCTCCGAAAGTCTCCTCGACTCGACCATACCGAAGCTCTCGGGCAAGATCTCCCAATGGACCAAAGATCTGGTTGACGCCCAGAGCTAGTGATTCTTGAGCAATCGCAGCACCCATCCTTTCAATCAAGTCTGTATTCCAAGAACAGGCGTGGGCTATCGGGGAATTGAAGATTGTTGCATTTCCAATTAGAAACCCATGGATGCCTTCGCTTTGCACGAAGGCGGGGATTCCTAGTCTTGTATTCTGCATCAAATAATCTTGTGCTCTTCTCACACCATCTGCAATCCATTGCTGGGGAACCGGATACCCAACGTAGAATTGGCCTGCTCGCTTTTCCATATTCCACGCCAACCCCGAGGCATTGAATGTATTGTCTGTAGTGTTGATCCAGTTTGAGATATCCCCTTGAATCAATTGAGCTGTTTTCTCTTCTATTGTCATCCGGGATAGCAGATCGTTAACCCGGGCGTCCACGCTCGCTTGAGGATTCTTGTAAACTGGTGCAGAATCATTGCTAGCTGCTTGCGTGACCCCAACCACAAGGGCGGTCACGAACAGAAGAATGCATCTCATCTTGTAGATAAGAATGAGGTAGGAAGTGAGAGTCGAGGCTACTTTGAATACCGATTTCCATAAGTGGCTCGACTGAGCACGACCTGCCACTCACCTCTTATAGACTGGAATCTCCTCATATTGAAGAGACCAAACTCAGATCCCCTCCGGGAAACGTTCAATCATTTCGGAAAATCATGCTAGGAATTAGCAATGGCTAAATGTGAAAGATCCACTAGATGCAAGGTGTAAATAGTGGATAAGTAGGACGGAAAATTTAAGTCCGTTTATAACAGAGCTACTCGTACTGCTTTATTATATCAAACGAGGGGACTATGACGACGTTACCCCTCGTCGGAACCACGTATCTAAGTAATCACAGGGAAGATCTCCGAGCGAGCAAGAGTTTCCAAGACTACATTAGCTCGAACGGTCAACTAAATCCTAGCCCTCTGATTGGCCCAGAAAGTTCCGCCTCGGTATTATAATCGAAAGTATAACCTTAAATTCACGTTATATTATACTTTATTATAAGGTAATTCAGAATATAATGAGGTTTAAGGGGTAAAGAAGAGCACATCGTCTAGCAGCATAATTTTTATGGCCATAAAAGTCGTTCGCTCCCATACAAAATTATTCTGTCGCCTGAGCGGTGTGACCTTCTTTACCCCCTACACCTCCGTATCCCTATCGTGCAGACAGGACCCCCAGGTAGAATATCTCCATCTGAATAATTAAAAAAGCTATTCAAACTATAATCCTCTTTGAGACCATCATCAGACTCTCCACCCCATCATGTCCCACCCAACCCCCCAAACAGGCCTCGACCATTTCCAGCGTCTCAACCCATCAATCTACTACCACTCACCCCCGCAACCCCGCAATCCCTCGCGCACTTCCCCTTCTCTAATCATCCTCCTAGGCTGGATGAACGCGCCCCCAAAACACCTCTCCAAATACGTCTCCGTCTACACAAAACAGCATCCCTCAGCGCGCATCGTCGTCGTCACAACCAGCACCTCCGACATCCTCTTCCGGTCCAAAGCCGCAAACCTCGTGCGTCTGGGCCCGGTGCTAGAGATGTTGTATTCCATCTCGAATGAGAGCGTGTTGCTTCATTTGTTTTCCAACGGCGGAGGATTGACGGCTACTGTGCTCGCGAAGGAGTATGTGCGAAAGACGGGTCACCCGATGCCTTTGATGGCGATGGTTCTTGATTCTTCGCCCGGTCGACCGAGTGTGAGGGCTACGCGGAGGGCGTTTGCTGTTGCGCTGCCTAAAAATCTCGTACTTCAACTCATCGGGAACTTGTTATTCACGTTAATCTTCATGATCATGAAACTAGGCAATTATCTTGGGGTGACGGAGAATGTGATACAGGGCGTGAGAGATTGTTTGAATGATAGTAGGTATTTTGGGCTTGATGTGCCTCGACTGTATGTGTTTAGTGAGGCGGATAGGATGGTTGAGGCGCGGGATGTGGAGAATCATGCTGTTGAGGCAAAGGGAAAGGGGTATGAGGTTCTGAGGGAGAGATTTGGGATGAGTGGACATGCTGCGCATATGATTGAGGATCCGGAGAGGTATTGGGGTGCTGTTGGGAGGTTGTGGGATTCTGTTAAGTAATGTGATTTGAACTGTGAGATTTTACTGAGCTATGATTGTGATTTTGTTCGTAAGGATATCTAAAGGTTACATTTGAACTGTACGATAGGGTATATACGAGCCCAGCATCCCGATAACATATTACTTCCCAACCTCAACCATCATATCCAGTCTCCCATCCCATCCCCTATCCTCATCCACCTCACCTCTAACTTCAAACCCAACCCCACAAACACTTTCCCTCCTCAATTGAAACGTCTCATACACCCCTAACCATTTTGCTCGGTCTCTACAGTCCGTAGCACCAAATCCGTCTCTTTCTCTGCATATCGGCATATTGCTATTCATAATCCCCTGTTTGGCCTTTATCCAAGGCTTTGGAACACTATCATCGAATTGCAACACTTTTGCCTCATCCATTATCCGCTCCGGGTCCCATGTATCTGAACTATTACGAGTGGTGAGGTATGTAGTATGCGTGTGTTGGCGAAATTCGGAAGTGGGGAAGTGATATGGCCGCTGAGGGATTCGGAGGGGTTTGCGGGAGGTTAGGGATGATAATATGTCCATATCGTTTCCATCACTGCCTTTTTCTTTTATTTCATTCTTGACTGCTTCAAAAAGCTTCTCGTTGGGTTCCACCAAAAGAAGTTGGGAGGAGTATGTCCAAGAGGTGGGTTCCGTCCCAGGGCGATAAATATATGGCATCGCGATCGGCGCGGAGGGGAATAAGAATAATTCATCAAGATTATTTAGAACCGTTGAATCCGGAGAAATAACCAACACGCGATCCCATTCAACAAGACCAAATGCCAGAAGCTTCGTGTACGATCCCACCCATTGCGAGCGTTCCGGGTGATTTGCGCCCAGCACATCGAGAGCAGTAAGCTTCACAAAGTACGCCCTCTTCGCCGTCCGTAAAAGTCGTGCCCTTGCCGTCAACTCGTCCGGTTTACTCGGAGTCGTATCCTTCTCATCCAGATCCCAATCCGCAGGGTAGAACATCATGCGCTGCAATCAGTTAGCTATGCGCCCTTATCTCCACCAGCGGGATGCGACAAACCTGCGCGCGACTGCCAATCTCCTCGATTTCACTCCAGACGATCAGCGCATTGCACAGCTCCTCCTCGGTCGTCACATATTGGACATAGTAAAGCTTAAACCAATCCACTTTTGCCGTGTCGACCGAAATGGCGAGCGTCTTGTATTTCTCCGCGTTGTCGTCGTCGTGGTTATGCCGGATGACCCAGCGGATCGCGAGGAATGCGCAGAAGCATATTGTCAGGAGCTGGATTGTGGACGATGAGGTGATTCTCTTGAAGCGTCGAATGAAGTATCTAGAGCTCGACATGCTCGAGAGGAGGATGGCGAAGACATGTCTGAGTGAGAAGCTGGATTGGGAAATGCGGATGTTCCTGAAGGGGGCACAAACTGCCAATAATCTTGGAAGCGCTGCGCTGAACCCTGTTAGAACTAAGTGTGGGGTATTAAGGTTAAGCTTCTGGAGCATCTGGAACATCTGGACCAAATTGACGGGTTTCCACGGAATTTTAATTATTTTTCAAGACTAACATTTTATACAAACGGACGCACCGCACTATAATCAATGCTCGTGCCCATCTAGATGTCGCTCATCTACCATAACCTATACACAAGCTGCCGAGGGTATTTATGAAGAGTCGAAACGCCGAATCATGCATTGTCCCCAATTTCTTCCCGCTCAAAAATGCCTTCCTATAGACGCCACATTTCCAAATACCATTATCATCGTTCATATTCATCCGACGACCTGCTGGCAGCTGATGACGGCGCACCTATGAGCCACCCAACCCCAGAAGCAAGACCTCCTACAGCCACACTCTTCAGCTGGTCTCTTTTGCGCATACCAGTTTTGGGCGTGCCAGTCTCATCTCTTGATCCGTCAAGACTGCCGCGCGATTCGGTACCGGAGGTCGGTGAAGTTGCTGTACTTCCTCGCAACATGGATAACGCAGAAAACCCGTTCTGAGCGCGAGCCATACTGGCCCGCGAAAGGTCGAAGAGAGACATAGGAGCCTCCTCCGCGGCACGGGTCTTGGTCAAATCCGAGGTATTTCTTGCTGGTGTCGAGCCAAAGCCACCAGGCATTTCGTGTTCATCGGTTTGGTGGTCACCTCGCGCGTCCCAGGCTTCTGCCTCCTCTGTCTCTTGTTGTGCAGCCGCAACGAGCTCCTCTTCGCAACGTCGAAAGACGTTCAGTATCTCGCCAAGGGTGGATTTCGGGGCAAGACGTAATGCCTGGGAAAGACATTCCAGCCTCTGCTCCAAGTGGCGAACCTCCGATCCGCTTTTACCGTTACTCTGGTCTGTTCTGCGATACTTTCCAGCTTGCAGCGCCGCTCGCCATGACCAGTCATCAATGGGTCTGGGAGGAGCCTCCGCACATAATCCGTCCATCTGCTTTTCAACAGCTGGCGTACGTGACTGCGCCGGGCCAGCCACTCGATTGAGGCGCGTTATGACATACGAATAAGCCGTTTCAAAGTCGTCCTCAACGCAAGCCGCGTCAATACACATACTGACAATCCGTTTCTCTGCAATGCTTTCCTGTTCCTGAAGCTCCTCTTCATTCGCTCCAGCTTTGCTACCATTGACATCCCTAGCAGTCAGGCCAGCTCTCACCATGCCTTTACCGATACTGAGCAGATCAACGATTTTCAGATAGCTCTTTGGGTTCTGATCAAGCACCTTGCCAATAATAGATATCGGGTCACCATGCACTCGTAACGTAACAGGTTGGAACGGTTCTCCTTGTCTAAACACTAATCGATATTTCCCGAGCTCATGGGTGACATCAATTAGATTCACGAGCTGTTTTCTAGGAAGTGAATCTAGTAGCGCATCTGGGAAAGCTTGAAGGCTAGAGTCGAATCAGTAATTTTCTTGTCAAATATATCAGTAGATAGAGTCATACGTGTCCTGTGCCTTTTTAAGTCCACCCCGAGTTTTGTTGGCATTTGTCGCATTATCATAAGCATTCATTGCTGCTGCAATTATCGTCCCGATTAAGGTATTCTTTGACAGGGGCGGGTCCGCTGGAGGATCATAAATCGATCGAGCGAGTGTATATTCTTGCAGACGTTAGCTGTGAAGTGGCTGTGAGCAAGGGATACTCACGAGTGTTGGACAAAAAGACTTTCAGGAGCTCGGTCTCGACGTATTCAGTCGAAAGTGCGCCAAATATACCTTTACTAGTTGTACTGGTCGTGCCTTCCGATAATTCTTCACACCCCCAGCTTCGCAGCCACAGAACCTCGTTTCTCAGCCTTATCCAATACTTTTCGTCGCCTTTTGGGCCATTGCGAACACTGGAAATCAACTTATTAAACTCGCTTTTTTGATCGCGCTCATCTTGCAACAGAAAAAATTCCGCCGCTCTCTTGACTGGGAATCCGGAGCCAGCTCTTGTACATAAATATGTTGAAACCAGTAGAGCATGTAACAGTCTTACGGAAGATTTCCCTGGGGCTGTCAAAACGTTCGCCTCGCTCAAATAATCATTTCGGAGGTATTTGGCATTTCCTGGGGAAGTCACCACCTCATCCATGTCTGTCACAGGAGAGAGTAATGAGGCCGCAGCTTGTAATGTCGTAATTCGGTCAAGGTCCAATAGGTTGGTAAGGCGGATTAAAATCCGCTGAATCCCATTTAAACAATCCTCGGAGTCTCCAGGGACTAAATACGCAGAGGCAGTAGCTGCTCGAGCGTATCGTCGCTCGAGGTATTGCTGCTCATTCTCATCAAGCCACATGGAACCGTCCCCGTAGTCTCCAAGATCGATATCTCCTGGCCCATCCCATTTCTCAATAGCCTCTACAGCGTTTTCCCATGAGCTACTGGCCTCCGTAATAATCCAATTGAACACATCTTCCCACCCTATACACCTCTCGCTGACAGCAGGTACGTCGTTCAAAGCGGTAACATTCTGCAAGAGGGTTTGGGATGCCCTCCTTGTTTTCCTACGCTTCCATTGTGAGTCCCCGTACATATATGGACCGACTAAACCTCGGATATCTCGTCCTACAAGTGCTCCTTTGTCCTCACTCGTCCGTGATAGAAGCAATTTAATGCAGGACTCGTGGTCAAGCGATTCGAAATTGGGAAGTGTAGTGGTAATTGAATTGTCTGGATAGAACTCGTAGTTGAACCGCACAAGCGGCAAAATAGTAGAGATCATCCATGTTCGTAGAAAGGTAGATTGGTGAAGAAAGGGACTCAGGAGCTCAGGCAGCTGATCGATCATACCAGTACTTTCGTCAACTGCCAATGATCGCAGAAGGAGAAATCGAACGAGAAGGTCTGTGGGCTCTTCTGAATCTTCGTAGGGCCATGACAGCGAACGTAAATGTAGCTTCCGAGCTTTCTTCTTCGCATCCTCGTCGCCAACCTGATCGAGCTGATATTTCTTGATATCGAAGTCCGCCTCGTCCACCAAGTTTCCTTCACCTATCCTCTGTAAAAATGGAACATATTTGGCTGATGGAAGTGTTTCGGGAAGATAGCTTAGTAGGATCCGTAGAACGAGCTCGAGGTGGAGTGTCCTCTGGTTTCTGGAAACCAGACTTTCGAGATACGAGAGCTCTGTGGAGGTGGCTAGCTGAACAGCCAGCAGAATTATTTTGGCTGGGGATACCTCCGGCCTTGCCATACTTTATGCTCGTCGCAAAGGAACAAAACCAGAGGTGTAATTCCTGTTTCGTGGCATAGCTGGTGACGGTTGTATAACTGGGAACCAGATGTTGTGGCCTGATTCGGTCCAGGCCGCAACACAGCACTAGCTTCGCGACCGTCAAGCTCCGACTTCATGCCTCCGATTACAACAAGAAACACATACCAACCGAACGCACACGATGTCGTCTGGTTATGGTCTCACTGGAGGTAAGTTAATTTACGTCTAAGGTTCTTGGGATGGAGTTTGGAGCAATTTTTGTAATTCAATGGCTAACAATTCGTCTTTAGGCCCCTCACGATGCTTCCCCTTCTGGCAGGAGGTTCTAGCTTGCTACGTCGTTAACACCAATACCGAGGATGATACCGGAAAGAAGAAGTGCAAGCCAGTGTTGGAAGATTACTATGAGTGTCTACACCACAAGAAAGAGGTTGGTGCCGCCTTAGTTTGCGGGGCATAAGTCCCTCACGTCCTCCGATCCTGTGGCTGATATATCGATTTTACATAGGCTTCCAGAGTTCTATCGCTACAAACTGCATACCGGAAAGCCGAAACCGCATTACCTCGAGACAGCGTGCCACCCGCGGGAGCTATTAGGAATTTGGGTCTGTTGGGGAAGGAGGAAGATAGCAAAGCAGTCATAGGGAGTTTGGGAAAGCGATAGTGGGAATGGGAGGTTTGTAAATAAGAAAGAAAGGTCCATAACAAAAGGTGCATTTACTATATGATTTCGGTGACAAGTCGGCTAGCCTCTTTGCCGTTGTGTTGAGAGATATGCAACACAGCGACATATGCGGCGAATATTGACTAGGGCGAGAATGCACCCTACTTCGCGACGAATTGACAGACTAGTTTCAAATTCTGAGAGCCAGGCGACTTACTTCTGGTGGTGAATGCTAGTGAACAGCTATCCGGCGGAAAACAGAAGTAAGCACTCGAACTATTAAAAAGGAACTTTGGTAGGTAAGATTAGAAAGCAGAATTTGTTATGTATTGAGCTCGTCTAGTCAGACAAGGCTTAGACTTAAGCCTTACCAGCGTGGGAAGTTATAGTCGCCTAAATTTAATGTGGCATATTCACTGTGGGGAAGTTCTTCCACGTCAAAACACTGCATTGTTTACATGGCAAGACAGATGATTTTCTTTCCTGTTGATATTGACAAGCTCTGTTGACATACAGTACGCACTCTCATATCATCAAATACTCGGTCTTGTGTCATCTTTAACATCAACTCAAAATAATTTATGATATCACGGGCTCATATCGAATAATTACACAATTTTCGCAACACTGGCAATCAGTTTCGATCTCTGATATTACGCCAACAACAGCCTAACCCGTCGCTGGACGACAAGACATCAACATGCCTTCACTCAATGGAATTAGCATCTCAATTGTTACGACATCCAACTTTTCAAAACACGGCTTTGGAATATTCCCCGAATTTCCTCACCCAGAATGCCCACAATTCACAAGCCAATACTGGCCGCGGCGTCCATTCAAATGGAAACAAGAAGAGCCAAAATCGGAGCCACCAGACCAGACGACTCCATCGCGGGAGAGTAAGCTAAGCCAGCGGACAGACAAAGAAGTTAATAGCAGCGTATATATACCATCGGCTCCAGGTAAGAGATTCTCTTTCCATCGCTTTGACTTGCTCACTTCGAAAAAGACACACGATTCTGGATAAGATATCGCATTCTCGCTCAAGCAGCAGAATGCAAATATTACTTTTTCAAGCTGGTCATGAACGGTAGAGAAATCACCTCTTGGGGCTGCAAGTCGGGTTCGCAAGTTGATGGACAGGTCACACGGGCTTTGTTCGATCCGGAATTGACAGAAGCAAACTGCTACAGCGATGAAGCGACTGGGATTATCTATAAAAAGATGGGTTTGGAAAAGCGCGCTTTTCTTTTCATGCCAGAGCCAGAAAGAATAGACGGCCAGTCTTTCGTGGCTGCTGATGGCGGACTCATTGAGATTCAGGTCTATCGATCCTCACACAGGGTACGGAAAATGCAAGATCCTACAATCTACAAGAGTCAGGAAAGTTATGGCATAAGGTATAACATCCCACCTAACTTTTTCTTCTGTCTGCGATTTTAAATTCAGCTAAACATTCTCCAGCCTGAAAAGCGCAAAACATCTACTGGAAGATCCACATCTAGCAAAATATTTCGAATATCTCCTTGTCGATCCACTCGACAACCCATACTCCGTGTTCAAATTTCATTACCGATCATGGGACAGCTTAATCGACCTGAATCTCGTCTCGGAAGACTCTGAGCGTAGGTTACTTCCACTTTCACCTAGCATATGGAACCTGTTTGGCCGGTCGCAACTTTTGGAGAGATATCTAGCACAAGACATATTTGACAAACTTGAGGCTGATGAGCGAAGGATACCTGGTAGGGTTCCGTTAACTCACGAAACTCTGTGTAGTGTTCCAGCCTCAGAGTCTCCGCGCGAGAAACAAAGAGGGAAGTTTATGGGAGAGCTCCGGTCGAATGATTCCGACGCAGGCAATTCTTATATGTCTGTGGACAGTACAAAATTTGACGGCGATCACAATGATGGGCAAGTAAAAGCTTTACTTCCTTACGAGGAGGTTATCCAGGCGGAAACTGCCTCAACAGGTGGACACAGTGGTTTAGATGATCATCCATCTCCCGAACCTAGCGATGAGGTGGCCAAGGATCAAGATTCAGACCAAGAAGTCGAACCAAAAGACATCTCCAAATCAAAGAAACTAGCATCACGTCCTTCAACGCCGTACAACACTTCTCAGGACGCCATCGAGCCTGACAGCGCAGCTCTCGATATCCTACCAAAACCAACTTTCTTCACAAGAGCAAGAAACTTCTTTAGCAGCAATAAACAACCTCCAGCGAAGAAATCTATGTATATGCAGAGCGTAGTCGACATAAACCCCAACGGAAATACATCAGACGACGTTGCAATGATACCCTCCATCCCGCAAATCGATCCATTCGACGAAACTCCACCCAAGAGAAAACCCATTGGAGATTCCTCACCCATACGAAAGCTCTCCACAGACGACATTCCCAATCTCGACCCACCAAACATCATAGAAGAATCCCGTCACCCAGACGTAGCAGCATGGCTCAACGACCCGCAGCTGCCAAATTCTTTTCAAAATACAAATCCAAACGACTCATCACCCACCCCGAAACCTCTCTCAAGGAATAGCAACTCAACTCAACAACCGCTCCACGAGCCCCTCTCTATCGACTCATCACCAACACCCAAACCACTTTCACGCAACAACAACTCCCAACGACCTCTCCCCCTCCTCCCTGAACGCGACGCCTCATCCAAAACACTCCGCCGCACCGCAACAGGCATATTCCGCTCCGCGCCCTTAAAAGCACCAGACACGAGTGCCCATCAAGACGAGCGTGACTGGTCACCTGCGATTTCCCACGACATCAGAAACACCGAAACACCCGCTCGTCCCCGCGCTGATTCCCTCACCAAAACAAAAACACCACAGCCCACTGATAACCTCCGTCCCAACACCAACGTCGAACGCCGGGATTTCTCAAACCAATCATCAACTTACAGCATCCCCATCATGATAGACATAAAATCCATCACCCCAGAAATACGACAACCTATTACCCCTCCAGTCTCGCGATTCCAGTCTGCTGGCTTAGATACAAAACCTACTCCCACCACTCCGCACCCTAACTCCTCGACTCCAAAGCCTACCACCATAATCCCAAACCCCACCACATCCCCTCCCAAACCAACACCGCAAACCGAAAAAGCACTCCCCTCCATCCCCACATCCTCACCTAATACAGCCACAGAAGCAACAACACCGAAGAGTTATTTCTCGCCTGATAGTCAGAAGGGGCGGAGGGGGTTGAGGGGGTCGTTGAATGTGTTTATGAGGAGGGGGAAGAAGGAGAAGGAGGCGGGTGGTGGGTGAAACAGGGAGGAAGGGTAGGATGTGTGATGGAGGGCACGAATTGTTGAAGGCGGGTGGACGGTAAGATAGTCGTTTAATCGTAGGAAGTTTGTCGATTAGTATTATGTTTGCGGCCCGAATGTTTGTTTGTTGAATAGTAGTGAGACGTGGGATTGTGTTTGTGAATGTTGAATAGCATGAATTGATTTCAGTTTGATGAGGTATGGGATTACAATTGACCGAGTGACATCGCAAGTTCTAGGTAATGGGCGTAGGAAGTCGTGAGATGTGTATCCCTAGTGGAAATAGTAGTTACGTTGATGCGATCCAATATCCTTAGGGAACACAGACATCGAAGGGTTGAAGATTCAAAGGGAAATCTTTCGACAAGTGCAAAGCCGGGAGCAGGAGCCAAACTACCAGATTAGCTTAACATTAATAAACATTATACAAGGGCTTGTCATTATGGGAACAACATAATGGTGCATATATTAGGGTGAGACACAAGTTTCAGCATTAAATATTATTATGTAACCGAGTACAGTATCTATCAACAGACCTAAATAGTAGGAAGTCGGAATCACTCCTTTGTGTCGCACACAACCTTGGCGCCAGGAAGACTGGGAACACAAGGAAGCCACCTGAAGTACAAGGTAACACAGATAGCGATGGAAGCCATCACCTACACATCCTACTCACCTTACATCTTGTATGAGCTCTGGGCTTTCACCACGAAGATTGACAGGTAAGGAGTTCGGTAAAGTGAAACCTTGCCCCCAAAGCTTTGACAAGCTGCCTTGCCATTTACATAACCTTGTGGCGCTGATTGGATAAGCTGCTGATTGTAGTAAAATACGACATGTCAATAAGCGGATTGTAACACAAGTGATAGCAAATAGAAGCAATCGAAATGAGTTTGGTGCACTCCAGAGCCTTTACGTGATACAATGTCTGTGCTACTCACATGTCAGCAAACCATTCCGGACGTTTCGGGATTTACCTTGATGAGAGCTTGTAGTTTCTCATATCATGCGATGAACAGGATCCAGAGGACACAGACAAGTTCGGACGAATGGTTAGGTGTAGAGTCGCGAGTTAGTTGAAGATGTGTACGGGCAGAAATTACGATTAGTTGCCTCATTTATTGGCTACGGCGAATCGCATTTCAGTTGTGATGTTTGTGATTGTGATCAGACGGGGTGAGTGGATGAGTATTGGCAATTGTAATATAAAGTGGCAATCGAATATCGAATTTACCGGGCACGTTGGAAATGTGTTGTCAATGACTGCTAATAATTGCTTTTGCAATGCGAATTTGCTGATCACGGTTCTAGGTTGAGTTTTTGCTTTCGATTTCTGTTCTGGCGACTAAAGAAGACCCTAGTCGAGACACTGTTCGAAAGGCGAATGGCCGAAAACAAGATCGAAAAGCCCAGCCAAGCTTATTATTGATACAAGAGGATATGAGGTGCTGAATATCAAGGATTTGACCGTGAAAGAACCAGTAATTTGTTCCAGGAAAGACACGAGACCCAATTAAGAGTTGACGAGTGCTGACCCACCCGACTGACAAATCGTCGTTCCGAAAAGACCTGATGAAGCTAAAAGAAAATCCTAGCAGCCGAAAGGTTGTCATCAAATGACCCGAAAGTTCGCTCGATCTGCCGAAAGTGTAACACCCGCTTTTGCATTTTCCGCCGCTGGAGCTTCGGACTATGTTGTGAGAAATGAGAAAAGTACACACGTGGAAACGCGCCCGCATTAATGAAAGCCGCAGATTCAAAAGCTTGTTGTTGTGCGTTCGATATCGTGCGATTTAACGAGCAGGGCGCTCACCACCTATGCCGGTTAGCGATTAAAATTCACGTTTCACATATCTCTCCTCATCGTAGTGTCTACCTCCGTATGGTTCCCGGGCCTCTCCTCGAGGGGCTGGATCACCATAGGCGGCTGCTGGAGCAGCATCGCGAGCGGAACCACGGTCTCCCCCACGATCGTAGCGGTCAGAGTATCCGCCACCTCCGCGTGGACGATCATCTCCTCCACGACCATAGCGATCGTCCCGGGCGTATCTGTCGACTCCTCGAGGAGCATAGTCGTCACGGTCTCGTCCGCCACCATAACCTCTGTCACGGCGGTCATCGCGACGGTCATCGTAGTAACGACCACCACCACCGCCTCCTCCGTAACCACCTCCACCACGGCGACGATCATCATAACGGTCGTTGTAGCGGCCACCACCGGAAGGTCCGTGACGTGGGTCCTCTTCTATTGTTTTAGTTAATTGTGTAAGTTAAAGGGGAAAGGTGTTACTAGCCTCTCTTCGGTGGACCAAAGTACTTTCCAGGGGTTGGAGTACGAGGACGCGAGCGACGAGCCTTCTCGATGCTCAAAGTGCGGCCTTCAATAACCTCACCTTGAAGACCTTCCTTAGCAGCGTCGGCCTGCTCAGCAGTCTCCATTTTGACGAATCCAAAACCACGAGATTCCTTGGTGTGTGGGTCAAGCATGATTTGGCACTTCTCTACATCTCCGTATTTTTCGAAGAGACGAGTAACCTCAACTTCGGAGAGACGTGGGTGAATACCAGTCACAAACAAATTGGAACCAGGGTTGATAGCACCGTCATCTTGGGGTGCGCCACGATCGTTCTTTGGTGGGCCACTGTAAACGATCAGCAACTGAATGTATGTGAATTTTGAATAGCACTAACCGGCTATCGGTATGTCCATTGCCAGCTGGAGATGCAGATCGACGAGGACCACCTCTTGGGCTATCGTTACGACGGGTAGGTCTAGGAGATGCACTGCGGTCGCGCTCATTGTAACGAGGAGCTTCGTCTACGCGTCGCATGTCGAATTAGTATCGGGTGTTTCGTGGAATAAACTGCTGCAAAAGTACGTGAAGAGCAGCTTGTGATGTTTCGTACCTTCGAATCGAGGAGGGTTCTCGTTCTCGTAATCCATTGATGCCATTTTGATGGATGTCCTTTATGTAAGAGTTCAGAGGTGAAGATCGCGACTGTCCAAGTGACCGAGTGTACCGCTCGCAGCAAGAGAGCGACAGAGATCGGCGGAAAGTTGCTGTTATAATTGTAGGATATCTCAAAGAAATTCTTTGAGATGGAAAATTGATGGAAGGTTGATGTTGAGGGATCTGAGAGGTGTCTTGTTTTCAAAAGCGAAGGAGAGCAAAGAACTGAGGAAATGATTCAGGCACAATTTCGTGCTAGCCGGATTTGGCATGGCAGCCACCCCTTAGCGTACGTTCACCTGAGCGCACTCGTAACACGAGCCATCAAAACATCATCAGGATGGGAATACCTAGGTATACTTCAGATTAAGCTTATATAAATAACAAACATTACGTTTAAAGTTATCTTTGACAAACTAGAAGGGACTAAAGCAAAGTTATTGTCGTATTATTGCAGGTCTGCCAGAACTGCTCCATCGGGTAACCTCAGCCTTACCAACAATCGTCGTTCCATTTAAGAGCGATCCACTGCGGCTCTAGTCGTCAGTTCAATCTAGATCAAAAGAAGTCATCCGCGCAAGTTGAAGCAGAACACCGATTGGCAATTTCTTAAATTATGCTCTATAATTTATTTTCTGACTAGAGCTCACCATCATGGATCAAAGGTGAGAATTCCATGGCTGGCTCATCATTGAGGAAGTTCAATCCTTCCATAGCTTTCCCACCACATGCTCTTTCCAGAGCCAAGAAAGCGAAATGTCCGCCGACAACTGGTCTAGCTTTGAATTCAAACCCGGGAAACCCTCCGGTTCCTTCAGTATCATACAAATCTGTCAGTGGTTTATCTACCGAACATTAGCACACGTTCTGGTGTTGAAAGTGTGGTTTTCTCACCCGTCGAGGTCTCGTTCACCCACAATGCGATTGAATCAACAATTTCCTCCCGGACTTGCTTGCTTGCAACCGCAACCGCAAAGAACTCCCAATCGCTCTTGGAGTATAGATGCCGGCTGTCGAGAGGAAGTCCATACTTTTGGCGAACGTTATGATACCAGTCGCTCTGTATCTTGTAAATCCTCTCGTTGACAAATGAGGTCTTAGATTTGGATGCCTCGTGTTCCACTAAAAGTTCCTGTTTACCCACAGAGGAGGAGCTCGAGCCGTCCGGTAAATGGAAACACAGCAACGAATCCGCAAACAAATTGTACAAAGTTGTCCAACTACCAAACCACTTTGATTCTGATTAGCAAAGAGGAAGTTCTGAGCCGAATAGAGCATCTTACTGTGTACGCCAACTTAGCGTGGGTGCCGTCTCTAGAGAGAGCGAATTCCCTTTCCCACCTTTTGATATATGTTTCGGAAATGTTCCGATAATACTTAGCATCATCGGTCTCCCCGATCAACTCTGAAATTTCCGACATTGCTCGAATTCCGATAATACCTTTTAAAGCAAGGTTCGTTTGGTTTGCAAGCCATCCAGCAAAGTCATCTGTAGATAGTTGATTGCTCGGGATCAACGCTTCACGAACAAGATATCCGGTCCACTGCTTCCACAATCTGTAAGAAGCTTCAACCCACTTACGTGCTTGTTTCTCGCCTTTGGCTGATATTCGCCCGCCAAAGGAATCATCCATGCCGTTTTCGTCGACGTGAAGCGATACAGATCCGCCTGCAGACTCGATATATCGCTGCGATCCGGATTCAGACCATAGGCTTGCAGGTTCAGTATCATACTTCATGGAGTTAATCATTGCCAAGCCCATTATAAGCATATTCCCACATTCCTCTACAGGCATATACTCGTCTCGACCATCAGGATGACCAGTCGCGTTCGGAAAGCTAGAACCAAGATCATGCATGCTGTAGTCATTCGGATACTGGCCGCTAAGTTGATGCTCAATGAGCGGCTCTAAAAGATATGCCAACCATCTCGGGTTGGTATACAAAAAGAATGGAAATGCTGGATAAATCACATCGACTGTGTTCATGTTACCGTCAGACGATATTTCCTTGAAAAAAATAATGGGATCATCAGGTGTGCCTGAAAATGAACAAGCTCCAAGCACTTGTCGAGCGCTCAACGCCAAGATATCCTTGTAATCTTCGGAACCAGATTTCAGAGCGTCTATTTCTAGCTGCCTCGAATAGTTGCTGGCCAGTTGGGAGACTACTTCAAAATCATAGTAATGGAAGTCAAGCAGCTTTTCTGGCGAGAAATAATATGCTGCCCAAAGCGGCTTCATCAAAGTCAAGCCTCTTGCCGAAGCAAACTGGATTACGGGGTCCTGAATATGTGCTATCGTGAACAGAACGCTGTTCTTGGATTTTCCACCTTTGTTGGAAGTATCGTTTGCTTTAAAAGATTTGGAGAATGCAAAGACGGGTTCTTCATCCATGATGGCGCGGAAATTATTGTCAATCGTGTTTTGCAGCGTTCCGTTTCTGGCAAATCGCTGACGGAGAAGAGCAGAAGTTCCAGCTTCGTATTGAACATCCGCAGGTCCAGAAAAATGTAGGGTTCCCCATTCTGCTCGATCCGCATCTTCTGTCAGTAGCTGCTCGATCTGGCGCTTGATTTTCCAGGTCTGCAGAGATGGATGTTTCTTTTCTCTTTCTTCGTGTGGAGTTTGGCTCATCTCCCACTGAATTGTATTCCCTCGATTTGCGCTAACCCATAGACCGTTCAAGTCAATATATATATCGATATCAGCTTTGCCATTGACTGAGACTGTGATGTACGAAGCGGGTATGGACTGTCGCAATGTCGAGGTGGGGGTGATTGGGGAAAGGAAGGAAACGACTATCACTGAAGCGGCATTCGAATGATTCGCACTTGGTATCTCGTATGTCAGATTCGTCGTGGAAGCATCGAACGTTGCGCCGAGGTAGGTAGGGTAGGAAACATTGAAGCTATGTCCACATTAGTAAAACAAGTACTTAAGCGGACAAGATCCAACTCACCTCTGATCGGATTTAGGAAGCGAGTCTTGAGGTCTTCCTAGTAGTGGATATACATCATTCGTAGCGGGAACAGCAGCTAGAATTGACAATCCAACCTCTTGTCCAGTCCAGAAAATCGGCCAATGCTCCCAAGGAAGCTCTCTAGCATGTCCCAGCCAAGTGCTTAAATACGGATTCCTCACGATCAGAGGTATAACAGGTGGTGTCAATGTTGAAGCTTCACTGAAAGCAACAAATGCTGCTCCTACAACACATTCTATCCAGCGCATGATGGCCAAAATCAACAAAGACTCGAAGCCTCCAAACGGTTGACGCGTAAAAGAAGAAAAAGGTGGTCAAAAAGAGCCACGAAGGAGAAGAAATAGAAGCACAAAGAACAATATACAACTGAACAAGAGAAGTTACCGTGAACTCGACCAACACCAGCTCCTGCCCTCCAGCTGCCCGCAGTCAGCAGACGCGAATCCTCGAATGGTCGACGTCAAATCCCCGCCGTGAAACGCAAAATCTGGGGTACTGTTGCTCCACCAAGCTGCATACTTTTATGCGCATTGCATAAACTGGTGAACCGCTTGGCATAAGTTATCAAAAGCGGAGATGCGGGGCGGCGGGGTCATTTTTCGAGATTCCTTTTATGTAACTGCAACGTGAAGAGGAGCTATACTTTGTATAACTTCTTTACTTCGCAGTACTTATTGCAACGTTTTATGATTCTGTACTGTCTTTGAGTTTTGTCGCTTGTGTTTCTCTTACGGAGTCTTGCGAATACCTTCCTTAGCGATTCTCCGTGTAACGACTGCGAAGCTGGGGCGTTACCATTTTAAGTACGCATCACGATGGCTCTCGAGGGAAAGATCATCGCTATTACAGGTGGAGCAAGTGGTTAGTGTTCTTTCATCTAGCTTTCATACATGGAATTTGGAATGAGAATCTGCCAAGAAGTGAAATGAGCCTAATATCTCACGTCCGATCACTGCTCAAGCGATAACGCATCAAACCAGGATCTTTCGGACTTTTGAGAGATGTTCTTCATTGAGTAGTTCCAGGTCCCGAAGTATGATACTTAATGTTCAACAAATTCTGTCTAACCGGGAGTTTGCTCATATTTCAAAACAACGTCATCCGAGACCAAAGATACTAACAATCATATCAGGCATTGGACTCGCAACAGCGAAACTAGTCGCCAGCCGCGGAGCCACCATTTGCCTCGCAGACATTAGTCCCGATAATCTCGAAGCAGCATCCTATCACTTCACTACCCTCAAAACCCCTTTCACCATATGCAAGCTCGATGTCACCCAGCGAGCCGACGTGAACTCCTGGATCGCCGGCATCATCGACAAGTTCGGAAGACTGGACGGTGCGGTCAACTGCGCTGGTGTTATAGGCAAAGCGCACGGTATCACTCCTCTAACGGACTTGGAAGATGAGGAGTGGGATCGTATCGTTGCTGTTAACTTGACGGGGATGATGTGTTCGCTGAGAGCGGAGTTAAGAGCGATTGTTGATGGAGGGTCTATTGTGAATATCTCTTCCATTCAAGGAGTTATGGGTAACTTGCTCCCAAACTCATCTCCTGAGAGAAACTATATGCTAAGATGTCAATCTTCAGGATTCCCCGGATCGGCAGCCTACTCAGCTACCAAGCACGGTGTAATAGGACTGACACGCTGCGCCGCGAAAGAGGTCGGTGCTAGAGGCGTAAGAGTAAATGCAATTGCTCCAGGTAGTATCGTTACCCCTCTTTTGATACAAGCACAAGACGCGAATCCAAATGAAGGAAAGAATAACCCCTCCGTTCTGAAGCGGGAGGGTACCGCTGAGGAGATGGCGAGTATCATCGCTTTTTTGTTATCACATGAGGCAGCCTATGTTACTGGAAGTGTTTACGGGGCTGACGGCGGGTGGAACTGTTGATGGGCCTAACAACTGAAACGACCGGATTCTTACTTGCTGGCATCGTGGAGAATTTTTGTAGCGTCACATGGACATGATGGTGTAAATCGCACCAATATATTGAGTGTGTTTTATAAAGACCGATAACTGAATACAGTCAAGCTTAATTGACCAACACGAAACTTTCGAATACAAGGCGAAGTCCAACTATTTAAGACATTTTCAGGTATTCGTTCCACAACATGCCATAAGCAAACATAACAACCAACAACCACCATCACGAGTGTGGAGCCTGACTTGAGCCGACTGGGGCCGCTCCACCCTCGGTTGCCGTATAAGATGCCGGTTGGTTCTTTGCAATAGTATCCTTCGCCTTTCTGAAGATCGAATAACAAGTCTCAACAACCTCATCCCTAGTCTGATCCTTCAACACAATCCCCGTATTCATTAGCTCCCTGATATACGCCTCCACCTTGTCGAACTCGTACCAGTCGTTCTGATATCGATTCGGCAGCCCAGAATTGTGCATGAGTGCTAGCAGACCAGCGACAATTGTATTCGCAGCCGCGAGAACCGTGATGAGAGTTTCGTTGCTTTTTGCCCGCGCGCCGAGTGCCGTGAGTAGTGCCCCGAGTATAAGTTGTGTTATCATGGAAGCATTGAAGAACATAGAGAACGCGTAGTACATGTACTGTCGTCCTACGCGGGCGCGAATCACATCCCGGTAAAGCCCGTCTGGCAGACCTTTGGGAGGATAGAGCCATGATGTTGGATGCGCAACGTTTTGAGATTCGGTGCTGTGAGAACCTCCGATGGCATGGATTACCATAGTGAGGTCTGCGTCTGAAAGGCGGCGGAGAATGTGAGCATGGCCGAGTGTTGTTAGTTGCTCTGGAGTTGGAGATCCAGATCGAAAGGATGGAGCTGTTGGCTTTGAACCTAGAGTTTGGTCTCCCATTGCTGTTGTGGATTTGGTATTTGTCTGAGGGAGCAAGAGAGGTGACGTTTCTGAGAGAATTGGATAGATTGAGGAGCCCTGTGAGAATGGCTCCGAATTTGTAGTCATAAATAAATGTGGTAGTCTCGGCGAGTCACCAAGCTTGAAAACGCCCGGGAAGCCGTAGACATATATTTCGCCGCCACTGAACTCAGATGCCGAGTGTAAGGTATAAGCGCTGAACTCAAAAGATATACGAAGTAGGGCTGTGGAGGGTGGTCACACATTGAGAGACTGAGACACGAGAAAGGCTTCTGAGTAGCACTTATCCAACATAAGCAGTGCCTGTAATACATTTCAGCCAGGCTCAAAGTGTTCAAGTCATCGTTCACACCACACGAGGTGCCTATGGTTGTAAGTGAAACCTACCTATCGCAGTCTAGGAACTGATTCTGAAAATTCCTGGCTGAGCTCTTTCTCATACTCGACAACCCTCATGTTATTGGTGAATGCGGTGAGCAATTAAAACATCGGTGTGTTCTCCAATCGGTAGCTTGAGTCTAGGGAGGTTCCACAAACAGGAGCCTCTATGTGGTGTAACGTAGTCACAGAGGTCAATTGTCGTTCCAACATAGCCTTGAGATTCCCTGGCGCCTAGCATGAGCTTGGTTCCACGAGACTTCGACGCTGACATACTTTCGTAAGTTTCCTTGTCGAGTTGAACTCATGGTGAGGTAGTGTAGTCGCTCACCCCGAGGCCCAAAGCAAGAATTTAGTCAAACTCGAGAAACCCCACATAATAAGCTGAGATACTAGTTCGGTAGTAGCAACTTCACATTTAGAGCATGCTGCGTTCGCCATTGGCAACCGTGGCGGTACATTGAGCTCTTTACGTTAGATAGACTCAGATTGAGACATGAGCCGGCCGCGGAAATTGGAGCCACACCATTTGGTTAAACGAGCGAGCGATAGTAAGCTAACATTGGAAGACAACAATTGGAATGATCGTACATCTGACACACAGTCCAGAGGTGACACAACGGAAAGGCTTTGTGGAGGGAGAAGTTGGAAGAACGTGGTGCCTTATTAGTAAGGAGAATGAAGGCAGATGAGGTTGGAATCGGGATATTTGACCGGCGGATTTTCGGCAGAACTGCGCTAGATCCGACGTTATGTCCGACGTCTCAAGACCTCAAGTCAAGTTTACATCTTTCCCATATTTTCAGTATGTACCCTGTTTTTATTTCAGTCACGCTTGATGTTTGAACTTTATAGACAAAGCTCGGACTGTTGAGAGTTGGGAGTTATCGCCACAATGTCAACCCTACCAAACTTAGTTCGGAGTCAATTCAAGGCTGCTCAAGGAGCTGGAGACTTGACATTCTATTCCACGCAAGTCGCTATTCTGATCTGCAATGGTTTTACCGTATGTATCGCTATTTTTGTCGTTGATGAAGTTAGTCTATCTGTGATTGCACCTTGACTAATACTTCCCAGTTCCAACTTCGTTTCTCTCCCAGCCTGGCAAATAAGCCCAAGTCCGCGAAGAAAAGTACTTCCAAGCCTTTCGACCCTTTCGAGACTCCTCAAAGGGGCCTTTTTGTCACGAATATCGGGCTATCTCATTATTTAGTACTCAACAAATTTCCTGTAATTCCTGATCATTTTATCCTCGCCACGACGAAGTTCAAGGAGCAGACTGATCTGCTTGAAGAGGATGATATCGAAGCCACATATAAATGCATCAAAGGGTACAGAGAGGCTGGGGAGGAATTGTTCGGATTTTTTAATTCGGGAGAACATTCGGGTGCGTCACAGAGACACAGGCACATACAGTTCCTTCCAGTTCAATCTATGCGCAGCGGGATAGAGGAAAGTTCAGAATGGACAGTTTTAGCGGACACACTCCTCCAAAAAACAGGTATGGATAACCATCTTTGTACTCTTCAATTATCTGACCAACCAGGCCTACCCTTCCAATATTTTGCATCTCCAGTATCACCATCTCCGAGTTCTAGCCAACTCCACAGCCTGTATACCTCAATGTATCACCAAGCTCGTGAATTGATGACAACTCTACCAGTTAGATCGGGTGATACGCATGCCAGCTCTCCAGAAAACAATGAATCGTCGACCATAAGCTACAATATGGCATTTACTGAAAACGCTATGATATTATGTCCACGACTCTCAGAAGGACCGCAAATTGCAAGCGCCACTGGCGAATTAATCGGGCCTATCGCACTCAATGGCACTATTCTTGGAGGTACTCTTTTGGTCAAGACTGAAGAGGAGTGGCAGAGTTTGCGAGATAATCCCTTGAGATTGAAAGATGTTTTGGGTGCAATAGGTTTCCCGTCGCGTGAGAGTGAAAAGAATCAGCGATTATAACACAACTATTAAGGCTGCAGCGATTCAATACACAAAAGAGCTCATGCCCGGCTCATCAGCAACGGCCAATTTTCTCACACCTCACAAATATTCCAGCACACTACATTATTATTCCATGCCAAGTTTGAGAAGAATTTCACGCTGCCTTTTGGAGTTCATCCCACCGCTTTCGACAGGTTGCGTTTCCAAAGTGGTAGGAGCCTCCGTGCTTGCTGATGTATTCCGCCACTTGCTTCCACGGAACTTTGCAATGGGCCACATCCGAACCGTACGCCATCTTTCGGACCGCCTTCTTCAGAAGTCGGTCCTGATCCTTGTCAGCTAGGCAGATTTGTTTCATCGACGGTACTTACATCGTTTTCATCCCATTCGGGTTTCCTAACTCGAGCGTTTTTGTGCTTTGTCAAAGTGCGGAAACGTCCCCTCAATGTGGATTCGGCTTCCGTAAATTTCCCCTTTCGTCGTATATCTTTATACGACATGCCGGCCAATTTCGATCTCACCAAAAAATCGTCCTTAGGATTTTGACGAGTGTCCGTCTGGGTATATGACTGAATACACGGAACCTCTTGCATGTCCGACGAGATTGGCTTTGGTTCAATTTGCTTTGGGTGCTTTTGGAGGTGAGCACTTGACTTCGGGCTGTCTTTGGAAGCTTTGTCGGTTGATGGTTTTGAGCGATTTGCAGAAATTTGTTTCGAGAGATTTCGTTTTGTCAATCGAGACTTGGGTAGCGGCTTTCTCCCAGATGTGGTTGCCGGAAGTCGTTCATTATTGTCCAAAACTGTGTCAGGCTTGATTCTACCCACCTTTGACGCTGTGCTGGGAAGTTTCCGTCGGACACGCGTGGGTTGTAGTTTCTGCACGACTTCCGAGCATTCTGGGTCAGATCCAGAATATAATGACCCATCCTCGGTGCTAGTAGCGTCCGATTCTGTTTGAACCCCTTCTCTTTCGTCGTGGAATTCGGACGAGGAAAGTGTTGCGTTGGAGGAACGTAGCGTCAGCAGTTTGGGTGATATCGTGCTTGGTGACATATCTTCGACGCTGCTGCCATGTGTCAACTCACCGATGTCATCGATGGCAGTCAAAGTGTCATTATATTGTTGACCTAGGCCAAACTGTACCCCAAACGCTGGTAATCCATCGTGGTAGTCTTGATGCTCATACATACGATGATCGTCGATGCGAGCCTGCCTTGGAGCCATCCACAGCGACTTGTTGATGCTGTCCACCGATGCGAGGCTAAGCATTGATGGCGCGACAATGGTTGGATTAGGATCTAAATCGGTTGCATATCCATCCTCGTATGAATAAGAAATGGTGGCTGGATAAGCAAAATGTGATGGATCTAGGGAAGCTGACATCGGTTGGAATACTTCCATGTCCCTCTGGTTATGGCTTTGACAAACGTCGTCATCCAGGCCAACACGACTGTTGGCGAGTTCCGAAATGCTTCCACGAGCGAATGAAGCCCTCCACTGCGGATATGGCTCCAGAAGCACCGAACGTGGTCTTAAATAGGTCATATCTCTTGATGTGTCCACCTCATGTTGTTGGTTTTGAGTTGTTGGGTATATCTTGAGCATAGGAGATTGGCCTTGAACCAACGTTGTGTAATTGTTGACTACCATTATAGGTCTCGCAGCGATTGATGCACTGGCAGTCTGCTCATGGAAGTACCCGCCACACAAGTTGTGCGCCTTTTGGCAGTAAGCTTTCATTCTCCTTGGGTGACCCAAAATATCTTACTGGATGGCTTTCGCTTCTACCGAGTTCTTCCATTTGTTCGTTCCAGGTATCATCTCCCGTGGTGGTCACGGGCTGGGAATCGCCCCAAGCGTTGCTATTATTGTCCATTACTGCGAAGAACCTTCGATTTGCGTAATCCACTCTGTAGATTGGCACAATGGTATCCAAACCAGTTGAGACAACCCGGGGTTGTGCGTTCATAAGCATCCTGATGACGCCTCACCGCTCCGTTGTCTTGCTGTATGTATCGTGCAATTGCTTTGCTCTTTTCAAGTACCAAATTGTGCATGAGGCAGGTTTCCTATCTTTCCCTCAGTCAGTAAATGCAACGCATTCTCACTTTCAAACACTGGATAAGAGTAGTTCTGGCGGTCAAGTTATAAGGATTGGCTATGCTTGAGCGCCAACATCCGAGAGATATTTTGCACTTGAAGCTGAATTACTGGCCAACTTGTGCCCCACTTGGGCTCGTAGCCAGCTTGCGCAATGCAGAAAGCATTGATTTGGTGATTGCACTTCATCTCGTTTCCTGCTCTCGATTTCACCGCTCTAACTCTGTTGCAATTTTCCGAGCAGAGAGGGTGAGGACTTTACCTGATTTGGCTTGTTCTTTACCAGGCTGTTTTTAGCAACGATCTTGCAGTATCTTCCAGGAGATATGTGGCATCAAGAACACGTCAATGGTCGTGTATCTGTATCCTTTTGTCTCTTTCCCCTCTACATACTGTACTGGTGATATGTTGTGTCTGGAAGCTACTGCTCCATAACTTTGTTGGAATCAAGATTAGGTGGAAATTATTATCCCTTACCATGACATGTAAGCTTATAGAATTGAGTATTACGCGATTCATTTTCGGTTCCCTTTTGCCGTTGCTTGTTTCGATATGGATCCCCATCACTTGAGGGCAATCTAGCTAGCCGAGGACTATTCCCTCTTTCGGCGTAGCCAAGGCAGTTTAGCTATGGGTCCGCAGGACGTATCAGCTTTTTCATCATCTCCACTAGAATCTCGTAGTATTTCCACACATTTGGGCTAGAGTGCAATGGTACGACGTGAGATTTCGGCGCTTGTTGCCCGTAAAAGAGGGCGGCTAACCCTCAACCTTGCTACCCTGCAGTTTTCCGAAGCCAGAAGCTGTGCGAATGAACCTGTTCGCATGTCTCATATTTTTACTAATGCGTCGACGGTGAAGTGTATTTATCGGTGGGGGTACACGAACCAGACGTTTATGACTAGAAGGCAAACCTGCGGGTAGCCGCAGTTAAGGCCCCAAAGTTGAGCTTGAGATAGCGGAAATCTACTTTTTTTTAAAACCAATAGGAAATTATCCCTGGGAAGCGGTTTCTTTGGCTGCATTTGATGCGCAGCCTTCTCCTTTTCGATGAGCTTTTGGATGAGAAAGTTCACGGTGGTACCTCCGTAAGCGAGCTATTTCTCATTACTGTATCAACTCATGGCAAGGTAGGGCCACAAAACGTGTGACAGTTCCCTTTCAGGGCTTATTCACTTGGTTCTTACCTCAATAATCTTCCCCTTCTAAGGCGACAATCAAAGTTAGCTAATAATTGTATATGCCTATCCAATCGAGCAACTTCTCTACTTGTACCGCTGTTCCTCTCACTAAGGCTTTTCTCTTCAACCCCGAGATCAAGACAGTAAGTTCTTCACCGAACCAGCATATACAGCAAACAAGATCGGCTACACAGAGCTCGCGAATTGGGAACGACCACCATCGACACCGACCATTCGGATTGCTGCACACAGCAGCTGAGCGTTCTGCATCAGATCATTGATAATGCTCGTTTTGGAGAATCCATCGCGTCCTCCAATACCTTCCGCTGGATGGAAGCAGGCTTGTGGGTCAAGTCTACCGTGAAACGTGAGGGATCTGCAGCTGCCTGGATGGAGGCTTCGCAGGAAAACTGGAAGACTTCTATTGGATTTGTTTCTCGATCAACACGCGATCCTTCTGCTAGAATTCCTGATAACTGCCAGGAAGGTCGACGGAACTCACAAACAGGCAAGGCTTCCCGAAGAGGCTCCCATCACAGGGAATAGATTTTGGTCATTTGTTATAATAGCTCTTTTTGGCGAAAGGCTCGAAAGCAGGGGCGTCCCCTTGTAACGCTGGAAGTGAAGTTGTCCGCTTAATCCGTTCAAACTATTCCAACTATTCACAAATTCATCTCGTCATTTCACCCACCAATCCATCACTGCAAACATTATTCCTGGTATGTGATGACTCCCCTCCCACGCACAGCTGTAAGGTTCCCTAGCTCATCCACACAAATGCCGGCAGGCCCAGCCGTGGAAGAGCTAGGTTTGGCCCCGGAGATATAATTCCTACTTCAGATGCAGATGCAGGTGTGCCATATGTGGGCTAGGGTAGGTAGCGTAGAGTTACCCGGGTTCGCGTGGGAGTGGCGAGGTAGATGGTTGGAAGACGCGTGGTGGTTAGCTGTTCTGGAGAGGAGAAACCGGTTTGTGCAGGATGGTCTGAAGTGTGAAGGCAGTGTGAGGGTAGGGTTGAGGGTGGAGTTGGTCGAGGATGAATCGAGAGGAAATGGTTGGTAGAGTCTTCGTGTTGAAAGGAGTGGTGATCGTAGGAAGGTGATTGGGTGGAGGATGAAGTTGGTTAATTGGGGAAGACGTCGAGCTTCACTGATGCGGCTTTGCGTTGAACACCACGTTACCTAAATTAAGAAGCAGACTACATTGTTTATTCTATCATAAGGACATCTGACCTATTCAAATGGAATACATGATAGGCACAAGTCTAAAGCCTCAAACATAAATTTTAGGAAATGAAAGACATGTCGAAATGAAGGTGGGAACCATTTCACATCAGCCTTGTTTCGAAATTAACGGGAAGCCTTCTTATAGTGGCAGAAAGATGCATCTACTTGGTGAACAACTAAGTTTACTCAAATGGTAGAGGTGATTCTACTTGACTGCCTCCTATAATTAAGTAGACTGACATTGTATAAGCTATGAACCTGCGCGTGAACCAGTATAATCATCATGACTTGGGGTATATATTGGCTTGTCCTGTTTACTGCTCTTTTTCAAAACCTAACGAGCGTGGCCGAGAGTTCCGAGACGGTGATGATTGTAATTCTAAGCTCAACGTGTACATCTCTAATAACGATAGTGTTATATGAATTTAAATGGAAGAGTAAATAGTTCCACAGATTCAATTGGACAAAGTGTATGATAACCATCAGTACGCTGCAAGACTGACGGACACCCTCTAAATTGTCCAGGTATAAAAATAGTTGGAAAGAGGTCTTATAACGCCCCTTCCATACCAGATTTATCCACTGTGAGTCGAAGAAACAACATAATATAATTACTTAATAGAATTGAGTAAATAGACTATTTTATGTGAGTTTTATTGTGACTGTACGGAACTAGGTGTCCCATCGGACTCGTAACACACTGGTACACTAAGAGTAGAATCTAGACATTTGACTACCATACTTGGGAATCTTGTTGGCAGGGTCGCGAGATTTACTAAATTTCGTGCCTTTTCATGAACTTAATCGCATGCTTTATCAAAGAGACTCTAATCCCAATATCGAGAAGTAAGACCGGCTTAGAAAACGTTGAGATCGCCCACCAAATTATCTAACAGCATGTCAAAAGGAGTTGAGGCCCAACAATAATGTCTTCCCTGGCGGTTACATTATCGGCAAACTCCAATTTAGACCTTCGAACTTCCCAAAAAGGAAAATCGAAGCCTTGGATTTGCAGAAACATATTGCACACTTGAGGGACGAGCATCAGAAAGAGAAATTTCGTCTTCTCAAAGACAGGTGCCCACCTGAGGGGGACGCCCCCCTTAACCGAAAATGGTGAATTCCATTAAGCGAAAATCAATAGGAGCTCCAGACCTCAACTTTCATTCGAATTCACAAGCAACAGCAATATTTTTTGTCTGTTTATTCTAAAGAGTGCTCATGGAAGTCTTTCAGTCATATGTTCGAGCCTTTACAAGTGTTCGTCAAATACCCCTTTACACCACAGTTTAAAGGATTTGATAAACTGCATGGATAATCCAACTTCGAATTCTCGTTGCCACGGCTACCACATTATCTTAGAATTCTGTTCAGGGTCTTGTTTTTGAAATCCATCTGAAATAAATACTTAACTTAAGGAACTGGTGACGTGGAAGGACGACTTGAACCTGACGATTAATTACACTAGTCTCTTATCTCGTAACATAGGTACATTCAACCGAAAAAGCCATATTCTTTCGATGATCGATTGATCGAGTTTCGACAATGAGATAAAATTTCGACTCTTATGGTTGATTCTTCTGCCAGAGTAATCACATGCTCCTGCACAAACGCAATTCTCAAAATCTCCATCCAATCATGAAAAGTCAAGGAAATTCATCATTGGAAACATGCTGTTCAGATGGTGAGAAAAGCAGATATTTTAGTACACATTAAAGCAAGAAAGAAGATATATTTCACGTAGGTGGATTTCTTTCCATGGACTGGGTACTTCCTCCAAGGGGGTCGTGTGTTGGATGCGTCAAATCCCGGCACGTGATCAAATATTTTGCTGCCCAAAAATGTACAGCTTTTGGTGGGGTGTTTACCACGATGCACATTCAGGCAACTTCCGAGCCACCAAATCCACCACGTCAGAAGAAGATATTTCCTATACCCATAGTTTCTCGCTGAGTTGCCTTCGAATAGCACCACGACTTCGAACAATCTCACTCCACCCCACAAAGAGCACCCTCCTTCACCGCCGCCGAACGATGCCTTTATAACTTGACTCAGAGCAATTCACGAAGCATGAGCACATCTATGCCACAACACTATCTGTCGTTTCCATAATAGTGGAACGATTCTCGCACATCACGAACACCCAATCACCCTCGGCCTGTTAAGTTTGTGAGATCATGGAAGCTCAGGTAAGTCTCCCTCTGAGGCTTGGTGGGGTCGAACCAGAAAATAAGAGCCAACTGACACCTTTTGCTCCCGACTAGGTCGAGAATGCTATTCAAATTGCATGGAACCCGACCAGCGAATATTCCCTCAAACAGCAAGCCTACGATTTCATCAATCAAGTCCGCGAAAGTGCATCGGCTCAGCAAGCATGTCTCGCCCTCTTCACACGCCGCCCAAAATGTGACGATGTCGTTCGCATGGTATCTTTAGATATAGTCAATAACACCATTCATACACAACAATTGGACACTCAGAGCCTGTTGAATGTCAAAGAGATTCTCTTGGAATATGTGCGGCGGACGTATGGCTCGGGCGACCATGAGCAAGTCGACCCGGCCAGCATCCAGAACAAACTTACGCAGACCCTTACCTTTCTCTTTGTATCCATGTACAAAGAGGGATGGGAGAGCTTCCTCGACGACTTCATATCCTTAACTACTCTTCAGAATGGCGCCAGAGATAATTTTGGAGGAGTTGTACTATTTCTTCGAATTTTGGGCTCCATCCACGACGAGATTGGGGACGTTATAATCTCGAGGACCACTGCCGAGACGAAACGCAATACTGAATTGAAGGATATTCTGCGAGAGCGCGACGCTCAAAAAGTGGCTACCGCTTGGCAAGAAATACTAGCCCAATGGATTGGTCAAAATGACAACGTTGTTGAATTGTGTCTCAAAAGCATTGGAAAATGGGTAAGCTGGATCGACATATCTCTGGTAGTAAACCAAACGAACTTGAATTTCCTTTTCCAGCTTGCGGGCCGGACGAATTCCGATCGCCGCGAGGACAAACTAAGAGACACGGCGATTGATACTTTTACGGAAATTGTGGCGAAGAAGATGAAAGGCTCTGACAAGATGAACATGATTGTCTTCTTGAATCTAGGGGAAGTTGTATCTCAACTGATTGCAAGTCCGCCGTTGAATGATTTGCGAACAACAAGTAGTTACGACACTGATTTAGCAGAAGCCGTGGCCAAGCTGGTCAACAACGTGGTCTTCGATATTGTCAAGGTTCTGGAGGATAGTAGCACTGACGCAGAAACACGAGCACGGGCAGAGCAGTTGGTCCAAGCCTTTTTGCCTCATCTGTTACGGTTCTTCTCAGATGAATACGATGAAATATGCTCTACTGTTATACCATCACTCACGGATCTCCTCACATTTTTGCGCAGGGCTAAGCCACTTCCACCAACATACTCTGCTATGTTGTCGCCAATACTCAATGCTATTATACAGAAGATGAGATATGATGAGACGTCTAATTGGGGCCACGAGGATGAACAAACAGATGAAGCTGAATTCCAAGAGCTCAGGAAAAGATTACAGATTCTCCAAAAGACCGTCGCTGCGGTCGATGAAGATCTGTACATGGAGATATTGAGCAATGTGGTCGGGAACATATTCCAGACATACGACCAACAAGGAGGACAGATGGATTGGCGTGACCTCGATCTAGCTCTTCATGAAATGTATTTGTTTGGTGAGCTGACCGTCGTTAATGGTGGACTATACGCAAAACGACAGCCGTCCGGCGTTGCAGCCGAGAGATTGATTGTCATGATGTCTAAGATGGTTGAATCAGGTAAATTTTTCACGATGAATGGTCTTTTTCAAGCGGCTAATCAAATTAGGAATTCCGTCATTTGCGCACCCGGCGATTCAATTGCAGTATATGGAGATCTGTGTGCGGTACTGCTCCTTCTTCGAGAACCAAAATGCTTATATCCCCCGAGTTTTGGAGCATTTTGTTACACTTATACATCACAATCACATCCGAGTCCGAACACGGTCATGGTATCTCTTCTTTCGTTTTGTCAAGCAGCTACGGAATCAAGTAGGGAATGTTGCAGAGACCGTTATAGATTCTATCAGTGACTTGTTGCCGATCAAAGCCGAGCTTCCTAATGATAATGGAGCTGACGATGACATGTCATCCGATCAAAGCGATCATTCTGCGGACGCGACCTTCACGGGTCAGTTGTATCTTTACGAAGCTATTGGTTGTATATCGTCCACATCTACAACTCCTCTCGATAAACAGATCCTCTACGCCCGGACCATCATGGAGCCATTGTTCTCGGACATCCAACGCCACCTACCGGCAGCCAAATCTGGGGACGCACAAGCGATTTTGCAGGTCCATCATATAATCATGGCTCTCGGTAGTCTTTCACATGGCTTCTCTGACTGGGCGCCGGGACATGCAGCCACTGCAAATCACGCTCCACCCAAGGAGATGTCTGAAGAATTCGGTCGTGCAGCCGAAGCCATTCTGATTGCTCTCGAGTCACTTCGTTCTTCTGTGGATGTTCGCACGGCAGCGAGGTCTTCGTTTACCAGACTTCTGGGTGTTCTTGGAATTGCTATGCTCCCCCTTCTTCCTCGGTGGATCGATGGTCTGTTGTCACACAATTCTTCCAAAGACGAGATGGCAATGTTTCTTCGTATGCTTGATCAGGTTGTGTTCGGCTTCAAAAAAGACATCTACTCAGTTCTAGATTCGCTCCTAACACCTCTACTTCAACGCGTGTTTGCTGGCTTAGCCGAACCAGTGACGGGAACAGATGACCAAATACAGCTCGCTGAACTACAACGAGAATACCTTACCTTCATTCAAATCATCTTAAACGAAGGCCTGGGATCTGTCCTTGTTAGTGACTCTAACCAAGGTTTCTTTGAAGCTCTCATCGTATCTGTCACTACATTAGCGCGGACGGTAAGTCATGATACTGGCAATCTGTCCGCAAGTCGACTAGCCTTCTCCGTTTTGATCAAAATGGCAGATCTTTGGGGAGGACCAAACGTCGCAACTCTTTCCGTTCAGCCCACCCCATCTTCAGGGCCACCATCGCCTGCCTTTCCTGGCTTTGACAGGTTTTTGATCGAGAGATTTCACCCCATCTGTTGGGAAGTCCTTCAAGATCCGCAATTTCGTCCAGTCACAGACGCACAAGTAAAGCAAGTCCTCAATGAAGTCTCCGCTCTACAACAGACTATCTACATGAAAACTGGAGATATGTTTCTCGAACACCTCCAAACTTCGTTCTTCCCAGCGATGGGAATCGATGGAACGGACTTTATCAAGGCGATGACCACCTCGCCTGACAGAAAAGGACTGGCTAGCTATCTCGCCGGTTTTCTGAAGCAGCGAGGCTAGACGAGGGAGCACTAGCAGAATCCAAAGCAGAGAAGACTAGGAGCTAATTGTTTTATGTGCTTGCATTTTCACGAAGGGCGTTTCTACAGCGGTTTTATATCTGACGATTAACGTGATGGATAAACATTATGATTTCGGAGGGATGGATGGTCAGGTATGAAATTTTGGCATCTGGCATGGAGAGTCTTAAGAGGCGATATGGTAGGCTAGCGATCGAACTTGGGCATGTTGCTGTAGAGAGAAAGGAATATATCTAACCATTACACTTTTTGGAAATGTGTTTTTCTAGTTGTGAACGTTTGATGCTTATTATCGTGTCGAGTTTTACTAGGCTGTGATTTGAGCAAGTTCTGCTCGATACCAGATGTTATGAGTGTACGTTGCCAAAATAGAGCGCTTCCACGTGCAGTTGCGGTTCATATACAGTGCTAGTATTATCTGTCAAATCAACCTCATAACTCCTAAACTTTTGAATCTGCCTCCTTTTCACAAAGCCATCTTCGTCATCTATTGAGCCAATATAGCTGTCAGCTCCTTCGCCACAGCATTACCAACTTCGACTGTAGAATTGGTTCCTCCGATATCTCTAGTTCGCACACCACTTTCAATTGTTCTTCGTACCGCTTCCTCGACGAGCTTGGCTTCGGCTGGGAGGTTGAGCGAGTATTGAAGCATCATGCCTATGGAGAGGATTGTGCCGATTGGGTTTACGATTCCTTTCCCTGAGATGTCTGGGGCGGAACCTGTGGTTTGTTAGCGATTGTCTACTAGAAAAGGCAAGGCAGGGGTGTTTTAAGAGAGGAAAGTGAGTGTACGTACCATGAATAGGCTCATAAATCCCATTACACTTCCCCTTCCCATCCGGAATCCCCGCCAAACTCGCACTCGGCAAAAGCCCAATACTGCCCGGAATCACACTCGCCTCATCACTAATGATATCCCCAAACAGATTACTCGTAATCACGATCCCGTTCAACGCCCGTGGATTCTTGACCATCAACATAGCCGCCGAATCAATGAGATGATGTCCGATCTTCAGCTGCGGGAATTCATTGCTCATGACCTCCGTCACGACCTTCCTCCATAATCGCGAAGTGGCTAGGACATTCGCCTTGTCTAAACTCCAAACTGGCAATGGCGGATCATGCTGCAACGCCAAATGCGCACCTAGCCTCGTAATGCGCTCAATCTCAGGTCTCGAATACGGCTCCGTATCCCAAGCCGTTCCATCCCCATCGTCCTCCTTGCGCTCGCCAAAGTATATACCGCCCGTCAACTCGCGGATGATGTTGAAGTCCGTACCCCTACACACTTCCGCCTTGAGGGGCGAGATATCAACGAGCGAGTCCGAGGCAAAATTACACGGTCGTAGGTTCCCGTACGTGCCCATTTGTTTGCGGAGCGCGAGGATGCCCTGCTCTGGACGGACGGCGCCGGTGCCCCATTCTGGACCGCCGATGGCGCCGAGGAGGACGGCGTCGGCGGATTTGGCGGCTTCGAGGGCTTCGTCGGTGAGGGGGACGCCGTGGGTGTCGATTGAGCACTGGGATTGAGGTTAGAGATGTTGGGGTGGGATGTATGTGAGAGGCGACGACTTACGCCGCCCAGGAGATGTTCTTGGAAGTTGAATGTGCCGACGGATGGTCTGCCTTTTTGGAGGACTTTCAGGATCTATATTTTTGTTAATTTTGTTCTATTCCATCGCTTCGAATATTCTTGGTCGTGAGGAACGTACTTTGACAGCTTCACGGACAACCTACCCCACCAACGTTAGCAAGACATCTTTGATCAATGGAAGCTTCCCAGACGTACCTCAGGACCACAATGGTCACCACCAAAAACAACAATGTTATGAGTTGACATCTTGCTTTCAAGTTTTTGGATTTTGGACTTGTGGTTGATGTGAGGGTTTGGGGGAATTGAGAGATATTGTGTTCTTCGACTGCCCCGCACTTCCGATCTCGGATGCACACAGAAACGAGGGAGGAATTTCCAAGTTCCCTGCAGTTCGATCCCTCCTCATTCACACGCTGCACTCAACATCACGTGTGTCTATCAATACATTTTTGCATTTAGTTAATTGGCATTTTCATGAAAGGCAGATAGTGAACTAATACCATGTTTATAAAATATTCATTCATTTTAGCTATTGCTTACCCACCACATCATTGTATCCAAACGTATACTTTTTGCAGATATTGATACTGCAAGACAAAAAAACGCTATGCAAGAATCAAGCCATCAAAATACGGCTATCTCTACAGTAGAAGGGTATCGTGACAAAGGAAACTGTTTAGTGATAAGTGTATGTGATTTCTATTCTCTCCAACCTGTAGTTTGTCAAGTTGGCGAGATAGGGAAGATGCTGGGATTGCTGTGAATTATGCTCGATGTGGTGATTTTGGTAAAGACCAAACATATATGGCTATTTTAGGAGACATGTATATATTGATATTGTCCTTCTTCCTTGCGGACTTGTTGTCAATGGAATGATTGGAATGATTTATGAGCCAAAGGGGAAGATCCGTGGTTGCGAGCAGGCTCACGGAGTCTCCCCCCTCGCATATTGGGGGTATTGGCGCAATATGCGCAGATATAGACAGGAGGAAGGCTTCGGCGATCAATGTTCACACATTCGCCGTGTAGCCAGTTGTCACAGGATTCGCTGTATTATGTTAGTCGAAGCAATGTACCGGGAAGATTAGCAAGACCTACCATTGAATCATAAATCCTCCCTCACCTTCCACATTATTGCAAACACATCTGGTAGTTCCACTCCTTGTGCTGGAAGGAGTGGCCCCGTCCGGATCTGTGACTGTCGTGGGGGTATTTGAAGAGCTATAAGGAACGTATTGGGAAGCACGTCGAGGGTTTTGTGTCGAGTATCGATGATGCCGCGGTGTTCTAGATTGAACCATCTGGGCTCGCTTGCGGTTCTCTAAAAGTTTCTTCATTTCCAAGGTAGCATCCCCGGAACCATCATCCTCGTCGACCACCGTTTCGGCCTCGCTTTCTGCACTATCAAACCGCAATGATTGTTGACTTGAGGATTCAGAATGACTATAACCTCCCGTGCTTCGCCGCCTCGAGTCCATGCTTCGTTGAGAAGTGTCGAATCTGGCAAGCTTTGGTCCTTTTGGTTGCGATGGAAGAGCGAAGGAATTATTTCGACTTGGAATTATGATTGGCTCGTCATCTGAAGATGATTCGTTTCCCGAAAGATGTTCGTAACGTTGCTGCATGGTAGGTTTTCGCACTAGATTACGTCTTGTTTCTTCCTGGATAACGACAGTCTCTGTTCTCGCTCGGCCATTAGGGTCGATGGTAAAGCGGACCTCTGTCCGAGATCTTGGGCTTTGTTCGGGGATGGATGATAAATTAGGCGGACGTTGTTGTTTGACTGGTGATATACGTCCCGTACGAAGTCTTGAACGATCTGCTTGGATTTAGCATATGCAAAATACTTAGTCTTATGTCTGCGTGCTAACCTTGCGTCCTTTTACCTCTGGACTCGCTAACGCTTCGGTGCAAACCTGGACGCGCGGAGCCCTTGACTGGTGAACTCATTATACTTCTCTCGAAACGATCCATATTTCCTCCGCCATCACGCAAGTTATAAGACCGTCGTAACTCTTCCTGGTCCCTCGAAGCTTCCCGAGTTTGGTGCTGATAAGGTTGAAGACGGGTAGTATGGCTCGTTACGGGTCTCGTTGGAGGCAAAGATACGTCTTCGAAATCGGAAGGCATTGTAGTATGGCGTCTACTAAACAGAAGCCCAGGATCAACTGCATCAAGACCAGCCGAGTAAACGTCTTCAGAAGCCGACATACTGTTGAAATCAAAAGGTGCCATTGATGTCGAGGTTTCTAGATGAGTTTGGGAAACAGCAATTTTGGGAGCGAGTGGTCGCTGCCGCTTGGTGGTAACCTTTTGTTCTGGTTGGCTAGGAGGCATGTTCACCGTATCTTGAAATATTTGGTTACTCCTTCCCCAATCAAACGAATTGTTAGCTTTATGGTTCCCATTCGCTGGTAGAAACATTGCTGCATCTTCAGTTGTAAAATCAATACTCATACCACCCATATCAGTGTCAGGCTCCCAAAATGACTTTTGGTTGCCATATATGGGAGCTGTTGCAGGTGCGGACATTGGGTAATTGAAGAAATCCGCAGTAGTGGTTGGGAAGGACAAAAGATTCGACTGTGTAGGCGTGTGCTGGGTGCCATACTGACCGTCCTGGGATTCATGCTGCATTGTACTGGTCTGTAATTTAGGGGCGAGTCTTCTTGAACCTTTCGAAGCAGTTGCTGGTGGAGTGGCTGTTTGTCCAGAAAAGGCTTCTTCCAACCGCTTCTTAGGCTTTCTCGGGGTTACGATCTGATTATGTGTATCATCGAAGCGATTATGTTCAGTTGTATAGGGACCGGGCGACGATGGCAGTTGATTGGAAGGATCCACTGGAGGTAATTGAAGGTTTGGGTTCGGTGATAAATGATGTACATGCGATGCAAGCTCTGCAACAAGATCTTGTGCAATAGACAATGGACGTTGGTGGGGAGCTATATTCTGTAATCGAGGCGTTGATACGTCTACAAACGAATTGTGTTGTTCACTAGTCAAGCGTCCTGGAGTGGAATTGAAGACCGAGTACTCCTCAGCAAATTGAGGTGTCCAGCCACTACGTTCCTCAAAGCTTGATGCAGTATTCCGTGGTGTATGGAAAGTTGGACTCGGGAATTGGCCAGACGTTGGGGTCTTCGTTGGCGTGGGTGGTTGAGCGTTTGGATTCCCAAAGCTATGGTAGGTAAGCTTCCCCCTTGTGCAAATTTCCTTTCCACTACCAAGTAACATACCTATATGCCTGTTGATCCCAACTCATAGCAAGTTTTGGATGCTGGTGTATGTCCAAATAATTGCCGCTAAGCAAAAGTTGGCCCTCCGAAGACGATGCTGGTGTACACTTTTCTTTCGGTAACGTTCCTCAACCCCATCCACGCCACGGTATCACACAACTATAATATGATGTTGATCCTGCAGCACTGTATTGTCTTACTCGGGTGGAGTCGTATCGATTGTGTCTCGAGGGCAAGGTTTGCAAATGTAAACGGAGGGTTTCGACCGGAGGATATCCAACTTTCAGATCATGTCATTCAGCCGAATTGATTCGTTCTGTAGACACAGTCGAGGTCAGCATTCACTCCTGCACAATAGGATAGCACTAGACGTACTTGGAAGTTCACTTAGCTATGCATCAATTGCAGTTGAAGCTGCCTGGGCAAGATGTCGTCAGATTTATCGGGAGCTGCCTGCAAACAAACCAAGATGCTTTGAGGTTGATGCTTATGCTTGAGATACTTCAAAGCCAAAAGACAACTTGTCCTCCTCCCTTGCAAACGAGTCCCTCCTTTCCAAATGCTAAGAATTCTTGCGTGGGCTCGGATAAATTTGTTGAATAAGGCACAAGGTTGCAACACTTCCTGGCAATGACATGAAGAAGCAACACAGAAAAGATGCCAGGGTGGAAAAAAGTGGTAGCCGGGGCCCGACAGACGCAACGCACGGAAACAAAATTTCGAGCTAGACGTGGAGTATTAGAATTACGGTAAGCCCTCCGTGACTGTATGATTATGTGGGTGACTTGTTGTGGAATGTCGATTTCAAGGGAGGGTGTCGGTTGAGAGTCGAAGGTCTTACCAGACCACGGCAACGGCAACGAGGGGTTGGCAGACGAGCCGAAAAGAAGCTTGAACCCTATATTTCGTTCCAGAAGTAAATGAATAATTCCGAGTAGCTGCAATACTCGAATTCTGGCTTGTTCACCCGGATGACAGCCAGTCTGGAGTCGGCGTTGGTTAGATCAAAGCTCGTAGAGCCAAAGTCCCCTAAGGATAGAGCCGTTTAGAGCCAGTCGTAGTGAGGCGCGGCGTGCGGCTGCTGACGATACGGAGTACTTTGGGCTTCCCATCCAGGATGGTACCCGAGTGCAGCGGATTAGTGCTATGATAGTATTGGTGAGTTTGACACTGTCATGATCTAGTTGCAGGTAATTTGGCGATACAAGTATGTAGGTCCCATGGAGGCTGCCTTGGACTTTTAAGAGAGCAAAAGATAATGATAAGACGGAGCAAAAAGCCACTTGATAATTATGATTTAGAACCAATAGCAAGACACAAAGTAAGAATTACTTTTCTTGGGTGCCGTGCGGAAGCACAAATAATACAGGCTGATGTAAAGCACCGGAAACAATCCACGGTTGCTCTATCAGGGCACTGACAGTGCATTTATTAGAGTGCAGCGAATTCCCATACTAACAATTCTGCCACGGTACCAAGCCACTTTAGGCCTACAAATCCAGACTTCGAGGCTCTCCAAGCGCTGAACTTCCCCGCTGGCCTTTTACCTGCGTGTGGTCTTCGCATGAATGAAAGGACATTATATCTACCACATCTCGCCAGTCGTCCGCCATCTTTCCCAATAATCTCTCTCCTATTTCCGGAACAAGCGTTGAAAGATAGGAGTAACACAAGATCAGCTGAAGCACAATACTGCAGTTGGCTCTGGGATTTTCTGCACCAAAGTCTGATCTCGTGGGACCTGCATACACCTTCCCAACGAGCTCCCTCGTTAAACAGAGACAGCTCCAATCCTCTTGGCTGAATGGTGACTGCACGAGATCCACAAGGCGGATTCAGGTCCAAGCCCAAGGCGGTCAGCATTCATATCACTCAGCACAATCTCCGTCTTTGTTGGACTCGCTCGGTTTCCATCCGCATATTGTAATTTCTCATTGACTTTTAATCCGTCCTGGAGGTCCAGCTGCTCGAACTAGAGCCAATTATTTGTCCTGTATGTGGAAATTCCAGATGCATCACCGACGCTCTGGCCCGAAAAAGAACATCCAACAGGTTTACAAATCTGAAAAAAACCAATCAAATCTTCTGGGAAACTCCTTCTTGATATCAATTTTCAGAAACATCAAAATGATCCACCTATCATTAACTTCCTTTTGACTGATCTTTTCATTCCTTCTTACCTTTCAACAAAATTCCTTGGTCTTTCTGGACGGAAACCAACACGACAAAGATTGCGTCAGAGACGGCTCAAAGTCATGGAAATCGAATGGTGGTTATGAAAAGTTTCGCAAACCTGCAGCTTTACTATCCGACAATCATCCTTGATCGATCACAATAACCAATGAATGCCTCTTTGCGTACCTATCAGAGCCAACGGCAAGCTTCATGCAAATCGGCCTCTAGCGAATGATAATCTACCCATCATCGGCTGCATCTCGACGAAGAAACATCCCGCACCGCAGCGGCACATATACTCCTATCTTCAGCCGGACAACGGCACGCCAGAATTATTCCAACTTTGTCTAAGCAAATCATTTAATACTTTATTTGATTGTGCATCTATTCGCGCTTCTGATAACCACTCATTCCCAAAAGCGTCAAGACCCCTATCTTTAGTATATTTCGTACATGTCCTTAAGCCTTGGTTGGCCGCTAAAGTCAGGGGAACCGATTAAACTTTACTCAACTTGATAGTATCGCGACGGAAAAGACATTAGCATATTGCCTCACTATTAGAGTTTTAATGTTAACAAAAGCAATTAATTGGCTCTCAATCATTATCATGAATAGCTGATGCGATTCGTTGTTTCAAAATCCATGCCTTTTGCGAATTATTAATCCACAACCCAACCACAGCTCGCTCGTACATATTTGATGACTTTTATGAAACTTTTCTTCGACATCACTTATTCACTATTATTTGATCCCACTAAATATCATCGGTCAATAACAAGCTACAGAAGATTCGTACAGAGATGAGCGACGACCACATGTGCATCATTCAAGATCTCTCGGCCCGAGTGTGTCCGGACTCCTCCTCTTGGCCCCTTTCTTCAATACCCTCATCGATCCTTTCGCAGCCTTCAAGAGATCTCAGAATCCTACCCATCGATCTCGAAAAGGATTCAAATTTCCCCCGCAGTACGGTACGGAAGGAATCCTATTCCCACGACCCAACTGCGGCTTCATCGACAGTTTACGGATTAAGCAGCCCGAGAGTACAGGATCTTATGCACATAAAGTCCCGATTCCCGTCTCCAAAAGCCTCATTTTCAACCTCAAGGCACACATAAGCAAAAATATAACTCAAACAGAATCCCGGATTCGACTCATTGTTTAATCCAAATAGCCTTTCTCGCGAAACTTATTTTGCTCACCATCTCCAGCGTGACCCTCGCACATAGCAACCGTATGATGCGCGTGCTGAAACGAGAGAGGAGCAGAGGCACCGAACATCATACCTGCTCAAAAATCACGACCATCACACCCGGCATCCGAGAGATCCCTCGGCGTCAAGACCTCGAGATCCCCAAAAAGAAGCGCGCGCGAGTATTAGGATTCTCGCAAAGCTGTAACGTGGGTATTTGTCAAAGTGACCAGCGTAGCACACATGATCGTCCTCCTCCATCCACCTTTGTCTGTGCGAACGAAACTGCCAGACTCTGCGTCATCGAGGGATGGATGTGTGCTCAGGCGGCCCGGTCTAGAACGATTCAGCCACTCGTCGACACGTCGCAACGTTAATCGGTTAAGATTTAACGTTGTCACATCTTAAGAGGACATCTTATGACTATGAAGTGGCTTAGTGTGTAGGTTACAGGGTATTCGTTGTTAAGTGATAGTTGTTTAGTCACCGACTTTCGTACGAGTCAAGATACCTCGCTGTTAACATGGACATCGTAGTCAAGAACAGTTCATCGAGTATCCAACTCCCAACTTCAAACTTCAAACCCACCGGACGTGCGGCGCCCACTCTAGGAAAACGGAGACGTTTGATACACTTCTCCAAGATCCTATCTGAATACCGAATACCAACCCATCCGGATCCCCTCTGCATGTTTGTCTCGGATACTCTACCAAGCCTGCGTAATTCTGGTTGAAAAAACAAAAAATAAACCTCGACTAAGCTCGGACTATCTGATCAAACTTCCCAAAGAGCAGATCGTTGGGCTTGTTTGTAACTTTAACTAATTACGTCCGGAGAGTGAGGGTAGTGGTTGAAATAGACTTTGTGCATCAAACTGCATGGTTAGGATGTAGGTTTTGGTAACTTGTTTTTGAAATGTCTTGCGATCGTTGATGCTGTTCATCAGATCTGCTTTCCTTGGTACTATTAGCAATCCGCCCAAATTGAACTACACATGCTATCCTAACCTCCGCTCCTAACCTCAAATCCGCCTCGTCACGCCCCCTCGCCTCTTGACATACACCCCCAATACCAATAACACGCCGCCTAATATACCCCCGACCCCTAAAACCCTACACTATACGCGTCTTCCACCTATCCTTCGTACATATTAACAAAGTGGCAATCCCGCCACAACAGCCCCAGCATCTTCCACGTAAAAAGCCCATTCATCATTCGCAAGCCAACCTCGATCCAATTCGTAACACAAAGTTCAGATGGGTGCGGTGTGTGCGGCGTGGCCGTTTTGGATTGCCAGCCAGCGACCAGGAAGTCTGTGCGGTGGAGTGGACGTTGCACGAGAGGAAACATTTGGGGGTTCGGGAAACAAAACGGTGGACTCGGGTTTTGGGTGCGTGTGCGTGCGTGTGAGGGATCTGATAAGATTGTGATGTTGTGATGGGATGTGTTATGTGATTAGATTAGATTGGGGGATTAGGGGGGAGGAGGTAGGTTTGAGTACGTTGATAGAAAGAGTGGTGAGCGTTTAATTATAGCATCTGAGTAGTGTATTGGATTTGTGAGATGCACAACTGAATACAATGATGAGAAGTTAAAAATGTTTTAATACTTTTCATATTATCCAAACTATCTACTCGCTCCTCCACCAGGGTATAAATAATCTTCTAGAACAGGAAACTACTCTGTCCTAGACCCCTAAACATATCAAACTATATACTGCACTCCCCTCTCTCAATTAAACAATTGCTTTTCCCGCCACTACCATTTCCCTCCCCTCGATCCTACAATCGAGTTCTCTCTCTGCTCATAAGTCATATCGCCAACGAAAACGAACGTGGCCAATCTATGCTCTCCCAATTTCCACCTCTGATAATCCCCATTCGCTATGCCCCAACCCCCCGGCGAAGTCTCCGGACTCCTCCTAATGATACGCTGACTGACTAAGGAGATAGGACAAGGAGTGAGAGGAAGGAGAGTGGTAATCATAGACATCGTTAACCAAGCCAAAAACAAAAACGAAAGAACAGCTTCAAGCGGCGTGGTAAAGATGGACAGAGAATGAAATGTAACAAAGGAGATGTCGTTAGATCATCCCTCCTAAGCCGCCCGCTAACCCATCCAGTGGGCTGGCGCTCAGAATGGCTTTTCGGTTTATTTGCGCTTGCGACATCGGTGGCATTGGTGGTGCATGTGTGTATTTGACGCCAGTGCTTCCATCCCGACTTCCCATGCCTCCGTCTCGACTTCCGACACCATCCCGAGATATGTTCATGTTTTCTCGCAAGGTGTGGTAGCCATCCCTGGATCCCATCATGGAGCGATCAGTGACCATGCCGCCAACTGATGTAGGCGGCATTGGTGTCTGCGGCATAGGAGTGTTGACCACTGAGGATGAGGGTGTCATCTGAGGAGTCGAAGGCATTGGAGGAGCATTCTCAAGTTTGGGCTTAGCCATCTGGGAAGCGCCAAGAGCACGCGTGTGCGAAGATTCGCGACGTCGTTTAGGTGCATCTTTGATCTTTGGGTGTGTGTGACACTATTCAAAATTAGCGAGATCCTTAGAATGTAATGCATGGTTATCATACCTTGTAGGCGTGTCGAAACCATGTTGTGCCTTTCTTCTTGCTGCTAACTAATGCGACCCATTCGTTGCAGCTTCCACAGAGTCCTTCCCAGACGTCTGGATTTCCGTCCATTCGTCGAGTCTCTTGTGGTTCTTGGAATGGCGATCCGGTCGCAGCACTGATACCATGCGTGAAAGACTTGTCGTACCAGAAAGCGGAGTTTTTGAGTACGAGCCATCGTCCAGGCTTGCAGATTCCGCACCAGCCTTCGCGCTTATTACCGTGACCTCTGACCCAACGAGGTGTGTAAAGATCGCCGTCAAATCTGAGTTCTTGTTCGTGTGGGATGAGATCTGGGTCGGATGGGTTCATGTCTTCCGGTGGAGGTGGCACTTGCTCTTCGTGTAGAGAGGCATATAGATCTGGAGGGTCGGATAAATCAGTGTAGTGTGAATGTAAAGAGTGAGGATCTGCGTTAGACTGCAACATGCGGAAAAGGCCGTGAGAAAGTAGTGGTGGTGGGTTCTCAAATTGGTTGTGTTGCGGGTTCTCGTGAAAGGTGTGTGAAGGTAGAAGCATCGAATTGCGGTGAAATCCGGTGTTGTTAGTGAGTAAGAAAGGGTGCTGTTGAGTTTGAAGGTTTGTCATGTTCAATGGCAATTGCGCATTGGGTAGAGTAGGTGAAGAATGTCTCGATGACATGCGTGGTGGGTGTGGTGTAAACACCTCGTGACCCTGGTGGTAGACAAATGGCGATGGTCGTCTGTTAGGCAAAGGAGCGTAGGAACCCGTAGACCATCTTTTGCTACGAGTAGAGTCCATGGTATATGGTGCTGATCGCATACTTGGTCGTGGTGAAGGAGAAGCCCTGCCTCTGCTTTGTGTTCGTACTAGTTCTGAGCGATGTTGGGGTGTCATTCTCGGGGATGCAACTGGTGACAACTGAGTTGATGACATGAGAGAATTGCGGTTTGAGGGTGGTGGGTAGTCAGAGAAAGATGGTGCTTCTGACAGAGTTGTTGAAAAGTCCTCATACGATGGCATTTCGGAGAGGGCGCCAGTTGTCGACATGGTAAAAGACGACCCAGACATACGGCGAGAACTGTATGATTGATCCAAGCTAAGTCGGTCACTGTCTAATCCAGGTCCAGCATATCGCAAGTCGAGAATGGGCGCCGCTTCGTCGGTTGAAAAAGCCTGGCCCATATTCATATCTCTCATATCTGTGTCGAAGTTGTGAAGCTCAAGTGATTCCTCACAAGGCTTACTTTGCCAACCATCTGGATTGCCAGTCAGATGATAATTCTGCTCAATTTCATCCCTTCCGTTCCAGAGGAACTTACTTTCTCCGCAGCTAGTAGTAGGTGGGTAGAAGTCTTGTTGTACTGGGAAGGCCTGAGGTAATCCATCATGAAGTGATTCTGTGGGCATGGTCGATGAATCCCAAGCTGGTAGCTGCCCATACTCTTCCGGCATACAGTAGTTGAGTGGAAAAGCCGACTCGTGTATTGTCGCAGGCCGAGGCCGTGTTACTGGTGGTGTTGGTGAAGACCACATTCCTAGCCCAACTGGTTCCGTCTTCATCGACATCTCGTTGGGATTCATAGTTACTGAAGGAAAAGACCTAGGTGGGTAGTCTCTTCTGAACTTGTTATTTGGGTTGAATTGAAAGGAGGGTGTTTGTATTTGCTGGCGCCTATAGCAGATGTGTGAGTCGTAGTTATCTATATGGCGCTGGGAAGGGTTTCTTACAGCTGCGCTTGATTTGTGTTCTCCATTACTAGAATGCCTCACGTATACTGTTTAAAGTTCGACCTTGAACCCAAACTCGTCGTCAGCAAATGACAAGTCTTACGGGGAAGTGACGAGGATGCAAGAACATAGAACGGGGATTTCCTCCACTCACTAGGATTCGATATCTTTGTGAAGAATAAAAAGAATGTGTAGCATACCAGACGTATTAAGATCGAAGGATGTACAGGTCGATATGATATACTGATCTGACGCTTGCCGGGAGGTAAGGAATGCGTAGAATTTCTCGTGTGGTGTACCCGTTAGACGAGATTGGACAGCGATGCCTCGCGATGAGGATGTGGTAATAGAATAATAGATCAGTCGACCGGTGGTAGCGGAAATGAGTGTTGTGAGATGGACTATGCAAAAGTATAGAAACAAGCTCGTTTGGGGATCGGCGCAACCTGGCTTGATGTAGATGAGAGCCAGCTCCCAGTATATAGAGCAGAAGAAAGTTAAATTAAATGACCGTAAAGGAGTGACTAGCTAGATCGATTAGGAAGAGTTGCGATTGGGACGACGCGAAAAGGTGGAAGAGGGGCAGTGCAGACACCCTAGAGGTATAAGAGAGAGAAAGGACCTTCGTTAACAGCCCTGTCCGGGTTCGGGATGTCACTCGACAACCCATGTTCACTAACCCTGACACAAGCCAAACCGCACAAAACTGGTGTGGTGAGGTCAGGACAGACGCTTGGTAGAAGCGGTCTTGGCTGACTAGGGGTGAAGAGGGTTGTGCAGCTGGAGTCAGTGTGCAGATGTGTAGATGTCGAAACCAGCGAGCGGGGGGGTTCATGATCGGGTTCCTCGGTCGATGAAGACGGGCGCATCTTCATCCAGCGGTTTTGTCTCCAAGCAGACCGGATAGCATGGTACGACAGCGATTACCTCTGCTGGATGCGGTGGCTGACGACTCTCTTACACCGCAACCAGTCCATGCCGAATGCTTAGCTGGTGTGATAAGCCAGGCTTAGTATTACTGTCGAGGGAGTATATGATTCATCTACGAGCAGCCCGCACATCAAGAACAACGAGAAACCACTTACGATCTGTCCTTGGCCCTCGCGGACCACGGACAGTTCAAGCAAGGACTCTTGTAACGTCTTGGACTCGCTGAAAATGAATAAGCAGCCTGAATACTGTGTAGCCAATAGGGCTGGCAAGGAACTGGGAACGTCGGTGACTTCGAGGGCCGGTGTTGACCAGTGAGGTCGTCGATCAGGGATCGCGTTTGGTCGCAAGATCTGGAGCTGTTTGAGGATCTTCTACACGGTCAAGGTCCGGGGCTCTCCCCGCCAGTTGCGACATGGACAACAAGGCATATCAGCCCTAATATCGAAGCGGTGGGGACGAGTCTGCTGGCGCAGAGTTGACGGCATCTGTGGCAACAGAAACGGATATCCTGGGCGACGTGGAGAGGAGGTAAGCTTTGGAGCTCTCTCGCCAGCTGTCGTAGCTCTACCGGCACCTCTTGCGTCGCCTGAAGCACATAACTTGGCGCGTCTTGAAGGATTCTTTTGCTGCCTCTGCAATGTTGGGTATGCAGGTCTTGGAAAGCTGGGGGGGATATTTGCAGCGAAAGTTTCACGTTGGCAGTCGCAACGAGTGAGGTCGGTCGTTCTTTGGCGGCAGCCGACGTTGGGTGGGTTTGGCGAGGGGGTTGGGGGTCTTAGCGAGGAGTTTCAAGAAGCGTGCTTCTGAAACAATGCAGTCGAAACCCAGCAAGGTTGGCCGTGACCACCACCAACACACCACCTCTGCAGTGCTGCTCACAAGTCCCACATGGCCGGACGAATAGCACAGGTGTGCTCGGGGGGTCGCCGCGTCGGAGAAAAGGTGAGCTCCGTAGAAGCACGAAAGAAGCACTTGGCATTCGAGAAGGTGTGGATGTGGCCCTGGCCGATGGCACCCTGAGCGGCACTGTTTGGGAAATAGACTCTGAGAGGACTCAGACAAGACGTACGAAGCGAGTCGACGGGTCGTACAGCGTCCACAGTGCACCAAAAAAGCATTGCAACAGCTCTATCAGGCTCAGCAGTCCCTCCTACCCTCAACCAGTCCAGCCCTGAATAGCGATTCCAGGCTGCCAGACTCGCTTCCACCACGCTGAACGGTGGCTGTCAAGCCACCCTTTTACCCCTCCTAATGCAAAGGCTGAGAGGTACAGAGAGATGGGGACATCGAGAACTGTGCAAACATCCCATTCCAAATTGCATCTACTCTCCCGATGCTATTAATGGAATCACCCACGGACGTTCGACGACCTGCTAGCCCACTGCAGAGTCTCTTTTCCAGAAACATAATTCCGGCTAGAAGAACAAAACGGAGTATCAAAACATCATTATTCATCGACGTCAGGTCACTCTCGGGTAATCGCCTTGGTGCTGCGTCGTTCCCCTGCCAATTTCGATCAACTTGCCACGGTGGCTGCCCCACTTCTCCCCCCTCTACACCCTTCTGCCCTTACCGAGTGCTCACTGCTCACTGCTCACCACATCACAAATTGTACGGACCGTCTGGATGGCTCCATGGCACCTGGTCAAGTACTTGCGTACAACCTCCATGTTTGATGCACTTGCGAACATGTACACATTTAACCTCTCGCTTGCAGCTACGAACACTCTGCCTCTGACACTTGCTCTACAATCAAACACATCTCACAATTTCCAGCGATCCTACTGCCCAAAGCAGTCCTCCACTATGCTCTCCACGCGACTGCACGCTGCACTCTGCACTCTGCGCCGTGGCACTTCCGCGAAATACGGTTACACGGGACTCAAGCACACGCCTTTTCCACGCTCCCAGGTTTGTGGTTGAGCCTATTTTTGGACGCGGTCAGGCTGCAGCAGATGGTGGACCGGCCCATCTGGGACGGGCGGGCAAGTGAGAGTTCGGACGTCGTCAAACAAGCTCCTTGTAGCAGTGGACATGAAATTGCAAATTGAGATGAAATTAGAACCAAACAATCATAGCGTGAGCCTCGCACTTGCAGGTTTTCGAACTTTGGTAGCCATGGGGTACAAACTCGTCGATGTTCTCAATGCTAAAAATCCTTCCACGACCCCACATGACCACGTTCTAGAGCAGATGCTCGCCGTCTCCTGCAAAGAAGACACTCTCGTGCGGGGGGCGAGGCTCGCTTAGCTGGGCTGACCTTGCTCTCCCTGCTGCCCTGGCAGCCGCGCATGAACAACGACTCTCAATCGAGAGGTTGGAATTGCCCAAAGCAGGCCTTCGCGATCATTAATAGAACTAATATCACCGCCTTATGCCAACGGGATTGGTTTGGCTCAACACAAAGTGGCCATCAACGTCCACGCGGCCGGGGGATCTTCTTGTTGTAGCTGGCATCAACCGTGTAATCGCAATCACACGCGAGGATCTTATCATCTCATCTTGAATCATGTTTCTTCAATGACGCGAGCCTCAGCTCAACCTAGCTCAAAGCATGGCCGATATTCATGCAAAAAGAAATCAGGAGGTACCACCAACATCTGTTGGCTGTGGAAACTTTTCAATTTCCTCTGAACAGGGAAAGCTGAATCTATTTCGGGTTTCTCACCCTTGAGATATTTCTTTAGTCTTCACTTAGCCAGTAAAGTAGTCCGAATTTCTCGTTTACTTCGTTCAACTTACAAACCGATGTGCTCTGACCGTCTGGTCTTTCTTTCTAGAAGACAGAAGGATGCTTCTTATTTCTCCTTATTGATCGATCGCCAGATTCCCGCTTCTGTCTCCGCTAGCTTAGCACCGGCCTGTTGGGCCATCTTACCCAGTGTATTCCATACGCCCTCGCTCTCGTCACCGCCCGTTTTCTCGGCACTGGCCCGAGAAGTATTGTCGTTGTTAAACTCCATTGCCCGTCTCTGTTCGCTTGTAAGATCTGATGCATACACATTCTGATGATAGCCTGGAGGATGCTCCAGGCTTCTTCTAGCAGAGTCGTTGCCAGCCGAAGGCAAAGCAACCGGGTAAGCAGATGATGGAGCGTTTGACGTAGAGGTGGAACTGTGCGAATACCCTCCCGATGCTGTCGTAGGAGGAGGTATACCCATCTGTGGAGGATATGACTGAGGCATCAGTCCGGATGCTTTAGGTGCTGATGTCTGCTGAGGAGGATTGTACTTCTCACCAGCCTTTGGAGGAGGAGGGATATTACTCATGGTTGGCGCCGCGCCTGGCTGTGGTGGAGGAGGGCCATTGTCTGTATCATTCTTGGTGGTTGGCGTTGGGTGTAACGGGGCGTATCTTTGCGTCGCGGCTCCGGTAGGTGCAGGAGTCGCTGGCGCGCCTGGTTGCGTTGGCGGGTATGAAGTTGATGATGTCAACGTCGTAGTAGAAGGCGCAGGTCTCGAAGTGTATGATCCATCTGAAGCTTGAGACGCCGGTAGTCCTTTTGTCTGTGGGGTAACTGCAGACGGCTTCTGTGCGGTATTGATGGGAGACGAAGTGTAAACCGGAATGCCCGACATGATTAAATTGCGGTGGATGTTGATGTGGAGAGGATATGGATCCTGGGTCTGGTAGTGCGATAATCGTCCAAGACGGCAAGAAATTCCCCGATTAGGGCTAACGATGTTTCGTATGAGCGAGGAATGTTGGTTTTGAGATTTGTAATGAGTCGTGATATGTGCGAAATGATACGACTTTGAAAGATATAATCTTGACTCTTGACTCTCGACTCTCTGGGGGTCGGTGGTGGTTAGCGGGGGCTAAAAGGATCTTGCGTGGCGGCTCCTAGTTCGTGATACTTCGTACTTGTAATCTCTTTGTTGCGCGTGAGCGTTTTGGGAACGTGAATTGGTCCTCGATTTGACAAAGACGGGATGAATGCTTTTCGAGAGTCACACTTAAAGTGATTCAAGATGTATTGGTATCTCTCTGTCCGTCACGTATCGTGGATGTCTGTTGTGAGGTGACTGGTGTACAGTCGCAGGCAGATGCAAACAAAACATTCCAATTTGGGAACCCTCAAGCTACGTCATTCACGTGATGTGGAATTGAAGTGGTATCAAGTCACGTGGGTGTCCTTTCAACATTTCTCATCTCTGATTTTGAATGTGCCTCTATTTTGAATAATGATTCTTACAAACATTTGTCCTTTTGCGAAATTCTCAGTAAATGGTTTCTTGGCTGAGATGGACTTCAGCAGACGACTTCAGTGGTAGTACCGTAGTATCCGAAACTGTAACATCAACGTGTCGATACTAGCGAGGCACATGCTTAACAGCTGTCCATTCTCGTCAATAAAGCAGTAAATACTTTCAATATACATTTAGCTACGCATAAGAGTGAAGTGGATGGCAAATGATTTGTTTCGCTATCCGCTCATCTCAGATTCATCCACCACCTCAACATTCCTGCCGCCACATCCAGTACCTCCAAAACAATGGTTTTCAACTTCATTCAGAAGTACTTGACCATTCTACCCTCTCATCCAATCCTCTTTGTTGTCAATGACCTACCTACACGAATGAGCGATAGGACAAAGATGGAAGAGTTTAGAACAGGGCGACAGTAGAACAAAAGGCTGAACAATGATATTGGAGAATCGGAATGTGACATTGTTCATATTGAAATGAGAGCTTCCTGTACAGGCTTCCAAAAGATCCATAAGATGGCTCACTCTCTTACTTCAATTATTCAACAAGCAATCACTCCTGCTAAACAATTCTGATTATCACCAACAGACATTCGATACCTTATCACCAAGAAGCATTCGATACATTCTACATACACAGAATGGCAGGAACATCCACCAATGTCCCCAGAGGATTGTACCCAAGTTCATTCCAAGTACAAACCCAAGAGACAACAGATGGCATGAAAACTTCCGAAGAAACACTCGTTAGTATAGATGAAGCCTTTGAAGAATATTTCGCTAACGAGGTTGGAGGATTGACGAGTGGGCCAGAGGATCTTGCTGCACAAGATGAGCAACGTCGCACAGAGCGCTCACCATCAATGAGTTCTCTCTCGTCCCTTTTCGACCCCAGCTTACTCTCACCAGAAAGTTCCCCTGTTACGCCGGCGAAGAAGCTAGATCACCCAAGGCTCTCCCACAAGCTTTTCGAGGACAATTATTCCAGTTTCGCACCAGTGGACAAACATCTTCCGTTTGTTGGAGAGCCAAATGTGTATTACACTTCTACTAGTGGAGCATTTGATCCTTCAGCGCTTTTCACCGGATTCAACAGAGGTTTTGACGAGCTCTCCACGGAGAACGAGCAATACCCCGAGGAATTAGCTCTCTCGCCTTCTGAAGTCTATACATATCCAGACCCAGAAAGTCCGTCTTTCAGCCTTGACACAGTCTTTCGTAGACCTACTAATCCAATGCCTCATCCAGTTCGTGGTCCGGTCCAGGCTGATCCCTTCGTTGAGCAATCAAGAAGCTCTCAGAGATTTCCACAACCTCTTGCTCCATCAACAGGTTCTGTTCATCCAGACGTATATGCTCTTGACCCTTGGGAAGTTCCAAAAGGTAAGAGAAATGCACCACTTCACCAAGCGTACGCTCAAGTGCATCCAAATGCTGCCTTGGAACTGCAGAACTGGAAGGGAAGGGAAGGCAACCAGAGAAAGAAGGCAAATGCTGGCCCCGTAAATCGGGCTACCGGATTCCGAGATGCAGCTTATAATTCTCATGAGACTGACCTGAGGAAATTGGCAGTCACCAACAATGCCAACATGGCACGAAACTCTGCGTACCCGGGATCCGTTCCAATGCAGTACGCTTCTTCCTCATCCAAGAAGAAGATTTCCTCAGCTGATCGAGATACATTGGCACGACGCCCAGCGGTTGCTAAGGCCTTCGCTCAGCCGAAGCCCTCGACCTCGAACGCACCTTCCGCGGTTCCTCACGCTACAACCCAATCATCGAGCCAGTCTCAGAGACTCGACGGTGTTATCCCGAAGGAAGTCGAGAAACAAGTCGCTCAACGTATGACAGATCTCACAGCTTCATCATCGACATTCCAAAAGCGAAAGGCATCCGAATCACCAACACCACCCTCTCCAAAGAAGCTCAAGCCTTCCACCATCGTGGTCGAGCACCCAGCTCTCTCTACGCCATCCCCAAGACGACAAGCATCCAACTCGCCTCCACCAGCTCCAAGAAAGCGCAGAGCCTCCGAAACTAGAGCCTCCGACCACACAGCTTCCGCTGCTCAACCACGCAAGACCAAGGCCGCAGAGCGGTGGGTTATGGCACCGGTCAAGTTAACATTAGAGGAGGAGATCGCGAGTATTGGACTTCAACCCCGAACCCGAACCCGAAAGCGCAAGGCGCCCGAGGTTATCGTGATTGATTCGGATTCGGAGGATGAGCTGGAAGAAACACCGACGAAGAGGGCGAAGAAAATGCCGGCGCGACCATGATGGATTTTAGAGGTAGGTGAATGAGAGATGGGATATATGAGAAGTAAGACGTAGTGGTAAGTAATAGAGGTAAGATACAGGTATTCAACCAAGTGGTTGAATACCGCAAAGTCCCTTGATGGACACAGTAGATAGATTTCCTTTTTCTTTTGGGCATATACCGGCGGTGTCCTTTGATTTTCTATTGTAGAAAATTACAAACCAAAAAATATAAACTTTAGAAAACAATAACAGATTTCCCCCTTTTTGTAGCGATTGAAACTTGGAGCTCATGATTAAGTTGATACAAAGATGGTAACTTGAGAATGGAATGTCAAGTACAGTGATAATACACTAAACAGCCGTACAACAACATAAGCCTTCATGGTGTACAACATGATCGGGCATAACCTGTCAATAATTTCTCAATCTAGTCTCTACAATATCAACATAAAGTCAATTCAATTCACACCTGGAACACTTCGCTTAGTAGACTTGACGAAACATGCAATTGTGCCGAAAGGTGTTTGACTGCCATGTACCTTATCCACCGTTGACAGTGCTCAAGCTCCGTTAGGTGTGTAGAAGGTGCGAGTAACCTTACACTCGCACCTCAAGAGACGCAATAACATACCCTCTGTTCCGGAGCGGTGATCAGCACATACCGTCTTAAAAATTTGCGAAATGAGGTCATAAACCCCAACCTCAATATTCACACCTCGCAGTCGACATTATGGATAGCAGTCACATCCAGCCAAGCATATCACATCATCACAAATGAAAACAAGCACAAGTAATAAATGTTTAAAGCCATTGTATTTGTATTATAGCCCTATAATACACATGTCCATCTATCCAGCGAGGGTATACCCAATAATCAAACGAATCCAAATCCTTAAAACACCGCGCCAATGTATTTGAACCGTTTCTGGGTCCTTGCCTGATACTCAAGTCAGCAACCTAGTACAAACAAAAAAGAAGGAAGATGACCTACCAGATCTAATAGTGAGTGAGCTTAGCAAATCGCGCGTGTTTCTTGACGATGACGGCGCCGCATGGATACCTGCGAAGAACAGTGCGGGTTTGGATGAATCGGAAGGTACCGATTTTGTAGTCGTCGTACCCGTCCTTCTCGATGCTCTCGACCAGCTCGTCATTCTTGTATGAGGTGACTCTGGTTTTGGTCAAGGTCTTGGTGATCTTGAAGGGGCCGGGGGATGGGAAGCGGGATTTCTTGTCGGTGGGCGGGAGGATGATGGTGCTGGCCTCGGAGTCGGTGGAGGATTCGCGGTCGGTGGAGGGCTCTCGCTTGATGGGGGTGGTTGGTTCCTCCTCGATGGTGGGGGGGCCGGCGTTGAAGGTGTGGTATTCGGGCTCTGGGGAAGGCTCCTTCTTGATGGTTACCTCCTCCTTACTGGCGACCTCCTCCTTGATGCCGGTGTTGTTGTCAAAGAAGGCATAGTATCCGAGCTCTGGAGATGGCTCTTTCTTGATGGTGACCTCCTCCTTAACGGGGATCTCTTTCTTAACGACAGGCATCGTAGCGGATTCTAGATGATGATTAATATGTGTTGTCTTTGACGCGAATGGAAGCACAATGTTCAACGCCTCTTTTGAAAAGATCTTTTGAAAAGAGACGTTGACGTTGTTCAGGAGGTGGGGACACAAACTTACTGATTTCAATGACGTTGAATAACTGTCTTGAGTTAAAATTGCTGGGTATGAATGTTCTCCGTGGTGTCGAACGCTGAACGTTATCCAAAGAGCGAAGGGGGGGAGAAGAAACTCTGTGTTGCGTCGACGAGTTGCTATTTATGAGATGTGCTGGTGATCACGACGACCACTTCAGACACACTAGACAGAACCCACAGAAGGCTGCGAAAACCGACTATGATTTCCGTATCAATCTTTTGAGATCACGGACGGTCGACGTAGAAAGTCGACCAATTCTGAGAATGAGCATCTCTGATTGGCAGATTCGAGGTCAGCCACGGGAACTACCCATTAGTCCTAGAATCATCCAATCCCAAACCAAAAAAATAGACATTCATATGGCTAGTAAGACCCACAAAGTGCCTCTTCCATTGTGATATTACGACAGAACTGGCTCAACACGCTAAAACGCGTATCACAACGAAAAAATATAAAAAATGATGTCCGCAACTTCGTTAATGCTTTCATCCCTCCCATCAACACAGTGATCTCAAGTCTTTTTAAAACAATCGTAACTCTCACAGCTCTCAGAAATCTAACATCATTCAATCCACCATGCCTGGCAGAGATATTACCCTCGATTCCCCCATAGGCCTCAAGGAACGTCCATCCAGCCACAAAGGCAAAGAACGAGCCCCAAGAGATGCGCCATTCATGATTTCACACAAAAGACTCCAAGAAGCATTGAACGTAGATGCTCGAGATAACACACAATCACCTAGTAAGTTGGAATCACGGGCACCTAACGGCGCCGACCGTGAAATGGCCACTAAAGCTGACGATTTGGCAGGAGATGGCAACGGCGCAGATATGGCACCCGCGGTCCCAGCAGATCTTCCTTCTCACATCGTAATAACTGCAACACCCATATCTATTGGACAGGAGTTACTCGATGAAAGCTCCCCCGGCAGGGCCAGCCGAATTTGGAAGTGGCTTTCGGCATCTGCTCGTGAATCTGCCCTAGGAATGATAGAAGATCCAGAGAAGACAATTAAGCAGAAGGGACCCTCGCTGTGGAGAGTGGTGGGACTACACATACTAAGAAAAAAGGAGAACGACGCTCCCACGGACGCATCCGCAGCCGGAAGCGACTCGACAAGCAACATCAGCGACGACAAGGGAAGCAAGAAAAAAGAATCGTCCCTTGTGCGGATGGTTAAGGAAATGGATGGAGTTGAGGACTACACACGGTGCAATCCACTGGCTCAGCAGCAATACTAGACGCGAGCGCAGATCGTGTTGAACAATAAAAGCCGCGCAGACAAGCTGAACAAAGCCAACACATTCGAAAACAACATTTTCAGCAACGCAACTGCTATTACGGACAACAAGGGAAGAAAATCAGGTCGAGTCTCCGAATAGAAGTGCAACAATCAAACCTGGAGTGCGGGTACGTGGGGTGTAATGTGTAATCAATTGAGGTTTTGTAATCGACAACTGTATTTGTTTTGTTGTGTATGAGGCTTGGGATAGTAACTCTTTGTATTCTAACAATTGCTCAATTCTTGGGTCTGGCGCCGCATGTGTAATTGCTGGATAAGGCATTGGCGCGTATGTATTTGTATCTAGTTCGAATACAACAAATGGCGTTATAAACATCCATTGACAAGTCAGGTGAAGAGGTTCTCTCGAAATGTTTTTGCTGTACAATATAACTGCGTCGTAGTGCAGTATAGCCGATTAGGTTCTTTCATGTCCACTGCGCTCTGGATCGTTTACAACCACTACCAGTTCTCAAAAATCTGGCTTCATTTGCGGTTGCCTTGCTTCCAGATACGCTGCCGTAGGCTTTCTGGGTGATAAACTTTCCTTTTATAATTGAGCAATGGAAAACCTTGTCCGACCTTCAAACATGCCTTGAGTGATACTGGTAGCAGGTAGCTCGAATTCGTGGGTGACATAGTTGTGTTCCACGACATACCCGAGGTGCTCTCTGGGGTGGCTCAAGGTAGACAACGCAACTCGCCGCCTAAAAACGATATTTAGGGGTCCCGGTTGGTAGAATATCGTTTACATCCTCCTATGATTCTAGTAAGATTTCATTTCCAACTCTGATTGATGCCTATTAATAACGTAGAAAGCTTGCTTATGCTTAGTTTCAAGTTGAAAGAACCGTTGTAAGGCCTTGCCACTTATCTTGTCCACTAATAGCGTAGCTAGTGAAGATGGTAAAGTTAGGTAGCTCGAAACGCTGGGGTCCCGGAATATCACTACTTCAACTTCTGAGAGCGAATCTCCCGGTAGATACCAACACCAACCCCAATAACCAGCAATATCGCGTTGAAGATTGCCATCATGTAGAAAGGCGCTCCAGGCGAGAGTGTATCAAAGAGTGTTCCGCCCAACTTTGTGAGCAATAATATCGCTGCACCCCCAGAGAGTGAGTACACTCCAGCGATAGAACCTTTCAAATAATTTCTCGAGCTGGAAGCAGGAAGCGCTGCGACAAGCGGGGCTGTTTCCGCGGTTTCACTGAAAGGGTTCCGCAACGTAGGATGATCCCCTCTTAGCTGGGAGGACAGATTATATCCACCCTCGTCACCAAGCACACCTCGTCCAAGAAGTCCAAGACTGCAGACGATAGCTCCGATTTGGCTGATACCAATCATGGAGACGTATAGGAACACAGCCGGACTTCCACCTCGGCCCTCCTTGTCCTTGATCTCTGGACTGACAAGTTTCGCAAAAGCCATATAACCAACGATACCAAACACACTTGCTACCAACAATGGAATATTGAAACGTCGGTAACGATCTGAGAGGTATCCAAATGCAGGAGCACAGAGAAGTGCGACTAACTGTGAGACTCCGGTCAAAATGGATGAGAGTACGTAAGCTTCCCTACATTCCTTCTTCAACTCCGGAGAAGTATCATTTGGGGAGCCTTGGCAGAAACCATTTCGAATAAAGTACGCATTGACGTAGAGTGGAATGAAAAGAGAAATTCCAACAGATGACGCTCGAGCCACGAAACCTCCCAAGTATCCAAGCCCAATTTGAGCATCCTTGAAACCTAGAATCGTTGAATCTAGAAGTAAACGCCAATATGGCAGGAAGGGCACTCTGTCGGGTCGATTGTGGTCTGCACTGCCTTGTGGGCCAAGAGCCTGGTACCCTTCAGGGGATTTTCTCCCCAAGAGCAAGTTCCACCCTTTTCCCTCCTCACCTTGTAGACCACGAAGGCCGAAAAGACATGCAACAGCCACTAGAAGCGATATCGCTCCGACAACGTAAAAGCTGTCTGCAACCGCCTGGCCTTGAGTAACACCCTCAAGACGAGAAAATCTTGCTGGTAATGGAAGAAACACTACTAAAGCGACAAGAGCCCCGCATCCTGTAAACACACCAACTAGACCAGCTAGTCGTGGTGGGCTCGACCCTGTCCTTTTATCCTGCTTGTGCTCTACTGCCTCCTGATTCCTTTGTGGTGCTAGCGGTGGTGCTCCTGCGAAATTCGACGGGGTTATTGTAACTTCGGAATCCAAGGAATTCGAAACGCTATGGCGCAAAGGATCTCTTATAGTAGATTCGGAGGATTGATGACCGTCCGAGTATTCAGGTTCGTGGGAGTTGCCAGTCATCGAAGGAAGAATTGCTGTGACCATCGTAGCACTAGGTTTGTTTACATTAGCTTCTGTTGTGGCACCCCAAATTGAAGACACTCACGTCGCCGCTCCCCCAACACTGAACAGAATCCTAGCCAGCAGAAGCTGTGGATATACATTCTTTGCTTGCACAAAGACGAAAAGTGCCAGCCCAACAATGGTATACCCCGCAACACAAACAATCCTCACTCCCAGTCGATCCGACAAAATCCCCCATATCGGACACGCAAACAGAGCTACCAGCTCATCCACGAATCCCAATGTGCCAACTAGATCTCCCACGCCATCTTTTACGCCGATAAGGTCCGTAATCACAAAGGACACGCTGCTGTTGAGGAAAACGAGGAAGGAGATGGAGAAGAGACAGACAGCTCCGAGGTAAGCGCACGCCTGTGTGGTGGTCGTGGAAGATGCGAAAGGTAGGTATTTTGATACAATAGACATCTTGGAGGCTTCGACAGGAACAATAGCCAGATTGGCAGTCTCAATGAAGGTTGTCGTGCATGTTACAGAGCTTGTGTATTCAATGTTGATGGTGACGATCAATTTAGGTTAAGCTCTGACGTGGGGCAGAGCGGGTGGATCCTCGGCAATGTCTCATCTGCAGCGATCGGATACGTCGGCGTTAAGCACCCTGATTTATTAGACATAGGTGAAGAGAGATGGAACATGCGCAATATTTTACAGTGTACTAGGCATAGTCAAGGTTAAAGGCAACAAACAACCAGAGAATGTTGTACAAGTGGAAGTGGTAGACGGAATGTACGGACCTGGACGCCGGCTCGACACGAATTCTATCGTCAATGCGGGCTCCTTTGATATCAGCTGCTCACATTGCCCAAAATTGTGTTTGCAACTTTGCATAGAGGACTGGTTAAGACGAAAGAGAAATCTCGAAATACTATATACGCGAGGCCAAATACAGAGTACTTACTAGGTAGAAACACTTACGAACGCATACGGTTAGACCTCGTAGAAGGCCTACGGTTAAAGAGGAATAGCTCTCATTGAGATAGTACTTTTAAAACATTTCTTGTCATCGAAAAAACAAGCAGAAACCAAATTAAGTGTAATAATCTTTCCATTTCTACTACTCCATCACTAAGTTATCCTAAATATCTACAACTAGAAATTAAAAGTTAAAGAGACACCACTCTTATATGCACCCATCCATCCAGCCATTTCATTAACCTCATCCAGGATATATCCCCCAAGTTTTCCCTATTATGCTACTTCATTCCAGCTCCCCTTGTAACGCCTGTCGTGATATAAAATGCAAATGCAGGATTAAATAGATCTTTTTTCGTTAATAATGGATGTTTTGCCCATTCGTGAAGTCGTATGATGAGATAATCTGATTGTATGACCTGTTCATGCGAAGACGAGGATCGCAAAGGCACCGGCGAATGCAAGTGCGATTGGGGCACTCGCTGAAGCAGCACCATTTGTGGTAACGAGCGGTGGCGCGGGAAGTGTGGTGTTGACTGGTGCTGGCGGACCAACTGTGGCGACGACTGGGACCGTCACTGTTGATAGGAGGGTTGGGAGAGTGGTTACAGCGGCCGGGGCGGTCTTGGTTGTAAGAATTGTTGATCGGAGGGTGGCAATGATTGTGGTCCCCGACAATGTGATTGTTTGCTCGGTTGGAACCGTGACGACTTCGGTAACGGGAATATTTGTCTCGATGGTAACAGCAATTGGCTCTTGGGTCTTGGTGATTGTCATACGCTCGGTTGCTTTGATAGTGTTCAGGATTGTGGTGGCAATGGTGTGGGTTTCGCCGGCGGAGAGGGTGGTGTAGAAGGTTTCAACTGTGCTGATGGTCTGGTAGACTTGGTCGGTTGTGTAGAGGGTTGTTGCGAGGGTGGTTAGTGCGACAATGGTGGTTGGAACCTTGACTTCAACCAAGCTGGTTTGGGTAGAAATGACAGTCACAGGAGTTCCTGAGACAGTTTGGATCTCAGTGACTGGAACATATGAAGTAGCTGTCGAGAGAACATAGGTTTGAACAGTAGTTGGTGGCGGAGCGACTGTAACTTGAGAAGTCTGTACTTGAGCGACCTGGGTCACGATGAGAGAGTAGCTGGTGCTGGTATAGGTGACAGCAACACCCGAAACAGTCTCGACGGTGGTGTATGGGCAGATGGAGGTCGAAGTTTGGTAGATGACGGTTGCTACGGTGGTTGGCGCAGGAGCTACGGTGATTTGAGTTGTGGCAGCTTGTGGAACCTGGGTGACGATGAGGGAATAGCTTGTGCTGGTAACAGTGACTTCCTTTCCGGAGACAGTCTCGACGGTTGTGTATGGGCAAAGGGAAGTTGAGGTTTGATAAACCAGGGTACCTTCAGTCTTTGTTACATCGGGAGCAGTAGCACTGTGAATAGTTAGTAAGATATCTTTGTGAGAGGACATTGAAGGTCGCTTACGTTGTCTCGATCTTGGTTTGAGCAATTGTGACGATGGTACTTGTGCTTGTTCGGACCTCAGTAATGGTGCTTCCTCCAACGACTTTAGTCTCAGTGATTGGGGATAAAGAGGTCAAAGTTGTGTATGCGACAGTTCCAGTGCTCTCAGTAACGGCAGGACCAGTAGAAGTCACTTGAACAGTGGCACCAATGACTGAGACTATGGTAGAGGTAGTCGTGTAGGTTTCCAAAATTGTCGATCCTCCAATAGTTTTGGTCTCGGTTACTGGGCACAGTGTGGTGTATGTTGTAGTTGTAACTCCCGTGGCGGTCGATTGAGTTACTGCTGGGCCAGTTGCGGTGACTTGAACGGTTCCTCCACCAAGAACGGAAACTATAGTAGACGTAGTCGTATAAGTTTCATAGAAAGTTGAGCCTCCAAGAGTTTTTGTCTCGGTTACGGGACACAGCGTAGTGTAGGTCGTAGTTGTGACGCCGGTACCAGTTGACTCGGTCACTGCAGGTCCTGTCTTGGTAACTTCCACGGTGGCTCCGCCAATAACGGAAACGATAGTGGATGTGGTTGTGTAGGTTTCATAGAAAGTTGAGCCAGCGAGAGTTTTCGTGGTAGTCACTGGGCAAACCGTCGTGTATGTCGTGGTTACTCCCGTAGTAGTAGTTGTCGATGTTCCAGCTGGCCCTGGGACAGTTAAAACCCCTCCACTTCCGCATCCTCCTCCTGGACAACTGGTGATGGTGAGTGTCGAAGTAGTAAGCGTTGTGATGACTTTGGTGGTTCCAGCCTGAAAATCGGTTAGTCGAAGTAACACATCTCATACAAATAGGAGACTTACATCAGTGAAGGTGCTTGTCACAGGGCACACCGTAGTAGTCGTAATAATTGTAGCCGTCACAACTGGTGGAGTGTCTTTTGTCGCAATAGCAACTGTAGCCAGAGCTAACGCGGTAAAAATAGTCTTCAACATATTGACTTGAGTGATAGGCAAGTGATACTAGCGAAGTGTATGACTTGATGAGTGAGAGATGAGATGAACACAACCGGAGAAGAAAGGTACTAAGTAACGATTGTGAAGGGACTATTTCCCTTGAGAGAGGTTGGAAGTATTTGAAGAGAGGCTGGTATGCATGAAAAAAGAAAGCGTTTGATAGAGAGGGAAACTTGGATTCTTATGTGACAGAACACGAGAACTCACAAACTTTACCAGCCATTCATAGATCCATGTGAGGTACAATCAGGGTTAACGTGAGGATAGTCTCCCATAGGATAGGCGCTGGCGTATTCGCCGAGAGCGTCCGCTCGACACCGTCATTCATGTCTCTTAGACGTTGGCAGGATATTCACGGACAAACGCCGACATCTGATGTTGTCGCTTGCCCATTCAAAGAAAGCAGGCTGAGGATAACCCTCTTGGGGGCTGGTAACCAGTGGTTGGTGTGGAAATGTCTTGCAGCGGGTCGCAAACCAACGGTATTGGTGGTTCATGCGCTGGCTCGCTTAGTGCCAACAGGGGGGAGCGTCAAGTTGTCGCGCTGCCAACCCCAACCAGGACAACGATCGCCTATCGAAACACGACAGCAAAGTAAACAACAAACGAGAGGTTGGTATTTTTGGACCTCTAACGCGACCTCTGAGCGCCTGCGAGGCTGTAGGCTACGAAGGGCGAACAACTGATACAAACGATACAAGGTATTCTAATTGTTATTTTTACCCATCGCTTTCAAGTGTTGTCGAATTGTTGGAACACTTCGCGATGTCCAGCTTCATAAACCCATCCCATGTTGGCTTACATGTTTCCCGTCCGTTCAAGCTGTGAGACGCCAGAAGCTGTCCTCTGTACTTGTGCATAATGTCTTGTATGTATCGGTTTTTGAAGCTTCCCAAAACCAGTTATCAGGTAGTTCTGCATGTCGAAGTCCCTGCATCTCGAGCGATTTTGTCACTTCGTATCGAGGACAAGCGAGCGCACGCGACTTGGGCTATCCAAGCCGTCGGCTTCAGCACGACCCCCCCGATAACTAACCCGCCCCTTGGATTTTCAGGGCATATCTCGCAAAATACCGGTCTGAATAGTGTCACTTTTAGTGCGTTGTCATGAACTTTGTTTTGCGATGAACCAGTTGTCAACCCCTCCGTCAGCCACCCCGCAAACTCTATGCTTTAGCGAGTACCGCCCCTCACTTACCCCGTCCATCACTGGACCACGCTTTTAATGTGCCAACAGTATACCAATGCAGGTGAAAGTCACTGCATACATCAAAAGCTGAAAGATCGGGAAAACCCCAGAACTGCTGAGGTACATGAGGTACAAGGAAGATCCAGGTTATAGGAATCTTCACACGGTAATGAAGATAGACGGTACATTGATAATTCCCGGCCTTAACTTGTACGACCGACGATGGCTAAGCACTAGAGTAGAGTATCGATGAACGTCGGTTTGCAAAACGATTGGAAATGCATACACCAACGGATACAACCGCATTTGGTCAGTTATACGGCCGCGTCAAAATATCCATGAGCCGTGCAATACGGATGATCTCAAAGTCAAGTAATGCCATGTCATGGAACAATGTCTGACAACGTCTGAGTACTTTTCGAGACCGCAGACCGGCACGTTGGAAATATGCGGCTGGATTTCCACTCTTATCAACAACCAACCAACCGGGGGGCTAAGAAGACGGCCGACTTCGTATTGATGACTTCAAAATGTCAATGTCTCAGGAGATCCCGAGAAACACTTTCGATTACACATGGCAACCTCTCCCGACGGTTTGCTATCTAACACTATCTAAAAGCCATGCGAAGCCACCAGTTCCCAACTTCCAACCTCCTACATTCAAACGCCAAATACCCCGCATAACGAGTTACCCGATTAACAGATCAGAACAGCCCCAAATACAAACTTTGAAATTGTCGGTAGCGCCGGCAAACAAAAGTCCCTAAAGTTTTTGAGGCTCCTTAGGCAAGTTGTTCTAGTTGATGCCTTTTTCGCTATTGCTTGTATCGAGATTTCGCTAAACACCAGCCCGAATATTTGATAAGAGCTGACGCAAAGATTTCTGACTTTTCACACATACTCAACAACCTTCTTACTATTTCTTATTTCTATTCGAAGGTACGACGAGATCTCTTTTCTTTGGTATCTGTTCGTTAAATCCGCCATAGCGTCCTTCTACAATATATTTTGCTTTGATGTGCTAGCAATCCCTCGCACCTTGCATCAGTTTACTAAGTCAAACCTCTACAAATTTGTGTACTCTTACCATTGAGACTTCTGTTTCTAGAAAGGTTTACCGAAAGGAAACAGAAAAGATCGAGATAAAACATAGGTGCCTTGACCCCTCAAGAAACTATGAACTCAGATCTACGGTTTGCAAGCTTAGATGATGGGCTGGAACAAGGAAGTTTGGTTTTTACTTTTATCATAAGGTAACGCTTCTATATCCAGTAACTGTGGTAGTTTCCACTAACGGAGTACAAATACTAATTGCAAACAGACAAACTCTGCCCATGATTACACCATCTCGCAGAAAACAAAACAAGGGGCAGAACCTCCTAGCTATTCTATCAACTTCAATTCTTTTTTTAAACAGGGCAAGCACTTTCAGTAGTTGAATTGATTCTGAGTAGGCCCCAGATAAGTTTTATTTTCCTTCAAATAAAAAACGAAATATACGATATTTTGTCAACTTAATCGAATAGTTACGCCAATCGCCTGTAACCAATATGCTAAGGAGCGTCCGCAAAAGTTACTCGAGTATCCACTCATCAAATATCCGCTTGGGCCTGCCATTCTTATGGCCAGATTCATCCACCTCGTCATCGTCGCTGCCCCTTTCCGTCAATTCGCAGGGGAAATCGCATGCGAGATGGCTTTCATGCGACAACGTTGCCCCACGATTCCGTCTCCGTACAGCTCGCGTAGAAATCTTCAAGGGTCTCGGCTAACTTCTGTCCTGTCATGCCATTTGCTATCCAATGAGCAATCAAAGAGGTATGTGGGAATGGCCAATTGAGAAATGCGATCTTCATGCTTTCAGCCTTTCAGGGGACGTTTCCAGTTCTGCACCCGTTTATGACGTCTTCGGCAGGTGTACGCGATCTGGTCCAAGAGTTAAGCGAGGCGGCGAATCGCCTCGCTTAAATACATTCTCCTTGGTGGAAATGGAGAATACATGTCAAAAGTTTGTTGTTGAAGGGGAAGATATATTGCTCCAAGGTCGTACTACTCATCCCAGTGGTGGTATGGATCTCTAGATGCTTCTCTTGGTCGCTCAAAAACCAATTGCATTGTACAGTGAAGTATTGCAATTATTTACATGAACAACCTAGATTTATATACCCCACAATCAAGCTTGCTTGACAGTATTATACCCCAGGAATAAATGTTATGAACAATAGCTCTTGATTTGTTTGGGAATTGGGACGATGCGGTCCAATGGGAACGTATACCAATTCCCAACCCAGCTTTTTCGTCCGCATTTGACAATGATTGACATGGCCCAGGTCCTCGAGTAGGACATCATCGACAGCAGGGCTGTGGAAGTTCAGATGGTATAAAAGAAGTGTCTTGCGGCTCATATTTTCTGCACTACCATCCACCCACTCAATTCATTCGCTTCTACTCAGTCAATTAATTTCTCATTACCATAATCAAATCCCACAAACAAAACTCAAGATGCGTTTCTCCAACCTCGCCATGCTCGCCCTCAGCGGCCTTGCAATCGCCAGCCCAGTAGTCAAGCGCGACACCGAAGCCGACGTCGTCAGCCTCCTAACCGACCTCTACGCAACCGTCCAGACATACACTGGTGCTATCAGTAAGTCACTTCACAAACCCACCCAAACAGCATCATACTAACACAATCTTCTCTAGATGCCACCCTTGCAAACCTCTCCCCCTCCTCATCCGCCCTGGAAAAAACCGCTGCCGTCCCTGTAATCGGTGACCAAATCAGCAAAATCACCGCCGCAATCACCTCCACCACCTCTAACATCAACGCCCTCCCCCACGTCACAGAAAAGCGCTCCATCACCGCCGTCGGCGCACCAGAAGTCGAGAAACGTCAAATCGGCGCCATCGCCGTCGCTGCTCTCCTCGGCCTCATCATCGTCGAGATCTTCGCTACGCTCGGCGCTGCCATTGTGGTCTTAGGCGCTGGACTGCTGGTTATTTTCACCACGCCTATGGTGTCGTCGTTGAGCTTGTTGATCTTGACTGTGCAGGCTGTGTTGAATGTTGTATTGGCAGGTGTTATCACGCTGTTGAACACTATCTTGACTAGTTTGGCACTTGGGCTTTCGGGGTTGTAAAGATACTTCGCAATTGTACAATTATTAGTATATAGAGTTGTAACATAGTTGGGGAGGAATAGAGTAATAAAATGGATCAGAATGTTAACGTATTTTGTTTTTGATAATCAACCACATTGAAGTGTGTCATAAGCCGCGATAATTTCTCATTGGAAAATTCATCATAATAAAAGTTGTACAGTGTTTGAGCGATTGATGGAGGGAGGAGGACTGTACCTCTCGGGTAGCGAAGACATACACCAGTCTTACTGGACACGAAACATGAGGTTACATATTGCCGGGACTGAATCGTTCTGGAAATCCAGAGAAGCGAGAAACCGAGCTTATAAGGATGCGAGAAAGAATTTATCAGGCAGAGGTTTATAATGAGCGAGTGAGTAGCAAAATCAAATCTCAACAACAATCAAACCCAGGCCTTTGAATGTTCACATTCCTCAGTCAAATACTCAACTTTCCCTACTCGGTGAGGGATTTTCGGTGTGATTCGGCGCTGATTTTCAACGCCAACAACATTCGGCCAGGAACCAAGCCAATCACTGCTATTACTTCGGAATTTGGGGAGTCATGAGAACTGGCACTTTTGAATTTTTTCATTTCTGGCTTAAAACAACGTCGTCCCTTTTACGGTAGTCTGAGGCTATATGCGCGATCCAAGCCACAAGTGCAGGAAGGAGACCGCCGATTGAGTCACTGGCCGAGTTTGACACGACTGAATTTTGTACTTGGAGTAAAAATTAAGACATATGCCTGAAGGGAGTTTATGGTCGACTGCTGATCTTGGACTGATAGAAGTAAAACTGGGGAGATCAGAGAGGTGAATATGCGGACAACGTAACGTTTCATGCTTGCCAGATAGTCTTTCGACTTAAAAAGCGCCGCGACTCGATAAGATAAATTTAACTTTTGAATGAGAGAGACAAATATTATTTACTCTAGTTTCTCAAGGTTTGAAGCAGACGTGGTGGTAGCAAGTCTAAGTAAGTTGGTGGATACCTGTTCTCCAACAGTTAACGCGCGGTAAGGAGCAGGCAGCAGATAAACGAACACTTGTTCGCAGAAAGGAAATAATTCAAGTACTAGATTTGTTTTCTAAAAAGACGAAGAGTGTATTGTGATATTAAAATCTAATGATGGTTGTTTGGGACTCGCAGTAGTTGGGAAACACGGATGAAAACGATATTGAATGGTCGCTAAACCAGAAACACTTTTTTCAAGACTACCGTCAATATCTCCAGCTCGGCGAATAACATCAAACAACTGGCCATTCTTAGATCCTTACATTACGACAATATCACGAAGATGAATAGTCACCATCCATCTTTCTCCGCCCTCCTAAACCGTCGCCCCCCCACCATCTATTCCCAACTCTATACCTCCCCCCTCACAACCCTCGCCAAGGCCCTCTCCTCAGCCCTCTCCCCCGCCATCCCAGCACCCCCAACCGGAATCCGCGTAATCTGCATCTCCGACACCCATAACACCCAGCCCGACCTCCCAGACGGCGACATCCTCCTCCACGCAGGCGACCTCACGCAATCCGGCTCGCTATCGGAACTGAGAAGCCAAATCGAGTGGCTCGACGCGCAACCTCATAGGTATAAAGTGGTTATAGCCGGGAATCACGATTTATGCCTTCAGGCTTCGACGGAAGAGATTGACTGGCGCTCGCTGATATATCTTCGAGATTCGGCAACGACGCTGCATTTTCCGGGCGGTAGATCACTGAAGATATACGGCAGTCCGTGGACGCCGAAGCATGGGAATTGGGCGTTCCAGTATCCCCGAACCGGCGCGGATCCGTGGGAGGGAGCTGTTCCGGAAGACGTAGATATCCTGTTAACGCATGGTCCGCCGCGGTGTCATCTTGATCTTGATGATCTGGGTTGCGGTTATCTTCTTGAGGAGGTGAGGAGGAGAGAACCTATTCTGCATGTTTTTGGACATATTCACGCGGGGTATGGGAAGAGGATGGTGTTGTGGGATGGGTTTGAAAGGGCTTATGAGGAAGCGGTTGGGAAGGGAGGTTCGTGGTGGGCGTTGGGGAGGATGGTGTTTTGTGTGTTTTCTCGGCTCAAGGGAGACTCGGGACGAGGTACGGTTATGGTGAACGCTGCGGTTGTTGGAGGGTTCAGAGATGAGCAGCGACGAGAAGCTATTACTGTGACGATTTGAAGGGCGAAGTGAGGGTGTTGATATCCCGTTGATCGGCAGCTCTGCCTTGTTGAAATAGCATTCGAGTTAGTTACGTAGAGATTTCGTATCATCCGTGATTATGAGGTGGCGTAGGCGATACAGAGATGCCAGAGCAGTATCGCCACGAGTTTCTGGTCTGAATTAGCCCAGACTGTCTAGTTCGTATATTGACCGAGCAAGCTCGCAATTTGAAATTATTACTTATGGGGGCGTGATACTTAGAATTATTTGGGTAAGAGATTTGGAGCGTTAGAACAACCTCCTGAGGTGGAAAAGCATCTTCGAACGGTGAAGTGATTGACCCGGGTGGACAACAGAACTATGCAGATTTTCAGGAGGAAAAAGTGAGGATGTTACCTTTTCAATAAAGTGTGGTCCAGGGACTTTTAGGCATGTTATATCTTCCTAATATCATTCAATTTCTAAAACAGATCCTCTTGTTGATTGTTTCCTAGCATTCAACACTCAAGGCTTCCATCTGAAATCAGGATGACGCCAATCAAGATCCTGCACCTGCTTCTGACTTAGACCCCTCAGCTTCTCCTCCGCATCAATCCTCTCCCGCTTCTTATTATCCCTCACCATCCACAGAGTCAACAGTAGCGACGTGAAAAGAATAGTCGTCGACGTAGCTAGATTGAGTCCATTGCCAATATGGTAATCCGGACCATCAAACAGCAAGAAAGACCATGTGGCGATGAGACCTCCAAGGTTGCCCATCATGACAGTGATACCAATTGCAGACGATCTTGCGGTGTCGGATATGACGTTCGCGGATACTTGAGCATTGCACAAGGCACCGTTTGCAAAGGCGCCGCTGGCGATGAGGAAGGTTGCGCCGTAGCGGACTTGGGCGTTGTTGGTTGCGAGGAACATGATGTAGCCTGCTATGACAAGCGGTGCGCTGAGCATTATGAAGGCGTTGCGGTTATCGTATCGCCAGCTGAGAAGTGGTATTGCGATGGTGAAGAAGGTGCCGACGGCGTATGGTGGTACGGTATGCAGCTGCTGAGAGATGAGTGTGCTCTTTGGGTAGATGGTTCGGATGATGGTTGGTAGGAAAAAGCCGAGGCCTTGGACGGTGATGTTGGTCAATAGGAAGATGAAGCCAGTGGCAAGTACGGTAGGGTTAAAGATTCCTCGTAATGTCTTTTGACGGTCCATTTTGTCTAGGACTTCAGTTGTACCGATGCGTTCTGACATGATTCTCCTCACTGCGAGCTCCTTCTCTGCTGGAGAGAGCCATCGTGCAGTTTCGGGTCGGTCAGTCATGGTGAAGAAGCCGATTAACGCCAAACCGATTGTGATGATTCCTTTGTAGGGTTAGCATTTATTTACTTTCTCCGTTAGGAAGTAACATACCTTCAATCGCGAACAACATTCTCCAATCATGAAGACTACCGAATCGGTCTAGTTTGAAGATTCCTGAAGCGAGGAGCCCCCCGAAAGCGCCCCCAACTGGACCCATGGCAACTGACTGCTGTTAGCTGAAGTGGCGGTTCAGATTTGCATATAACATACTGTAGAAAGAGAGGCGGAATGCCAACTCGCTTCTTCTGTACCATCGCGACATATAGTAGGCAACACCTGGCATCATTCCGGCTTCAAAGACACCAAGAAGAAACCGAACCCCGCAAGCTTGAGCCCTGTTATTGACAAACGCAGTGCACAGTGAAATCAGTCCAAAGGCAAGAGTCAGTCCTGGGATGTACCAGCCTGGACCGATCCATTTACAGGCCATATTGGAGGGTATCTCAAAAAGAACGTAAGAGATGTAGAACGACGTGAGAATGATGTTATAATCGTAGCCACGAAGGCCCAAATCTTTATCGAGTCCGGCGATTTTTGCATTTCCTATGAAGCGAAGTGTGAGAAATAGAGGTATGTAAGGTAAAAGCAAGAGCAACCTACCAATGTTGGCTCTGTCAATGAAACAGAAAAGATAGAGCAGAGTGACAGGTGGAATAATACACAAGTCGATTTTCAAACGTAACCTCGACTCGGCAGCTCGATCGGTCGAATATGTGGCAATGTCGTCTCTATATCAAGATTAGTCTTGTATTCTCGCCTCATTAAGACAAATACGTGGTGCAGCTGCGTAAACGGGTACTCGACTCGCACTTACTTGTGTGTGTTAGCGACCCCGTTTGATTTCTCAGAATCAACAACCCCATAGCCGATCGATGCAGTTGGTGAGGTCGACCTCGCAAAGTTCTTTGAATCCTTGTCCGACATATTGAGGCTTCTTTGGCTGTTTCTTGTCTGACTAGAGCCGGTGCTGGAGGACAACTTGGAAAGAGTGGGAGAAAGAAAAAGGTAGTTATTGCATGGTCAATTGGTCATATAAGGACTTTTTCCTCCTTGTGAGGATCCGATCTTCGAAATATTGGACAAGACACAAAGGCACAGACTCTCGACCAGGCTCCACTGATAAGAGCTTCCCCAGGAAGTGGGAGCATGCTGCCATGGTGCTGTACGGAGTACAGTAGTTGATCAGATAGCTCTGGAGTCTGGAACCCGAATTTGCTTGGGATTGACTGACTGATTGCCAATGTTGCGGGCCGCACACCGACTTGATGAGATTGCAAGGGAGGAGGACAAGCCGGGGAAGAGTCGGATTTGAACTGGAATCCGACCTCTCTGCATCTATTGGATACCGACTGAACTCTAGGCCCACTCTCAGTAAAGGGGGGCAAAACGTCGAAGCGAGCGAGAGTCACGGGAGATAAGATAAGCAGCCTTATCACACGTGATGGCCGTTCGAACGGGGCATCTTCACTTTTCCCTATGAGCAAACAACCGCAGTCGACTCTTATCGGACTGTTTCCTATCTGCCCAAACATGATTTCAATCACCATGATCAAGCGTATGTATCTTTCCTGGGAACCGTATCCGACAGAGCATCCGGAAACGTTCCAACACACTCACAATGCCGCGACCACGCGTGCCCCTAGAGGACCGACAGCGAGCGGTTAAGGCCTGCGTGCCATGTAAAACATCCAAGAAACGTTGTGACAGCAATGCACCATGTTTCTCTTGCGTCAAGCGTAATTGTGAACACGCGTGTGTCCAGGATGATTCCCGCTCCCGACAGAGTGTTGCACGAAGCCCACGAACGCGCCCATCTGTGCAACCTCTTATTATTGCGGTGCAGCGAAACGCAAAGAATACGCCTCAAAGACGCCCCGAAGAGCATGAAGTGGATGAGGCTCAAGTGCGGCCAACTACGTTGAATGGAAATCAAATTGCCAATATTACCTCGCCGGCTGAGAATGAAGGAGGTCATCCCAGTGAGGGCGAATTAACGTCAGGTAGGGACGAAGATGGCACACCTTCATTACCAGTGGAAGCGACTCTTCTTCCTCAAAGTCGGCTAATGCTCAATGCAAATGGGGAGAAAGGTAAGAGACTCTTTCAATGGCCAAAGCTGTAGATTGACCTGTCTAGTATACATTGGGAAGACTGCATCGCTGGCGTTTCTACGCTTCTTACGTCAAATACTATCGCAGCATATGGGTCCGTCTCAATTTACAGAAAACAGCCGCGGAAATGTCATGCTCGAAGCACGAATGCCAGACGAAGACTCACTCAACATGGAAGATAGCCTCGAGGAAAAGCAACTTCTTATTGATGGCTTCTTTTTGGCGGTAAGTTGCTCACGTGGTCATTCCAAGCACTACTGACAAGTACAGTCCAGCGGCATCTTGGACCTTTTCACGAAGGCTGAGATCATACAACTCTCAGAGGATGCCGAGGGTATGCAAAGAAATGACAACCTTAACGAAGGCATCCTCGACCTCATACTTGCCATTGGTCAACAATGCCGGGTAGCAAGTCCTGATAGATCAAGCTATGCGCAGACCTATTTCATCCGCGGTCAAAAGAAAGCGCTCAGTGGTATGCTAGAAGATCCAAGCGTCTCAATGATCTGGTCATTCCTGTTGATGGCTTTTTATCTCCTTGGTGCATGTCGGAGAAATGCTGCTTTTATGTACCTGGGAGTGGCAGCAAGGGCTGCACACGCGTTGGGCCTTCATGAAACCGACCAGTACTCTGCATTGAGTGACGCTGAAAAATGCCTCCGGTAACTGATAATTTGCTTTACTGGTGACGTGGAAGCTGACCTGTGTCGTTATTCAGGCTACGGACGTGGAAAAGCTTACGTATACTAGACGTGATCACCAGCTCCATTCTAGCTCGGCCCCTGGCATCTGTCTCTACGCGTCCAGGAATATACGTCGAAGATATCACAAAAACCTATTCTACTAGCTCAAGGCTAGCAACAGACGCAAATTTTGACTTGTGTACGATCATTGAGAGTGTACTTCGAAACATCAGTCAACAGCTTAATTTGGATACCGAGGCAACCCAGAGTCTGCTTCTTAGGCTGGGTCGTTGGAGCTCGAGCCTTACTCCTGAAATACGGCTTTGTTCTTTCACCACATCTATCAGGTCGGCTGACCACGAAAAGGCAATAGGTAATATACATGTCACATGCATGTATTACTTCACCGTTATGCTACTTACTCGATCTTTCTTGATACGATATTTGATGTCTCAGCTTCCGAATGCGACTAATGCTGAGCAAAATGTTGAAGAGAACCCCTCGACGCTTGACGTATCTAAACTGGCTCAGGTATCAATTGATGCGGCTATGTTTACTGCACAAACCTGCCATAACGCGTTGTCAGCGGGTCTGCTTCTTGACAACATGTGCATACTCAAGTCAGTACTGAAATGTTTGAAATGGAAAAACACTAATGGTTTTGAATTAGGGCTTGGATCTTTGCTGCTGGCCTTGTCCTTGGGTTTACCTTATTTGTCAACGTCGAAGTAGAGCCGAACCTGGAGAAAGCGTTCACAGGGGTTCGAGATGTTTTGAAAAAGCTCTCTCATCAGAGTCCACAAGCCGAGCACTATCACGATGTGCTCATTAGCTTTTCGGAAGCGATAAGTAAGCGCCGTCAGCAGATCGCACGAGAGCGTCGACGGGTAACGAGCCAATATCTCGATCAGATCCTTGTTATCGATGTCCCGAATACCTTGGAGCATCACTACCAAACACCGACGTCTACGGATGCTGAAGCATACTCCTTTGAGAATGGCAGTGTGGAGGACTGGTGGAGCTCGTCACTGCCGTTGGCTCATGGTATTCTTGAACACCCACCAGACGTCCTTCACGCGGATTGGGATGCCTTCGCTATGCAAATATCCGAGCAACTCACATATGGCAACACTGCACCTGGCGAATTATTAGACGGCACTTGAACAGACCTCGCGACTATAGAATCCCGTCCCTCTATCTTGATGCATCATGCATCATGCATCTTCAAGCGCCCACGATCTTTACATTCCACTCGCCAAGCATGGCCATCCGTCTTAAGAATTCCACTTGATCGGAATTTTTGGGAAGCCTTGAAGAGGAATGCAGGTGCCAGTCGTGACAAGCCCGCGTCGAACAATTAGACTGAGATTGGTGAGATAGCATTGAGTGCAGCAAATGCCGTCAGCAGAAGACGGTAGGAAGGATGAAGCTGAATAAGAAATGTAGTAGTTTCGCTCTGACAGAGAGAGATGTAGCACAACGCAGGCTACAGATTCGAAGGAAGTTTCGCCATCTCTAATGTTCTTCTCTGCCAGTTCAATACTGGAATACTGGTTATCGATGGTACTATCTACAAATTCGAGGACATACTTCAAGAAAGAGTCATTGCTGATGAACTGAACCTCGTATATCTGTTCGTCAGAAGAAGAAATATCCACATAGAATATGTCTCAATCATATTTCAGGAGTCGTCTCTTATCTGTAAAACTATCTGCTTCTATAGAATTAATAAGGAGCGGAAGCTTAACTAGGTAGGCTGAGGGTAGGCAAGGTACAAGCCCCGCAAGTAGTGACTTATCTCAAAGTGGGGATCTGTCGGATGTGTTCAGCAAAAGTGGCACCTCCCACTTTCAGTCAGAACGCCAACACCCTAGCCGACAATCCATACAAGTATAGTAAGGCAAGATATATTCACAGCATCAACAGTCTTGAAACCCCACGCAAAACGTGACAAACAGCCTTTGTCTTCCTCATATCTAAGAGTGCCACAACACTCCTGCACGTGAGCAATCCTTTTCAGTCTACTTAGCGAACAAATCAGCGTTTTCCCTGGGTAGTATCTACCATCAACGCCCTCATACTCGTCCAACCATACACATCGTCACCTCACATTTCTCAATCATCTCTCACTCAAACCTCACCTAACCTCCATCATGGATCAGCAAACATGGGCATCCGTTCCCTGGTCAATAGAATCTCACGGCTCCACAGCTGTATTCCACAAACATGAGGTGCCATATACCGCCAACGCAAATGCTCTCCAAAACATGGACATCTGGATTCCAGTTCCTTCCACTACAGCCCAAGAACGCCCCAGCCCAGAGTCAATGCCCGAAACGAGTGGTGTCTGGGTAATTTACGTTCACGGAGGTGCCTGGCGAGATCCATTAGTTACATCGTCCTCCTTCTCGTCCACAGTATCACATCTAGCAACCTCTCACCCACTCACCAAAATCGCCGGCTTCGCCTCAATAAACTACTCTCTAAGCCCGCGAACCCACAACCCCAAAGATCCAGACTACACAGACGACCCAAGCCGTCAAGCCAAACACCCTGATCACATCACGGACGTGCTAACCGCCCTCGCATACCTCCAAGCCAAAGCAAAATTCAGCGACAATTACATTCTCCTGGGACATTCCTGCGGCGCGACGCTCGCGTTACAAGTTATTATGTCGCGCTCCGAATGGAACGCTTCTTCCAAAGTAGCGAAGCCTATCGCTGTCGTGGGACTTAATGGGCTGTATGACATGCCTACCTTAATTCGGGAGCCCGGGGAGAAACATGCGCATTTGCAGGGCGTGTATGAGACGTTTACACGGCTGGCGTTTGGGGATGATGAGAGGGTTTGGGAGGAGATTAGCCCGATTTCGGTCGGTGATTGGGAGGGTGAGTGGAAGGGCAAGTTGGTTGTGTTGGTGCAGAGTAAAGAGGATAGTTTGGTGCCTTATAGGCAATTGGTTGACATGAAGGATAAGCTGGAGAAATCGAGGGGTAAGGGGTTGGTGGTGAGTGAGATGGAGGCGGGTGGAGATCATAATGATTTGTGGAAGGAGGGTGAGAGGTTGGCGGAGATTGTTACGGAGGTTGTTGTGAAATTGGGATGTTAGATGTGATGGATGGGGTTCAAAATGGTGTTCACCTAGCAGCAATTAATTCACTCGTCTTTCTCGGTGTCACCAGTATGTGTCTCGATCTTTTAGACATAGCATGATACATCCGCATTCATTGGGGTCTCTCTCCATGACTGAGCGGGGAATCCTCATGAAGTCGTACAGTTGGGAAGATTGGATGTCAGTAATGACTACCGAATCATCACGTGTAAAGAGCCAAATTTACAATCAACTTTTCCAGATCACTCAATTTCTCTACCAAAAACGGCGCCGGAATCATGTTTGTTTCAAAAAATTCCAACCTGATAACACATTCCCATTTCACTTCGACTTCCCCTCCTCATAATACTCCGCATAACTTTCTTGATACCCCAGCAACCTTCCCCAGAAAGCAACCACAATAAGAAAAACCCTGCTCACCCATCTACCTAACCATTCAGTAGGCAAAGGAAGTGCCAACGGCGTATCGGCTGCATACAAAAACACCAACAGCTGAAACAAACTCGGCTCCACCTTTGATTTCTTACAATCATCCAGGTACCCAAAGAAATTCCTAAAGAACTTCATCTCATCCTCATACGACTCAGGCGTGAGATGAATATCCAGCACCAAATCCTCCGTCTCCGACGCGTTCTCAAACCGATGATACTGACCCGCTGGAATCGACGCCGTTTTCTTTGCTCCCGGCTCAGAAGAGAGGATGAATGGTTTAGGGTCCAATCCCCGGTAGAAGTTTCCCGTGCCGGAGCGGATGTTGAAGTATTCGGCTTGGTGGATGTGGTAGTGGAAAGGGGGTTGGATTATGGAAATGCCGTTGGAGGAGTTGTTGGGGGGGAGGCGGTGCGTCATTATTGATTTGGAGTTGGGTGGGTGGAATGTTACTGATGAGAGGCCGTTTTCGTAGATTATGGGGTTGTTGGAGGCGTTGTTTGTGCGCGGGGGAGAGGTGGCACGGAGGAATGAGAACATTGTGGGTGGTGATGTGAGGTTGGTGATGTGAGTTTGTTGATGAGATGTATGGATGGGGATGATGTGAGGTTCAGTGTCAAATGAAGGAGGCTAAAATATAATCCACTGGACTTTGGCGACGACGAGGTAAGTTACTAGATTTATCGATCAGTAACTGGATTCATCTGTAAAGGATACAAGTCAGCTTACAACTTCAAAACGTGACCGATAGGAACAAGATAGGTTATTCGGTTACTCGTCACATCATCTCCAAAACCAGAAAGGCTTGCGGCCCGCGCACCTAAATAAGACGCATACTTTAACCCCACTTCAATTTCTATTACCACCACGGGAGATAGCGCTGAACGTACCCGACACCACTTTTGCACAGACAGGACCGCAGCCCTTTCTCCCACTTTTGGCATCCCCAAGAACACATCGAGACGTCCAACCAAATCACAGTATCCGCCTACAAACCCTGGAAAACGCGGAAGAGAACCTCATTATTCATTGCAATTGCCCGGCGATTGTACCTGAGCCAACCGCCACCCGATAGGATGTAAGGCATTTTAGATAGCGACCGAATGTCACTCCTGGTGTCAGCAGTGGGCCTAGATCGGTCATTTGTCGGATTCCTTAACGACTTGTCTACTATGAGTGAGAATACTTGAATAGGACGAGCACGATGACCGTGGATTGGCTTGGTCGCTCTCTGAATCTTGATTGAAATTCAAAAATCGCTATGCTATCCCATCAAAAACCTACCATTGCCATCGTAGGCGGCGGTCTAGCTGGGCTGACTCTATCAATCGGGCTGACGAGGAAAGGTATTCCTCACACGATTTACGAGTCGGCGGCTAAGTTTGCGGAGATTGGAGCTGGAATCGCTCTTGGACCGAATAGTATCACAGCTTTGGAACTTATTGATCCGAGAATCAAGGACGTTTTGAAAAAATGTGTGAGCTATAACGAGGGTTTGGATGGGCAGGGTGAGGGAGTGGGGGCAGATGAGTGGTTGGATATTAGGATTGGAGAGGAGCAGGAGTAAGTGTATTTTTCAAAACTCTTTTCTCTAATTTGCCAGTGTAAAGAAAGTAAAATTCAGATCAGCTATATGAATAGTGCGTCCTGTGAACTATCTCAAGATTTCTCTCGCATCAAAATATCAGTCTTATGACTTTGCTAACCGACTCTACGTATGCACAGCTTTAACTCAATAATCACAACTATACGACACACTGGATCAGACAAACCAGGTCGAGCATGTGTCCACCGTGCCAAATTTCTGGAAGGTCTCATAGACCTAATCCCACCATCCACCGCCGTCTTTGGCAAAAGTCTAACATCAATCACCGAAGTTCCATCGACTGGAAAACTCTCCCTCAGCTTCGCCGATGGAACCAGCGCTACCGCCGATGCCATCATCGCTTGCGATGGAATCAAATCAGTCGCTCGTCAGAACTACGTTCTTACCGGCCCCATTGATCAAAAAATCTCCCGGCCTGTCTTCACCAACGACGTCGCTTATCGTGGCATGTTTCCTCGTGATCGGTTCAGTCAAATCGTGGATGGTGCTATTAGCACTGGTAAAGGCAACTTATTCTGTGGACCGTCGAGTTACGTGGTGATGTATCCTGTTGAGAAAGGCGCCATGATGAACGTCGTAGCGATCAAAAATATCTCTTCCCAGAAATCCCAGGCGACTTCGTCACAGCGCGAGACGAATTGGGTACAAAATGTCACGCAGGAGACTATGCTCGAGGATTTTGAGGGCTGGGGAGCGCCGATTAAGGCGTTACTGAAGAATATCGAATCGCCACAGCGATGGGCACTTTATGATCATCTTCCCGCGTCAACGTTCGTGAAAGGACGAGTGGCGTTGATGGGAGATGCTGCACATGCTACGACTCCACATCAAGGACAGGGCGCTGGAATGGCTTTTGAGGATTCTCTCGTTCTGAGTAACATCTTGGGACAGGTGTTGAACGAGGCACCCACTCAGGAATCTGAAGTTCAAGAAACGGTTCACATGAATAAGTGTATCGAGTCGTGCCTGCAGGCTTATGATGAAGTAAGACGGCTACGAACACAGAAAGTCACGGCTACAAGTAGGGAAATGGGAGAGATTATTGGATTCGCGGGGAAGGGAATAGGGAGGGATTTGGGGAAGTTGAAAGCCAATCTTGATGTGAGGATGAATTGGATTTGGGATGTGGATTTGCCTGGGGAGATAACCAGAGGTGTTGTAATCGCGAGGAAACTTAATAGTTCGGTATAAATGTATGGTTTTTAAAAGCAATGAGTGTACTGTATTATTATCGACCGCTTGAATCGCCGTGTTGTCACATAATATTCTAGCTATTCACATATGAGCGGTAATCATAAAATTAGCATTCCGATTTCATTGGCTTCTCTTCTGCTACCTTTCGACTTGAGCTACGGACTATAACCACCTGACATTTATCCAATAACAATGCTTTCAAAGGACAGTAGTTTTTCGCCCCAAGTAACAGAGTCTCCCAACAATAACTTTATCCGACACCTGCACCCCAGAAATCTAGACCCAACTGCAAGTCCGCCGATCTCGTGGGTAACTTCGGCCAAGAACGTGCCTCTTCCGAAACGCGGATAACGCACCACACCTTTCCTGTCTGCAATCTAGTGATCGGACAGTGTACCAGATAACCACAACTATGTGCACATTAGCATTCCACATAATCACATCTCATTATCCGACTACACAAGCTGATCATATGCTTAGCTATGACGGGTAAGGGCGCATCGGCAATGGTCCTCTTCCGCCAAATCGTATCTACAGGAGACCAAACAGTCGCGAATTCCAGCACTGAATCATGTTCATAATAAGATAGCCATATATATCAATGTCGATATATTCTTTCCAGTATATACCAGACTGAAAGCTCTTGCTGGCGTCATTTCAATCACTCGTTAATACACACTCAGCCTTTGCTAAGTCGCAAAGCACATTCTTCCCAACTACACATCTTGTCTTGAACCACCCATCAAACACCCCAAAATGGCCGGCTGGAAACAACTAGACATCGGCGTAATCGGCGGCGGCATCGGCGGACTCTCCGTAGCCCTCGCCCTCCGCCGCTCAGGACACCTCGTAACCATCTACGAGCGCGCCGATTTCGCCGGCGAGGTCGGGGCGTCTGTATCCTGCGCAGCGAACGGGACGCGCTGGCTGTACGAATGGGGGGTCGATGTATCGAAAGGCGATCCGGTGTTGTTGAAACAGCTGATCAATCGGGATTGGAAGACGGGCGAGCCGGTTAGTGTGTATGATCTGAAGGATTATGAGAGCAAGTGGGGATATGCGTATTTTATGTTTCATAGACAGTATATGCATGCGATGTTGATGGAGTGTGCGGTTGGTAAGGAGGGGGAGGGGAGGGCGGCGAGGTTGCTGGTTAATCATGCTGTAAGATATCTCTTTTGGTCCAGCCTGTAGTTTGCTTGAAGGCCATAACTGACCTGATCTAGTGTGAAAGCGTGGACTCAGAAACAGGCACAATAACCTTCAAAAACGGCGTCAAAGCAATCCACGACCTCGTCATCGGCGCAGATGGCATTGGTTCCGTAGTCCGCAAAGCAATCGACATCCATCCCGTCAAGAAGCCCGCAGATTCAAGCTGTCTCCACGCCAACGTGATGACAGAAGACGCCGTTCGCCTCGGTCTAGTTGACTATTCCCAGCACGACGCGCTCGAGTATTGGGGCGGCCAGGAGGGGAAATGGGATAAGATCGTGCTGTCGCCGTGTAATGGTGGAAAACTGCTTTCTTATTACTGCTTCTTTCCGAGGGAGATGGGTGATTATATTAATCAGTCGTGGGGAGGACAAGATAGACCTGTTGAGGAGTTGCTTGCTCCGTATCCGAATTTGGATGCGCAGGTTAAGGCACATCTTGCGATAGGTATTGAAGTCCAGCCATGGCGGTTGTGGGTTCAGTAAGCAATGTCCCTATTGAGTGATATCGGAGGTACTAATTCAGCTATAGTGAACCTTATCCATATCTTACCAAAGGAAAAGTCTGCCTCTTGGGTGATGCTGGCCATCCGGTAAGAACAAATTCCTTTTGGATAAACCAGAATTAACAGCCTTGTAGATGATGCCTCATCAGAGTCAGGGCGCTTGCATGGCCATTGAGGATGCCGGTGCTTTAGGTGTTCTCTTCAACAAGCAGTATTTCAACGGCGACATCGAAGAAAGTCTCGCAGTTTACAACTCCGTGCGACTGCCTAGGGCTACGAGAGTCCAAGCAGCTGCTGCAAGAGCTGCCTATAACATCAATGAACGCATTGGTAACTTACCCCTATCTTCTAAGCGAGGATTGATTCACTAACAGGATATCAATAGGCTTCTCAGATAACAAGCATACAGCTACATACAAGGTGGAGAACGAGAAAGCTAAGCTTACGATCGAGGAGATGAATGCGTAAGTTGTCTTGCATTTGCAGCGTTCCGAATTCTTATGTGTGCTAATCGATCTGCTGCTTATAGGTACGACATGTTTATGGATATCGAAGAGCAACTCGCTGCAGCGCGTAATGTCCCATTTACGCGCAATTTCATCAAGGGGATGCCGGTTGGTCTTGATTTACCGAGCGGAGTTATCCAAGCATCTTTGTAGTATCATTTATCAGCGAATACCTGTAAAAAGTTTGAGATTATACCCTGTCCATAGAGAATACATACAAGTTATGAAAACTACCACCAAGTTTCTGACATGTGAATATTGGAAGTGGTTATTGCTGTACTTACGATGATAGGAGTAAAAAGCCTTTTGACATAAACGATGATTTTCGCCTGCACGACGAGGGTAACCTACAAGTAGGGTTCTGTTTGAGTCGTATATTCAATTAGTTATTTACAAAAGCAGTAATATATACAAATATATCCAAAGTCTTCAGCACCTATGGATCATAAGCTGCCATCTCTTTGCATTCCCAACGAGGGACTGCATTTTCATCATCAAAGAACTGCCAGGTTGTCTTCCCAGCCTCTATATGCTGACTTCTTAGCATTTTCTCTTCGTACTCCTCCCGACTCTTGATATTATAATGATGTAGCGTGAGCCTATTCCGTGTCGGTGGCCACCGCCACGGAGAAGGATATCCAGCAAGCTCCAGGCCGGTGGACCACTCCCTTCCATCTTCTCCGACAGCGATGCTGTCATTCTTCATTCTAAATGTATGTGGGTGATCTGGTCCATGACTTGAGTCTAGAAATCGGTCCGTCCGTACAATAGACTTGACATGTCTATTTCGCGATTGCTCGCCATTCGAAGCGGGATCGTCGTCAATACACGATGTATAGCCCTTCCGAATGGATTTCTGCCGCACCTCCCTGTTGTTCGAATTGTGCACCTGCCAATTGATACCCAACTGGCCAACACGCGGATCAAGCGACAGATCCTTCAATATAGAGACGAGCGTCTCGTTGCGTCGTACGACCTCGAGATACTCGTCGCAGTCGAAATGTGCCATCCATGTGTGTTTGTCGCCATAAAGGCGCTCGCATTCGTCGTTCAAGAAGAGCTGGTTGTTATGCTCGTGATGCTGCTCGGCGGTGATATAGGTAAAGGTAATATGCTCGCTGGGAATGGGGTAGGAGTAGGTGGAAAGAGGAGGAGTGCTGCCATCATCCATGATGTAAAAGCGCCTGATACCAACATGGTAATAATAGTGCGTGAAGAGTTCTGGGAGGTTCAGCGACTCGTTCTTCGCGGTGAAGCAGATCGCGACGTATTCCTCATCGTCGCCAGGTATTGAGGGTGTCGGAGGATATACATTTGAGCCAGGAATCGCGTGTAAGCCAGAATAATTGATCGCAGTTTCGTGTTCGTGGATGTAAAACGGGCTATCCCAGAAAGTCAGGTAGACTATCCAGCCGAGGAAGAACGGTAGAAGCACTAGCAGCGCCCGGAGTGGAAAGCGCGAGAGCGAGGCAATCATGTCTGCGAACCGTACAAAAAGAAATAGAATACATTGAAAAGACTCAGATCAGAATAAAATACATGATAAGGTTAAGGGGAAGTCGCAAGGATCATTCGGATCATCAACATGAGATCTTGGTTTGCGGGGCGATGCGGCACAATTGGGAGGCCCAGGGGTTTTCTAGCGCACGATTCTGTGGGACAAATTGTTTCGTATTGCTGCTCCACTCTATCACGTGGCTGCCAAACATACAGTAGGTCCTTACTAGATGTACTTTAAAGATAACTCTAAAAGTAGTTTGATAGTTAGAAATTAGATAGTGGGTAATGCTGAGATGTAAAAGTTGGAAAAAGAGAAATCCTCAATTGACCACAAGAATTTAAGAACGAGGTTGCGATTGCAAGAATACTATTGATACAACAGTAATAACTACCTGCTACTCTCCGAGTGTCCATTGACAGCTGGATGATAATATACAAATTGTATCTCAATTAAGAAAACCGAATTATTCCGTCTAATTACCATCAAGCTGCTGAGCTTCAAACATTCTTTCTCTACTGATCAATGGCAGCACCATCAACCTTACCAGTTTCCATCTTTCCGTTGTTCGCATCACCTGCGTTCTGCTCAGCAGCAGCAACATTAGCGACCACAGCGCCCTCAGCCGTGACTTCGAATTTGGTACAATCATCTTGAGCACCACGTTGAGCAACAGGCATATTAACGGGCTGGTGGTTGGCTGCAGCAATCATTGTGCAGACACGGTAGGCACCGGCAGGGAGTCCATCAGTTACCACAGCAGTGAGAAGTCCATTTCCATCCCCGGCATCATCGATACCCTTGAAGAAGGCAAACTTGGTTGGATCTGGTGGGGTTGTTGACTTGAGATCGCCAATCTCCTGTACTGTAACATGGCAATGTCCGATGATATTTCCTGCAGCATTGAGATCCTGTGGAGCTGTGTAATAGTTCGTAGTTGGGTTGACGAATTTGCCAGCATCGAGATTCTGGGTTTGAACGGAAATGCTGAACGTTTGGCCAGCAGTAACAACATCGTTTGGTTGAGGGAAGGTGATCATTGCTGCAATCATGTTGGCAGTAGCAGGAATCTTTCCCATTGGAATTGGGTTACAAGAACCGCCCGACACTTGAACTCCGTTGGTTTTGGTCAATCCCGAGCAGAAAGCAATGAAATTGTTTGCATTGCTAAAACTCGTTAGCATGGAGCGCAAATTCAAAGGCTGTTTATCTGGCGATATGTTGGCCGTGGTAGAAGAATTACTTACGTCGCAGAGGGAGCTTGACCTGCTTTGATTCCATCAGTCCCAGGCTCCTGGCCAGTCTTGCCACTTGCAGCTTGAATCAAATCAGGAGTAAGGCACTGAGCACCACCACCGGTATTTGCACCAACGAATGGTTGGGCAGCTTCCTGTTGTCGAGATTGAAGTCCCAAACCCCTTCTATGCACCGCACTCGAACTGACACCAGCAGTTCCGAGAGCTAAAATAGCGATTGTTGAGAAGAACATAATTGCGAAGTAGTGTAAAGACTGAAAGAATGAACGTGAAATTTAAAAGAGTGGCGAGAAGCGGAAGTAAAGAAAGAACTAAGTTGAGTCAACCAACTAGGTATGTAATTAAAATAAATGAAAGTGATGCTTATTTAGCCTTCTTAGAGCAGGGAAACCAAGCAACATTTATAAAGATGCAAATACTCGCAGGGCAAACATACGACAACTCAGGATCAAGTTGGACTCTCGAAAAGGTGCTTCATTTCATTTCAAACTTACACCAACGCCCAAAATGAATACACAGTGTCAGAGATAACGAGATTTACGAGGCTGTAGATCAGCTTGTCGCAGACTTCAAAACCGAGGCGAGGGGTCGACAACAGCATAATGGGTAGGTATTTGTGTCAAGGTTTGGAATCATCCCACAACCAGCACTTGCACAACAACCGAGAATACTGGTTCGCTGAGAGATCATCGCTTAAGCCGATGTTACTACAACGTTCTGTTCTTCTGTACTCGGTAAAGGTGTGAACGAAGGGGCTTGCTATAGGGGTTTGAATGCTCTCTGAAGAAGGGAGGTCAGCAATACATCTGGGGTGGATGGGCGATTCTTTCCCCTTGCAACCAGCGAAATCTACCTCCTCCCATAGGCCATTGCCAGAAATTACAAGCAGGCCGAGACGCCAACTCTGAGTGCCGATTCCTCTATATTTAACCGACGAATGAAACATAATCCTACGATTGGAAGGATGCCTCACAACGATGCAAGTATCAGACGAGGTTTTCAGTGCCAAGTAGAGATTTGAGGGGGATTGAAGCAGTACGTCAATTGGCAGTTGAACATGTAAATGGTGTCATCTAGAGATGCGAGTCGAGAGAATGAATATCAAAGGTTGACGAGATACGAGAGAGGGTGGGGAGAAAATCCATCTTCATGGGATGGACCCACTTGTCTTGAAGTGGTTAGCCCTGTCGGCCCGTCCGTCGGATCGAACCGCGCCGTAGACCGGTCCCTTCCTTTCTTTTCACAAGCTCGAACACTTTCAACGAATCTCCATCGTGTCCTAATAGAAGTCACAAATACCAATTCTGGAGACTCATGTCCCCAATACAGGTGCTGAACAACATTGTTCTGTATGAAATTCAAATGCTATATTTTGCAGAACAAAATAAGGTAAAAACTACCTTCAGTCAAATCTGTTTCAAGATTCCTCACGTTCCTTACCCTCTTTTCCCTGACCTTGGATAAGGTTAAGGGTCAAAACGCAAGATCACCGGTGTCAAGGACTATCAATGTCAAGCATCTGTTAAAACGTGGCATGCCAGTATGCTAGTCTGTACGGAGGTTTCTCGTCAGATCAGACCTCTCCTTTGGGTCTCCTCCTTGGTACTCCTGAGATGTAGTTTACGCAGGATCTACGCATGATTTTTGTTCAGTCTGCCTCGATTTTTCAATCAATCTTTGCACACGATCCGATGGTTTATTTAGACCTGTTTTAACACCCTCGAGTGCGTCTTGAGACGCGAATATTGAAGGCTTCTGACATTTGGAAGCTGTACGCCTCACTATGACGAGATTGCTCTGCATGATCGCTCCAACTATCAGCCAGCTTTCAGCGTTGCTCTATCGTCTAGTTACCATTGTTACTACTCAGATTTTTTCTTTCCTGAGTTTGCCACCGTTCTATTCATGAACACAATTAAGGTTATAAATTGTCAAACACGATCAATAGCATTTGTAGTTCCACAAAGAATGCCTTTTCATCCCGACGGACTTCTATCGTGTGTTCCGGGGTCAGATTAAATAAAATCAATTCTTCCGCTGTTAATTAATTCTTTCATTATTGCTACAAGTCCAACTAAATCCGTCACTATCATATCGTCTCTCTTTGTTCACAAAGGTTATTGTTAGGAATGAAGTGCTTAGAATCGCTTCAACTCCGGCGATGCTAGGTGATGTACCGTAGGATTCGGAAAGACCCTGTCATGCTTATGAAAAAGCATGTCTAGCGAGACTAATTCTTGGCCTGGCTTTGGGTTTACCACTCAGATAGCTTCTACTTAGAACGTCTATGTATAGTGTTTTCTTTCCTTGCTCTTTTTGAGGTTTGTACACCGGGAAACGCTCTGCGAAACCCTCAACTTTCTATACTACCATCAGTCACTTCAAAAACTCTGGAGCAGCAGTGTGTTGCCAGACTGAGGAGACATCCTCGACTGCAATAATGTCCAAGATCACCTACCAACACTTTTCCCTTATATGTAGAAACTTGCCTTACTAAAAGCGACAATGTCGTAAGATTGCTCAATTAGATTGAGTAAATTGAGATTTTTGGACCAAAAGTGTCGCTCGTTTACCGCAGGAAGATGTCCCTTCAGACTTGCAACATACTGTGGGGTAGATCCAAAAGCCAGCATAGACTTTCTTGGTCTGCTTGATCTTTCTTCGCACTGAATCTCTCAAAAGACTGTATCGGTCACCAGACATTCAGGTACGTTTCATGCTCATTATATCCACTCAAAACAACGCGTCGTCATAGCCATGGCCGCTACTGACATGAACCGCCACTAATACCCTAACAGCCTGTTACTCGCCACAAGTCATTCGTGTGCTTGGTCTTCTGATGGCAGCACTACCTTCAAGGGGTCATATTCAACTGATTTAGTGAGATTTTTGAGATTCTCGAACGTCGTATTTCCTGCTCTTACGTCACTTTACAATTCTGTAAATCGCAATCTTTCCTACACATAGATTCAACTGGATGTAGCTTTTATGTTATAGCGTTCGGCAATGTCAATTATTGCCTATTGGAGTGGGCGAGATTCTTTTGATATCGATGGCGAAGGTAAGTGAGAATAGGAAAAGCGATCTAGTCATCATATTATTAGCAAGAGCAGATCCATCTCTCGCACTTATGTTGAAAACATAGATTTACTAAAGCCCTTTTACTCTTCTTGTACTGGTCTAATCTTGAAATTTTATAGTGATTATATAGACTAGAACATGGCAAGGAACATCTCGCCGATCTAGCTCATGCCCATCCGCCGTATTGGTATTCTTCTTCCCAAAGAACTAGGTGATCACTTAAATCAAACAACCAGATGACTGCTCTCCAAGAGCTGACTGTGGACTCTCTTTTGTTCACATCGATTTCTCCTCAGAAAATCTCCTACACCCGGAGAGATCGTGTTCAAAGAAACCTGGAAATAAAAGATCTACAACTGGTTGGCCTCGGGGACTTTGATTCCGTCGAGCCCCAATTATGATGAATTGGCGACTTCGATAGCAAGTATCCTGATTAGCAGATCAACATGAGTTCGAGAAAAAACCGCGACATCATTGTGGCAAACCTTCAAATCTTCGAAGACGTCCCGTATGGCAGTAAAATAGGAAGTAAAAATTCTAAAGTTGTCGCAAGAATAAATGCTGAGACATGCGCATACGCACCGCGCCCAACTTCACAAACTACGCATTGAAAACTTCTAAACAAAAATGGGTCAATGAAATGAATGAATGAGGAATCTACTCTCGTAAGATTTCCGTCTTTGCTCTTGATCTTAATTCTCACGGTACTTCGCAATACATCTCAATCGTACCCAGAAGGTACTTCGGACCTCCAAACTCCCTCCTCATCAGCTGATACCCACTGCACCTCACATCCCCATCCCCATCCCAAAAACCGTTCTAGCCACGTAACCCACTCCCCAATAAATAAAGTGGCTTACCAAAGTTCCGCATCCACGACACTTCAGGCATACACAATTAAACCCGCCGACGCTGTGGACCATCCCATTCATTCGCCTAAACCCCCCCGGTCGTGCCTAAAGTCCAACGAACATTGTCGCTTGTATACATCCAACTCTGGCTAATACACCAGATGGGAAATTTTCCTCTCAGAGAATGCTTTATCGGAAATGCGTCTCGGCAGCACTGGCTGCTGCTGGATTTAGAAGCAATTAATCTAGGCAGGAGATATTGAGCCCTGGGCTTTTTCTCCCCGACTTCAAAAGCTGGGGATGCGGCCAGATGTTTGGGAGAAAAAGGAAAATCACGTCTGTTGCTCTTTTGCAAAGTCTCGAATATTACTGTTTTTTGGTGACTTTTCTGCTATTAGTACTTTTCGTGTAAGTCCGACTATTGATGTAAAATGTAAGTGTCTCACCGAGACGGACAGAGGAATGTAAGTTGTTGATACGAATAGTAGTTTGTTAAACAATGGCCGATTAAAACTCGAATCTGGACCTGGACTCGTAATACAATTGAGACGATACAATCGAGTAATTCTGAAGATTTCAACCATACATCATTCGAAGTAAAGACCTTGGGCTGGAGGATACCAGGACCAGGGCGACATAGGCGCTGCTTCGAATGTTGAAGCCCTATTCTTGGCTTATTCGGAAGCACTCTATCAGATATCCAATGCCCTAAAATGGCCTTCATAACCACCGTACTGTTCTGGATATGTGCGCTGTGTTTTCTAGAAATCGATGCGCAGACTTTGCCACGGGTTGCCCTCAAAAAGGGCAAAGAACCACGAAGACCACTGTCATTCACTCAAACAAGAAACCCCAATTGGGTTGCACGACAGATTCCAGTAACGACAATATATGCAGCACCATTTTTAAAGCATCATCTCCGCATGCCCGAACCACTCCAGGAGGCAGTAAATGAGCTCACCACGTCGGACATATCAAACCGCTCATCGCTCATACATGAGAGAGCCAACGGTGTAAAAACAACAGGGACAAATGGGTTGTAAGTGCATCGCTGAGATATACTAACAAATATAACGTACTGATCGTTCACCTAGATATACGTTCCCTGTAGCGATTGGAAATCCTCCCCAAACATTCAATATCATGTTTGATACCGGCTCTGGAGACTTCTGGGTATGGTCATGGCTCATGCCACAGACTCTAACTGCAGGTCGGAACGTGTACAACGGATCGAAATCAACAGAATCCGCTCGATGGAACGGTCAGTCATTCAATGTCCAATACTCCAGAGGTAGTGCCTATGGATTGGTATGGCAAGATACCGTCACAGTGAACGGGGAGTATCCTATTGCTGGGAATCCGGTTGAATGTGCGCAAAACCTGGGAGGAGATAATCTCGTTGCACTCACAGGTGTTGACGGTATCATGGGACTGAATACTTGGATAAATGATTCCGAGTATCCAGCACCACAACAGACATGGCTCAGCTATATCATTGACCAATATTTACCATGTAAGCTGACAAAATTACAAAATGAACTCAACTGACCATTTTAGTGCCTCTGTTCACAGTGGCCCTCGTTCGAGGGGGTGTTGGAACGATGGACTTTGGCAAGATTGACACCAAGAAATACACGGGGAACATCCTTTATACGCCTGTAGTACCGCTTGCAGATTGGCCCGGATCTGGATACTGGCTTGTAAATTGGAGCGGGTACTCCATTGGCCGAGGCTCTTTCAACAACTCCATCTCGCAGGTATTCGTAGACAGTGGATGTAATCTGGTGTTGCTACCACAATCCATGACCAACAAGTACTACGCGCAGGTGAAAGGCGCCTGGCAACAATCCAACGGGTTTTGGATGTTTCCTTGTTCGTCAACCATGCCCACCTTTACATTTGGAATAGGAAATTCCCGATTGACGGTTGGGGCGAAGAACATGGTGTTCTTGAACGTCGACGACGGAGTCAATTGCCTGGGAGCGATCCAACAAACGGAGGAGGATTCCTACGTTTTGATCGGAGCACCCTGGCTCGAGGGGTTGTTTGTAGTACACGATTACGGGGCAAAGCGCATAGGATTCGCCGCCAGAACATGACTCTAGGCCCGGCTTGTACGATATTGAGAGGCGAATATGTTTGGCGAATAGAGTGATTGGGCCATGTTGGTGGCAGCTGGAGGTGGACACTCGTGCAAATGACTCTGTCAGTACCCGCCGGCAAAGATATTGAATAGAGTGGAAAGAGCATGCCGAGGCGGGTCGGAAAAGTACTCCAAATAGGCAGAACAAACCGAGTTTGGCTGTCGCTCGAGAGGCTATATTGTACAAGAAAACAAAAGAGCAGGAAATCTCAATAATTGCGTAGAAAATAGAAGTCAGCCAGCCATGTTCGATGGACGGAATAGGTGTTCTGCATGCCAGTCTCCGAAAGTTGTAAAGAAAAAGCTTTCAGATGGTTCGGGGCTGTTGGTTGAGAACGACAAAAAGAAATCAATATCGAATCCTTCAATAATATACAAGCTGTGTCAAGCCTCTTCGAGAATAGGATAGATATCGTGAAATGAGGAATGAGACAAAAGTGTAAGAATTGGTTCATGTATGCTCATATTGGAGTTCGCAGGTGGTGGGTGGGTGGAGAGTGAGTCTCACCAGAAATTATTGACCGCTCACAGATCGAGCGGTGAGTCACGGCAGTACTTCAAAGAAATATCTCAAAATATCGGAAGCAGTTTACCACAACCTGGATTGATCTCTCAATTGAATGATATTCGCTGACAATCATGGCTCCAACTACTTTGCATCTCCGTTCTGAGCGTGAGTAGCCAGCATTATGATGTTGCGCAAGCTGCTAATGCGGACATCAGTGGGCAAGGCTCTTGAACACCGATCTGCACTAACTCCAACGACCACAAAAGCTCTCATTGAAGCTGGCTACACAGTCAATGTTGAGCGTAGTCCCGAGCGCATCTTCGACGATGAGGAATTTGAAAAAGCCGGAGCGACCTTAGTACCAGAAAACACATGGCGCGAGGCTCCTACAGATAACATTATCATTGGCTTGAAGGAACTGCCTGTGGAAGAGTGTAAGTTCTAGATAACTATTCTCATGGAGACGCATTCGCTAACATCAGAACAGTTCCCCTTAAGCATGTGCACGTTCAATTCGCCCACTGCTACAAGCAACAAGGTGGCTGGGAGAAGGTGCTCGCCCGATTTCCCCGCGGCGGTGGAACCCTCCTCGATCTCGAATTCTTGACTGATGATAAGGGAAGGCGTGTTGCTGCTTTTGGATATCATGCTGGATTCGCGGGCGCGGCTCTTGCTCTCGAGACATGGGCTTGGCAATTTACACACCCAGCGTCAGAACCGTTCCCTGGTGTCACCAGCTATCCTAACGAGGATGCTCTGATCGCAGACGTCAAGAAGGCAATTGTTGCTGGTAAAGAGAAGACAGGCAAAGATCCAAGAGTGCTTGTCATTGGCGCTTTAGGAAGATGTGGTGGTGGTGCGGTTGATCTCTGTTTAAGAGCAGGAGTTCCAACTGAGAACGTGTTGAAGTGGGATATGGCAGAGACTAAAAAAGGCGGCCCATTCCCAGAGATCGTGGAGAGTGACATCTTTGTCAACTGCATTTATCTCATGTCCAAGATCCCCAACTTTGTTGACATGAAGAGCTTGGATACCCCAGATCGCAAGCTCTCAGTCATCTGCGATGTGAGTGCGGATACCACTAACCCCAACAACCCAATTCCAGTCTACACTGTCGCAACAACCTTCAACGAACCTACGGTTCCCGTTGAGGTCAAGACAGAGCCAAGATTGAGTGTCATTAGTATCGATCACTTGCCTAGTCTTTTACCAAGGGAAGCAAGCGAAGCATTTAGCAAAGATTTGTTACCGAGCCTCTTACAATTGAATGACTGGCGCAATGTCCCGGTTTGGGCCAAGGCAGAGAAACTATTCCAGGAGAAAGTAGCTACTTTGCCAAAGAGCGCCTTGTAAGCTAAACTATCATGAGGCATTAGATACCAGGTGGATAGAGAAAAGCAAAAGCAGAAAATTTAACCTTTTGGAATAGCCATCTGTTCTTCACCAAGTGCTGCAACTGATGAAGTAGGCTGACGGTTGTTATGGAACGTTCTATGCGCTGTGTATAGTTCGTTTACAGTCATTGGATGCGGATGTTTTCGGATCAAGATCTTATGTTTAAGTGGGTAGTGGCCCCTTCATTAAGAGCTTTCTCATCCTTTGCTACACATTTTTCCTTCCAGACTTTGTAGTATCCGATAAGCTCCCATTTACATAACTTCATATACTTCTACTTCCGATCTGCGCATGACTCGTATCTTTAGAACATATATATACCTGTTCTAGGTACCCCCTGATTTTTGATTTCGATAAAGCCTCCCAAACATTGAGATCCTTTAATGAACGACTGAATCTATCCCACCATTCTGTTGTATAAAATGACAGACCCTAGAGCACTTTCCGGTGCATACGTTACCAAAACACATCGTTCTACGAGCTACGACTTCATCTCACCCCTCAAGTTAGATTTTGCTGGCAAGCACGTCTTGATCACAGGAGCAGCTTGGGAAGATGGCGTTGGCTTCGCTACAGCTTCAGCATTTGCTCGCGCGGGCGCATCTGTCATCGCGATAGCTGATCTTCATGGCATCTCTGACCACATCGTGGGAAAGTTAAAGCTACTTGCTACGCAAGCGGGACGACCTGAACCCGTGGTGTTAGGATGCACAGTCGACATCTCAGAACTACAGAGCGTACAAGCACTTGGGGATACTCTATCTAAAGCCTTTGGTGGCCGTCTAGATGTCGTGGTCAACAACGCAGCGCATCAAGAACCCCAAGTCCCATTCCTCGACTCAGATCCTGAAGTATACTGGCGAACCTGGGAAGTCAACGTCCACGGTCTCATGAACATGACACGCGTATTCCTACCTACACAACTTCAATCCAAAACCAACGGCGGGTTATGCATCATGATCAATATCGCCTCCTCAGGTGCGCTATCCGTTCGTAGCGGAGGCAGCAGCTATCGCAGCTCCAAACTCGCGGTATTGAGATGGACTGAGACGTTGCAGATGGAATATGGAGAGCAGGGCCTCCTGACACTCTGTGTTAATCCGGGCGCAATCAAGACGAAGATCACAGAGGGCTTGATGCCGGATTCTGTGAGAGATAGGTTTCCTGATAAGGCGGATGTAGCTGGAGATACGGTTGCTTGGTTGGCTGCTGAGCGGAGGGAGTGGCTTGGGGGGAGGTATTTGAGTTGTGTGTGGGATATGGAGGAGTTGATGCGGGAGAGGGAAGGAGTTGTGGGGGAGGATAAATTTAAGTTGAGGATGCAATTTTGAATGTGAATAGTACTAGGCTTTAAACATTTTGTTGGATTGGATTTTCTAAAGGAGCCTTATACAATGGGATTTTGGATGGTACTGCTCCGCAATGATGGAGATGGCAGGTGGTGATCAGAATTTGAGAAACTTCGGCTGAGCTCACGGACCACTTCATGAACAAAAGCATCTCACAAGGGACTCAAAATATAACTAGCTTCCTGCTTCTTAGTCAAACCACCATCGGTCTACTTTTCATACTTTTCTCTACCGCAATACGTATCGGTGGAATATTTAGTCCCAAGTCCATTACAAGCAAATCGCCCTTTCCCTTCTGAGTCACACGCTGAACCGTAGCTATTGTGGGTTCTGAATTAACGACGAGACACGGGATATATTTGTTGAAACTTAATTCTGTAAACGCACTGTAATTACTGTTACAAAGTCAATTAATTGCGAACAGAGCGCAGGTCTCTCGGCCTTGAAATCGCGGGTAGAGTTGAGATATTCCATCTTGATATCCGACAACTCAAGGCCCCAAAACCATTCAGAAAATGGCAAATTCCAAGTAAGTACTTTCCATTATCCAGAAAATTTCGCTGATCAGCCCAGGTATGAATATGTAAAGGCCTTTGAGCAACCGGATATCTTGCTTCCCAACACCTGGATAGTCGTTCGCATCGACGGGCGAGGCTTTCACAAGTACTTGCACTCTAAACCTGATTCTAAAACAACGCAACTAACAAATGCAGATTCTCAGCAAAATATGCCTTTGAGAAGCCGAATGATCGACGGGCACTAGATCTTATGAATATGGCTTCGAAAGCAGTACTGACTGATCTACCTGACATTGTTATTGCGTATGGCATTAGTGATGAGTACAGGTATTCCAACAAAACTTTGGATATGGAAACGTCGCGATGAGATGCTGACTGTTTCCAAGTTTCGTGTTTCACAAGACCTGTGCTCTTTTTGAGCGACGTGAAAGGTAAGGAACTCGTTCTAGTGTGGAAGCAGGACGTCGAAAGCTGACTTTCGACGAAGCAAAATTGTCAGCACCGTTGTCTCTACTTTCACAGCACACTACATATACCACTGGAATACCTTCTTCCCCGAACAACCACTCACTCTACCACTCCCAAGTTTTGACGGTAGAGCAGTGTTGTATCCAACTATTCAGAATCTACGGGATTATATGAGTTGGAGACAGGTCGATTGTAAGTGCTCTCTGCTAGCGTGAGATTATGAGATTGATGTGGTTTAGGTCACATCAACAATTTGTACAACACTACCTTTTGGACGTTAATTCAGCAAGGGGGGATGGAGCCACAAGAAGCAGAGAAAGCGCTTGCAGTAAAGTCATCCCCGTTCTTTTCCAGGTTCAGTCTAACGTAGTACAGGGAACTCTCGCGGCCGAGAAGAACGAGATCCTATTCTCTAGATTCAATATCAACTACAACAATGAAGCAGAAATCTACAAGAAAGGGAGCATTGTTCTTCGCGACGTATGTCTAATCCACTTCAAAGTTCGATTAGTAGTTGACATATCCTAGTACGAATTGGTTGAGCCAGGAACTTCTCACGAACCACTCGATGAAAACTCAGCCAAGACGGTTGAGGAGCAACAGTTGTCGAAGACGCAAGAAGAGAAAGACCGCAAGAGAAGAGCCAAGGCAAGAATCACAGTGCAACACGTAGACATGATCAAAGACGAATTCTGGGAACGAAGACCATGGTTATTGTCGAACAAGCCCGGGAAGATCCCCAAAGAGCCATAGAAATATTTGAACATTTTCTGAAAGCGCCGTCTGAAATGCTACAGTCTATGTCTGATAACCCCAACGCCGCGCTAAGTATTTTGCAAATCTGACAATGAACCCAGTAATCAAGACTTTTTACTTTTATCCTTGCGCTTCGCTTTCAGCTCTTTTCGTTTCTGCTTTTCGGCTTTCCTGGAGGAGACTTCGATGTAATTCTTCTCAGCCTCTTTGGCGAGTTTCTTCTGTCGTCTTCTTTCCCTTCGCTCTTCTTTGGTTTCCGACTGCTTTATATCTCCCTCCAATTCTGTTGATGATTCCTTAACAGCAACTGATCTCCGCGCAGCTCTCTTCAATTCCTTCCTCTTCCTCCGCTCCTCCTTCGTTTCCTTCCCTTCTCGCTCACTCTTTTTCCTTCTCTCGGGTTTTGTGTCCGTCTCTATATCGCTCGAAATATTCGAATCAACCTGCTTCTCAATCGTCCCCGTCAACCCCTCCCCCCTAACAAAACTCGCATACAATCCCCCCTTCCCCACAAACTTCGAACCCCCCCTCTTAACCATATCCAACCCACCACTCGTAACCGTCTGTACGACCATCCCCTGCGTCGACGTATCCAGCCCCTTCAAACTACTATCAAACGCGTTCAGCCACCACATGTCGCTCGTTCGGTGCGCTTTCTTGCCTACGCCGAGCGTGTTGTCTTTGCGCGAGACGAGGAGGGGGCGTCGGAGACCGGTGGTGTCGGTGGTAGGGTGGAGGGAGTGGCCTGTTCCGCGCCAGCCTTGGGATGTGAGGAGGGCGTGGGCGTCCATTGTGGCAGAGCGACGAGGTGGTGGTGGTGGGAGTTGTGAATGTTGGCTGAGGGATGAAATGGGCGAGAAGTTCTTATCGGGGGATGTGGAAAATTGTTGTTCGCAATCTTAGCGTTGTTTGTGGAGTTTAGTACGAAAGGTACACCACATCGGAGCACTGTACAATGTAAAGCTGGATCAGGTAAAAGAACTACCATTTTAAAATGACCAAAATAAGTCCAGCAACTCTTCGGTTTATTTGCCAACTTTAAGGACCATAGCTATTGTCGTTGTGTGACAAAGTAAGGATGATAAAGTTTTGCTACAGGTCTAGAGCGAGCGTACATCACGTGGCAGTTCACACCCCTTCATTTCTTGGGATGTCAGTCGGTCACTTCCTTCGCGCATTGTCAACAGTTTGAAATACAATCAGAACATTATTATTGTTTATTAAGAGCATCAATTCTATTTTAATTTTACTTTTCCATCACCTAATTCCAATCGTCATTCAATTTATTCAATACCACGAACCCGAACGCGACTACACTTTGATTCTTGCTGACAACCTCCTCGGACAAGGCTTGTATCCAGATCGTCGGATTCGAACCATACTCTCGGGTGGAGTCAATGCTGGCATACTCGTTAACTCTTGTTGTTCTATCGCTGGGGATGGATGCACCTCTAAACTATATCAATCATCAAACCTCTGATCTCGGGTCTTTGAATGAGGGCTTTTGACGTCGATTTGGTCATGCCGCCCAAGACACTACTGGTGTCAGTCTTCATTACTATCAATGTGCCGATAGCTTCTCCGTTGTTTCCGCCATACCTTTGTCGTCTTCTCTCTATTGGTACATTACACGTGCTGGAGCTGCAGTAACGAAATGCTGTAAACGTGCGAAAGGCAGATGTCTTCCACCTAGCCGTTGAAGGATGACTCAATGGCTTAGTGTGTCTTTGTGAAAATCGGAATCCTGGTGGTAAAAGCATGATGATACTTTTCTGCTATTTCGACATTAATTGTTGAGACGATTCGACATTCTCTCTAGACGAACTCTTCATGGTACTTGGAAAATGGGGGGGACGTTTGTACTTCTTGGTTCAAAGCATGATGCTCAGCACTGAGCGTTCATCAAGTCAATGAAGAGTTGGCTCCAGAGATCACCACTTGCGTTTGCCATGCATGACCTTCTCCCAGGTCTGTTCAGCCACGAGAAGGTGCTGAATAGCCGAATGGTGAAGGCCAACCTTCGCAGGTTTGGTCTTCTCTGCAAAGATATGGCGTTCGGCAAGAAGCAAAAGGCGCTGCTTAAATTAGCTATTGTCTTGCCTGTTTTGGAATTCCCAGTCAAATGTACCTCTGCGTCGTATCTGAGGGACTTGGCGCCTTTCTCCATACTCGAAATGAGGCTTTTCATACGAGCCACCGACTTCTCATCGCGGCCTAGATCCCTGATAGCCATACCAACATTCTGAAGGTTCTTGGAGAGCTACATTCGACAGTCAGCATGCTTTTCGTGGGGCGCTCAATTTGGTTCCATATACTATTCTGAAGGCTTCTTGGGGCGCATTCTGAGCCTCGTACTGTGCGAATGGCTGTGGATTCGACTCCATCTCCTCGATGCAGTCTTTTACGACTTTGTTGATTGCCCCTATTTCAGCGTGAACAGCAGAGGCTGTCATCTTGAAGGCTTCCTTTGTCATGATTTTATCACGAAGCGATTTGGCATCATTTGCTTGCAGGAGCTCAGCTGTCATCGCACAAAGTTTCTCGCATCCGGTACCGATGGTTGAGAATTTTTCAAGCACTCTGGCTTTCGAGCTCATATCGATCCAAGCCATATCTTGCATTTTCAGAACTTTGCTCGAAAGAGAGGAGTTTGACCCTCGTCTATTAGGAGCGGTTGCCGTTCCACTAGGATATGGATCATCTACTCTATAGACGCTCTTCGGCGTCCCCATTGTACGTATGGACGAGGCGTTGGATGATTCGGCCACTTGATGAAAGTAATTCGAATCGTTGTACCCTGCTGCAGAATACTGTCCAGGATGCTGTACAGAATACTGAGCAGATTCTGGCGCCATGTATGGCTGCAAAGACTGATCTGCGCGCAAAGTCTTGTCGAGGACGACCGGCTGCATCGATTCGAAACGGTTCATGCTCAGACTTGGAGGGATTCGCCCGCGGTTGCCGACATCTGGTCCTGGCCCTGTCGATATACTCAGAACTGATTGTCTGGTTTCCACAATCGTGTCTGGAGGAGCATAGTTCTGAACTGGCAAGGACGACAAGTGATCCTCGCGGACGGGTTCCTTCGGCAACTTGTCACTGCCAACCCAAGTCATCCCCAGGGCATGGGCCAGGGAGGGGGCATTCGGTCTAGATTGCATCTCCCAGGTTGAAACTGCCTTTTTCAAGTCTTTGGGTCGTCTCTGGGCCTGAGTTGATGCCGCATACCAATCATCCTGGATCCTATCAGGTCGTCCTGGTTTCTTGCCATAAGCGGCCTGCGCTTGGTTATTGGGGGAAATATTGCCTTCAGTGTGCTGTCCTCTGACCGGATAAGCAGCGTTCACTTGGTCTCTCGCTCCTGTCCTAGTACCACCTCTCTTATAAGTCTGAGAGGCGAGGCTGGGATTAGGAGAACGAGTGCTATCTACTTTCGGTGACTTTGCAGCATACACATGAGCTGCGTCTTTCACAGCGTTTGAATCTGCAAGAACTGTATCCGTGCTGTAGTGTAACGAGAGATCATCTGAAGAGTACCACACATCGTTATTGAAGGTAGTGGTGTCGTATTTCTCCTTCGAATTCTGGCGTGCTTGTGATAAGCCCCCAGGTCTCCCAGTCCCCGCATAAGTCTGATTGCTTGCGAGAGTCTGGACCAATCTGTCCGCGAGATCGATACGCTCCTTTGGATACTCGAAAGTCTTCTGAGTACGTAGTACCCTCGCTCGATTGTCCTGTGGTTTGGCTGGGCCTTGGAAAAAAGGACAAGGCGAATCTCCAGATCCGTCAAGGACAGCTGGGATTTGCGAGTCCTGCTTCAAGCGCTCGAGTTCTGCCTTCGTGCTACCTCTAGTCATTTCGTCCGCTGAACGAGCCTTGTTGGTCGCGTGAGCAGCCGTCATGTTTGGGGTATATGCCTTCAACGTTGTGTTAGTATGAGAGCGCACCAACTTTTTGCAGTTCTTCGAGTTCTTACATATGCACTTAGATCTGGGGTCTCATAATAGTGACCTCCATCTTTTGTTGGAATCAATGGTCGTGACCGTGGGATATTACTTTTGGTGTTCGGTCAGCTTCAAATTACCAGGCATTCAGACTAGATACGTACTCTTTTCGTGTTCCTCCGACCGAGAAATTCTCTCTACTACCCAGTTCGCGAGACCCGTATCCAGTTTCGAGTAGCATTGTTTCTAAGAACGTGGTTTCCATGACTTCCTCACTATTCAAGCTGGGATTCGCGCCGTTGTCAGCTCCTCGCTGGTTGCGCTTGCGCAACTTGCCATGAACCTGCATTTTGAATTGTTTGAAATCTCGACAGCTTCCTGGCTGGAGATCGAGGGCGAGTTAGTTGATCAGCTCGTGTGATATGTTGAAGCGGAAGCAAACAGCTGGCTGTGAGAATGTCACACTGTTCGTAAACTGTCCGTAAACTGTTCGTAAACTGTATTCAGAGCGAAAGATCGGTCTACAGGTCAAAGATCGATCGCGACAGCGATTCAGTGGTGTGAATGGGCGTCACGATCTCCGAATTCGAGAAACAGACCGTGGGGAAGATGTGGTCGTAGGAATCTGTTCTCTCATGTATCCGATCGTAGCTTCAATTTACGACAAGAATGACGATGTATATTCTGTTCGAACAATCGAATGAAACGTTTGAAAGTCGGAAGAATCCAGAAAGATAGTCTCTTTGAGATTGTAAGTTTTCGTAGCAAAGGTGATGGCGGAGGTTTTGTAGGATACGAAGCGCGTGCGATAGCAAGGGTTGCTACTTCACCCCACAGGTGATGGGTCGATGGGAAGGTGAATACATCTTGTTTGTATGCTCTTGTCTATTGTAGCGGTGTCCAAACTCCATGTTGCTCTGGGGATTCAAACGGTGGACTTGCTATGTTCGTTTCGTATGAACAATAGGTCCTGGAGTAAGTATTCTTTGCCAGATGTTACCACTACAATAGTATACCTGGCGCTCCCAGCCATTGTACTAAACCTTGAACCACGTTCAATGATGGTCAGAAAGACAATAATCTCAGTAAGTATTCATCCAAAATGCTCATTGATTCACTGGCGGTGGGAGATGTCCCGTATTGCACTTTGTAAGTGTATAGTGAATTTCAACATCCAACCATCCGCAGCGAGTGGCTCCACATATCCGCCGTTCGATCTTTAAGATAAATCCCGGTCTGCTTTCACCTTCGGATAGGAAGAAATACACGGTCCACGAGAATACGGACGTCTGTGAAACCGGGTCGAGAAAGCTTTCACTTCGCCGTGCCATTCAAAGCCAGGACCTCTGCTTACAACTTTGTGTAAGACGTCTACAAAATGCTATGAAGAAGAAGTCTGAATACAGCAATAACATCGATGTTATATCATTCATTGCGGCCGACTGCTATCATTTAGCAGTTAGAACTTCCAATGTATGGCAAAGAAATGCTATGAACAATCAGGCTGTACGCGTCCGTCCCTTCAGGTTATCATGAAGGCATTAATAGAGCCAGGGCTTTTGAAGCCCTATGTCTGAAGAATAGATCTTCACTTGGCCAAAGTTCTGAACAATGCCTGGAGTTGAGTCAGCGTTGTCGAGTGAGTTTTGGTACCAAGAGCCGGGGACCTTTGGCAGGTACCAAGGTATACCTCACCAATTGTGTAATGCTGGTTGTAGCATAGATATTGTGATTTAGTATTTCAAGAACATAAGAATCAGATCAAAAACGTTGGATGGACGAAATATTAATACCGTTCTACTGGCCATTCACAAATAATTATTTATAAGTTGAAGCATCGTGGTATGTATGTGTGTGTGAATCATGGAATTGACTGATTATGTCGGAGAGTTGAATCTTATGGAAGAAAACATGCGAGTCGTAAGTACCTGGCTGGCCATCTGCCACGAGAGTTGCCTCATCCTCTCTGTTAATTTCGTTGTTTATTTGCCATTTCTCCCAGACTGTACTTGATCAAACCTGAGATTAGTGAAGGCAAGGATCGTGTAATTTGTCGAGGATAACTGGAAATTGTTTTGTAAGTAAAGTCAAATCGTAAGTCTATCAAGATTCAAGTATGGCTCAGGTACAGCTCATATGGGTTAACATCGTCACAAATTGCGGGTATAAATACATATTGCTAGATCGTAATATAGTTATGTTCGATACATAAGTCAATACAAATATCATAAAAGGTCTCTGTAATAATCATCAATGCTACACACTCCGAGGAGCAAAATCCCCACAAATGATATCCCTAGCAATTACACACTTTATGTCCTTATCCACCTACCCAGCTAAACCCGCAGCAAACAAGATATCTAAATGCCCGCTCAATCCCAGAGCAAATTCCCAGTATAAAGTACGCCGATACCCCACTCATGCAAATGTCCATACACATAAACTTTCGACAACCTAATCCATAAGTGCCGAGATATTGACATTCTTGATGCTGCTCTTTTGCTCTCTGTCCCTGCTGACTTGCCAATACGACTCGGTGAAATCTGAAGGCTGCATTTCGCGCAAGAATTCTTCGTCGTGGGTGATGATGATGATTTGGAAGTTGGATTGTTGACGGCGGGCTTTGATCAGTTGATTCAGAGATTGAGCGAGAGCTTTGATGTTGTCTGTATCAAGGTTGGTTGTGGGTTCGTCGAGGGCGATAACCTGGACATAGTCAGTAATCCGCAAAATCTGTCTTTTGAGAGAAACACTCACTCCACAGTTCTGCCCGAAACATTCAGCAAGTGCCAGCCGAATGATGATACAGGCTAAGACTTTTTGTCCAGCACTACATCGACCACGCATATCCATTTCGACCTCCCCCTTGACCATCACAACACGATAATTATACGTACGGTTGGTCTTGACAGTTTCAGCATCTGATCGAATCAGAATACCATCAACGTCTGTTCCCTGATACGTTCGCTGCCATAGATCAGTAGCAATACTATTGATTGCCTCCATCTTCGTGGCATGGTATTGCATGATGGCGGAATCCAGTGCGCTTCCATACTTGCCCAGATCGTCACAAGCTGCCTTTGTGACTTCCAATTTTAGATGTGTCTCTCGATACTTATCAGCAGCGTCCTTGTAATCAATCTCCCATTCTGCAATGTAACGTTGTAACTCTTGGTCTTTAGCAGTCAAGGCTCCCATGATCGGACCTTTCTTGGCTTCTAAAATTGAAAGATTTTGCGTAGCATATTGTAGCTCGGCATGTAGTTGCTCGTGCTCGCCATCGACGTTTTGGGATTCGAGATCGGCAATCTTGTGATGAATGGCTTCTATATCCTTGCGACCTTTACGATATCTCACGTTTTCCTCAATCGTTCGACGCGAGTTTTCGCTGTCATTCGACCGAGCATTTACATCATTGTTCTTCTTCGTGACCACAGCGATTTCTTTTTCGAGACGTTTTTGGTCCTGCTCAATTGCATGAATCGCACGCTCACATGCTGCAAGCTTTCCCGAGCCATTGCTTTCGACATATCTGTTGATGGCTGTTTCGATAGCTCGAAATTTGTTGACTGTATTGGCAACACTGTCCTTGTCCTTCTGAAGCTTGCTGGCCTCATGACGACCACGCCTCTTGACCTCGTCAAGTTGTGCACTAGCCTTTGCGAATTGAGGGGCCAATGATTCTAGCTCCACATCAGCGACTCGGATGGCTTCCCGAAGCTGTGAGGTGCTGTCACGATATTCTTTGACCTCTGCAGCCAGCCGGTTCCTCTTCTCGAGTTGATGTTTGGCGTTGCCAGACTCTTGATTGAGCTGAGAAACTTCTCTATCGAGTGCTGTAATCATGGCCATCGCTTGTTTTTCCTCGCTGACTAGCTTGTCAATTTTTGAATTCAGCTTATTGATTTTCTCTTCGCACTCGTTGCTTTGCTGGTTGATCTCCTCATTGCTGAGGGTGCTACCTGAGTAACTCTGCTGAGATGACAATCTTGCAATGTCAGTCTCATATTTAGAAATCTCATGACAGTAGTTGGTAATGGCAGCAACAGTTTTCGAAAGAGCGTCACCATCTTCCTTAGCTGCTGTCACATCGCGAACAAGACTGTCTTGTTTCTCAGCTTGAGCAACAAGTGTGGCTTTCTCCGATTCAAGTGTTTGTACAGTCTTCTCCAAAGATGGAATTTCCTTGTCTGACAACAATTTGTAATTCTCGTACTGCAAACGAGCACCATTTGCAACTCGGAGGTCCTCTCCTAATTGCTGGACAGCCTCAGTCAACGAGTCTTTGGCGATTCTGGCAAGTTCTTTCTGAATCTTCTCGAGTGCAGAAGCTTTCTCCTTGCTATCCGCGAACGGCCTGGCGCAAAGTCTACAGGCGTTGTTGACATTGATGATTTCTTGACCCTTTTTGTAATAGTCCATCACATAGTCTGCTCCGTCGAGATTCTTCTGTGCTGCCTGACATTGAATCTCCAAATCAGCGAGCTCTGCTGGGTAATCATCGACGCTAGGAAGATCATCTCCATTGGGAAGACATATAGATTCCATGACTTCTTTTTGACATTGTTGCATGGTCAGTTTTTTCTGTCGGAGGCTGTCGCTAGATGTCTTCAACTTGTACTCGATAGATGTGAGCTGCTGATTGAAAGCATCTTGTCGCTTCTTAGCATCTCGGACAGCTTGGACACGATCATCCATGGCAGCCTGAAAGCTGTGCTCCAGCGAATCAGCTTCCCAATCTCCTCCGACGACTGAAGCCAATTGATCATTGTAAGTTGCCTTCATGGTGTCGAGCCGTGTTTGCCGATCCTTGAGCTCCTTCTTGATCACTTGTAATCGGGCTTGCTCGCCTACAACTTTGTTGCTCTCAAACAAGTCATTTCTCAGTCTTGAAGACTCAGCTTGGAGTTCACGTAACAGCTTTGTCTCTTTTCTGATGTTTACGTCCCAAGCAGCATCCGCGTATTTCTTGTTCAGCTGGTCCAGTCGTGCTTTCGACTCGTTGAGCGAAGCTTCCAGCGCAGCGAGTGTTCCTTCATCCACCTTGATATTTCCCGCCTCGTTTTGTTTCAAGTTCATCTTCTTGTCATTACTCGCGATAGTTTGACGTGCAGCGACTTTCTCTTGTGTTTTGGATGTCCTACTAGTCGCAAGACTGGTAAGGACTTCCTGCTTACTTTGAAGTTCTTCGTCGGTCTTTTTGCTAAGAGCATCCAACTCGCGATCCTTGTCTTTGGAAAGCTTCTCGATTCGGCCTACGAAATCCCGAATCTGGTCATCCTCAAGATCTCCATCATATCCTCGTAGGGAATGTTGATGTGCAGCCTCTTTGACGAGCTGCAACCGCGATTCGAGGTTTCTATCAAAGCTTGCCTTTTCAGCCAAGTGCTGTCCCTTTTCAGACTGCTTCTTAGATAGTTGTTCCGTAGCAGCTTTGGCTGCTTCATTGAGCTTTGTGTATTGTGCTCGAAGATCTGCTTCCTCCTTTTTGTACTCAAGCATTCGCTGATCAAAATGAGCAAGCGTCGATTCAAGCCACTCATCGGACTCAGTCATCTCCTTCATATGTTTGCGTAGATTGGCTAGATTTTCTTCCAGGTAACGGGCTTGGGTTCTGCTGGCCTGGAGCTCATTGTAAACGGTGGATGCACTGTGAGCACGGTCCTCTTTATCCTTTTGATCCTGAGCGGCAACTCGAACTTCTTTTTTGAGGTCTTCCAACTGCTTTGTGAGAACCTCAATCTCATCCTGAAGGGCAGTGGACCGCTTGGCGACCTTATCGGCTTTCTCTTTATTGATTCTGCAGTTGTCCTCATGGATCTTTAGCTCACCTATCTCCTTGGTCTGATTCTTTCGTACAGTCTTCAGCTGATCGATCGCCTTTGTATATTTCATAGCCTCGAAGATCTCATCGAACTTCTTCTTCAACGGACCAGGCTCACTCATGGGCCAAAGAGATTCGTCTTGATGACAAAAGATGACAGACTCCAAGATAGCTGGGGAAACTGCAAGATACTTCGGAACGATCTTATCCATTTCCATAACCCGCTTTGAAAGGTTCGTTCGCTCTCCATCTCTGATCATCAGGAAATTACAATCAATCTGCGTCGCAGATCTAGAATTCTTCTTCACAGTGAGCATAAGACTTCGTGTGACGACAAGTTTGGAGTTCTTCGCATCCTTGAATTGCAGTTTGACTTGCGCCAGGACCTCCTTCTCTCCGCATAGCTACCACAAGTGTTAGCGAGACTTTTCACGCAAAGCTGGCTTCGATGTCGTATGTATTATACCTTTGGTTCATGAACGAAAGCTCCGCCTTTGCTATTTGGAGGTAGGATACCGGTGGAGGCATATTTGAGGCATTCGATGATGGTCTAATGGTAGGTTAGCAAAGTGCTACGGTAAGAATAGGCCTACTCACAGTTTTACCAGAGCCATTATCTCCGACAATAAGTGTCAAGGGCGTTTGGAAGTGTATATACTCGCTTCTGGCGTTGTCGAAGGAACGGACTCTGTAGAAGGTTAGAGGTGCAAACGGGCTTTGGAGTCGAATAGGAAGCCATACCCTTGAATCTTGAGTTTTTCTATGGAAGCTAGTGAATGAGAGTCAGTAGTGTCGAGCAGTTTGGTGTCTCTGGCACTGGTATATCTGGAACTTACACCTGTGAAACAAATTAGCATTCCAGCGTTACTAAAGCAGGTGGGGGTATTTACATCTTGTCAGCCTAACAGTTGTCTCGCATGCCGCGATAGAACACTGGCAGATAGCCTAGTCAAAAACAGCAGTAAAACTGTCCAGATAATGGAGTTAAGAAAAAGATATGGCACAAAATGATGTTGAGTATTGGGAAGGAAGAAGGTGGCAGATAAAAGACCGTCCTTAAAGAAAGCGTCCGTCTGGGGAGACGCGAGCTCCCGTGCCATAGCGCGACACTTGACGGGACTTCACGTGCGTTTGCTCAGTGAGCTTTTTGGTTGGTTCACCGTGAATAGTGGGGCTCTGACGGCGGGTTTCGGCGATAACGGGTTCACTAATCGAGGGGACCAGATCACCACAATCTGGAGCGACGACTTCAGAGTTCGCCAGCTTACTTCTATCTCGACATATATCCAACCTCTACAGCACAACCCGCGCGATGTCACCAACAGTAGCAATCGGCTCGTCCGGCGAGTTCAGCAAAATCCTGAGCACCTCATCCATCGTGATTACAGACTGTAAGCTCCCCTTGCCTCCCTCCAAGTACCACAACTGACAGCCCATAAGTCTACGCAGACTGGTGCGGACCATGTAAAACCATATCCCCAGTCTTCGAATCCCTCTCGACGAAATATTCCAAGCCAAACCGCATTACCTTCACCAAAGTCAACGTCGACAACCAACAGGCCATCGCCCAACTATATGGCGTTCGAGCGTACGTATCAAACCTCCTCTCCCCAGGACTGACTGACATGAATCTATCCAGCATGCCCACCTTCCTCATCTTCCGCTCCGGCACCGTAATCCAAACCATCCAAGGCGCCGACCGCGGCGGCCTCACCACCGCGATCGAAAACGCCATCAAGCTCGCCGGGCCCTCCAAACCGACATTCTCCTCCGCCGGCCGCACACTAGGCGGTAGCACACCACGCGCCTCTCTCGCTCGTCCCTTCAACTACCAGCGATACATCGACATCCTAATCTCGTTTTTCGGGCTGTACTTCATCAGCCTGTTTAGTCTGGATGCGTATAAAGCGGCTGAGGAGAGCCCGTTTAATATCTATAATGAGGCGAAGAGTAAAGGGTATACGGCGCCTGGGGGTGCGAGGTTAGGCGAGAAGAGGACGGGGGCGGCGACGCAGATTGGGAAGAAGTTGGGGACGATTGCGGATTTGGGGGGTGATTAGGTTGGTAGGGGATGGGGTTGGCGGTTATTCTTAGGATAGTAATACATGGGTTTAGGACAAGGACGTGGAATATAAATCCGTACCAGATTAGATGGGTTGAAGTGATGATGCGAAGAAGCCTTCATTTTGAATCAAAAGGTATCGTTCGTTAAATCACAACATCCTGCGCCTACAGAGTTGGACCTCTGCAAAACCCTATCCAATCCTTATCGCTTCTCGCAAGAACAGGTGCAATCAAGTTCCTGACATCTCTTTTGCGGAAATCATCAGAGACCGCCCAGCAGAAACAACATCCCCAAATCCTCTCTCCGATCGACGAATTCTGACCCACCTTAAACTTGAAATAAACCTACTCTCGACTCCCTCCAGAAGAAGTCTTGTACCACACACCAGATAGCACGTAACAACTACACCAACCACATAAAATTAGAACGCTGAAATCTGCATCTCTAAGTAAACAAAGGATTTTCTGACCTTGGGTTAACCAGTCCTATCCCCAACTATTCTCATTTTGTAATCTATACTACAACATCGACTCGTCTCTCTCAAGCACAAGATAATGAATTCCAAGTACACGACTCAGCGGTCTAAGATACTTCCACGTAAATTCAGTGATGAAATTATCAAACGACTTATTCATTAATTAACTTGGCATGAAGTGAGTTTTTCAAGACCTCTGTTCGAGCAAATAGTCTGAACTGAATTACTTCCACTCACAAAATTCTACGTTGAGAAATGATTGGTCGTGGGAGAGAGTGAAGTAGCTGAAATCTATCAATAGGCACTTGAAAAGCTATTACCATGGGGTATGGAATGAATTGATGTTGACTTGCTTTACTCCTGGGTGGTGGTATGTCATGATAGCTTCAAGCAGGAATCACAATTCATGGATTGAGAGCTTCCATTTGTGAGGATATAAAGCGTTTCGTGATTTCAAACACTTCGCTCCAAATACCGATGTAGCATGTGACGGAGACTGAACATCTATCTCCCAAAAATCATCCCAAAAAAAAACTCATCCCATACGAACCAAACTCCAGCCTCATCCATATCAATCAATACAGCCCCCACCGCCACATCAAAATCCTATCAAACAAAAACGAATCTCACCCCCGAATTCGCATCACCGCTAAAATTGCATCTCACCCCGCCCTTCCGCCCTCTCCGCATCCCACGCCTCGGCTAATCGCGAGATTGTACGTAGGTCTACTTCCTTGCGCAGGTAAAGTCGTAGACGCGTTTTTGTGATGGGGCAGGAAAGAGGACGCGTGAGATGGATGGGTTACTTGTGGATTTAATCGCCTGGATGGTGATGTTTTGGTGTGTTAATGTTGGAGGAGGGGTTGATGAGCCACGATAGTTGTATACTATATGTTGTATATGGGAAGTACACTCGTACTTTTATAGCTGGATGCAGATGACGCAAAAGAAAGGGATGTAAGCGGTAAACCAAAAAGAGTCGTAAATCCATACATTCTTCCATCATCGCAACTCTTCTAAAAGCCGAGTATGCTCAACTTCCAAAGTGACAGTTGTTGGTAAAGAGACGACCCCACCAATCAAGAGTTCCAATTGGCCACGCCCCTCACCAGCCTAGGAAGAGGAAAGATCGTGATCACGTGTCCAGCTAATGCAGGAACGATCGTGTAGTTTTCCCCTCACCAGTTCTTGTTGAGTTGTGGGTTTTGAAGGAAAGGACAGAATAAAACCATATAACATATTTGAAGGAGTGTGATTCTTGTGTCACTTGACAACACTTGTAGGATATCAACATCCAGGAGGAGTGAGTATACGCGTTCTTGTCTCTGAATGTCGAACACGAAGCGGATGCGGGCTTATCACTCGATACACCAGTCCTTCTTGCAGCGTGGCTGCAGTGAGCTTATTTCCTCGTCGCACAAGAGATACGGAGATGAAACTCCAGCAATTGCCACCGTTGATACACCTACAGATTGTTGAACGAGGTGCATACCTCGATATCTATAGTCAATTCCTCGCTCTGATCCCATTGATGGGGAAGACATCTCGCTAAATTGAAAAGGAGGAGGGTTGAGTGCCAAGAATACGAATTCGCACCACCCTTTTCCTTGTCGACGCCGCTTTTCACGCTGCAGCTGCATGCAGAAATCGACGAGGATTTGGGTAGAATTTGGAGATAAGAATAATAAAAGATTGTTTTATAGTTTCTCGCATGCAAACGTTCGCCAGCTTCCAGCTTGCCTTGATTTCGAAGCGCACAAAAATGCCGGTGATCCCGGGTTAGTATACTCTTTGCAAATTGCCGTCCCGTCATGAGGGAAAAGCTTTCAATGTAATTCCCACCACGGCAAGTGGAGACGCGCAATCTAAATCTCCCCAGAGCAACTTGGGCAAGCTTGGATCTACACCAGGAACCCCCGATGTACGGTCCGGTGGGCTTGAAACGATCCGATGATGGACTGAACCGCACCGCCAACGCCACTACCGAAGCGGCTCATGAGTTGGTTTTCGCTGGTGATTTTGGTGTCCATCTGAATCTCGGTTGAGTGATGCTCACAATCTCCCACGTTTTGATGACGAATTGATCTTCGGTATTTGAGCCTTTTCATCTGGGGAAATAGGGACAATGACTTTTGAAACAGATGTGTGATACGAGTACATCCCGCGTCGGAGACGGGAGATTCTGCGGGATAACGGATGATCGATAAAGTGATTTTGAAAGATTAGTTAGTGCGTGCAAAGTACCTTCGGAATAGCTTCTCTTCAGCTGATGTTGTTTTGGTGAGATCATTATGAGGTGCTCTGACATGAGAAAAAATTCAACCATGTCCTTGTTCATTTCACTGGATACGGAGTTTGGTGTTGTACTAGCGCTCTCTCTCTCGCATTCTTTGCTGAAGCGGGGAGCAATGGGATGGGCTCTTTGACAGTTTCCACTTACGTGCATCATATGTATGACTTCCATGACGTTGACTGGATAGTGTCAGAAGCAAGTTGAGTACAGCTCGTGAAACCATGTGGTGGTATGATTCTGGCCTTGTGAGGTCGTGTGGCAAGAGGTATTGTGAAGCCATTGATGTGGTGGGTGGTTGTTGTAAATGGTGAAAGACTCGTATCGAGACAACCACTTCGTATGCGCGCTCGCAAGCCTATCAGAAGCGGGGTGTACTTTCCCAGGATGCTATTCTGGTCGGCGCTTCGGTCTTGCACTTGCACTTGCACTTGCAACCACGTTCTTTTCAAGTGTCAACGGTTTGCCGGCGCTTCCTTTGGGTCGCTGTTTGGGTTCGACCCGGACGTCTTGACGAATCCGCACTCTCCCATCCTCCCAATCGTGTTGATGGCACAATAATGATCAAGGCAGGAAAGCTGAATGTTGTTGTTCGTGCATGGCACATGCTCTTATCGATATGATTTATCTGGTGTTCGTAATTCGTATTGAGTCGACATTGACCATGGACGAGCATGCGTGGAGATACCGGCCGCATATGGTCTGGTCTGATCTAGGTACTCGATTGTATCGCTGCATGCAAATAGCGCGATGAATAATAAGCAGCGACCTGAAGAATGAGAAACCTTATCGAATCAGTCAACTTGTTGAGGTACAACGCACGAGTACAGAAACAAGCTGAATGGTGTAAGACATGGGAAGATGGATGTCCCTATGTATTTTCCTGGTGCTTGTCATCGGACGGCAAAGGAACTCGTTGCAGACCAGCGAAGCAGGCGTCGGTGATCAACAAGAGAAGATGCGCCGGAATGTTAGAACACGATGCTGCCCTACCGTCGCCGGCGCTGGTGAGATGAGAGATGTTGTAATCAAGGAAATGCTGCATTAATCCATCGTGCTATTGCATTTGTTCAACCTTGCCAGACTTGCGCTTTTGTGTGCATTTTGGTAAATTTGATCGAGTCTGATTCTTTGCAGAAACACCATCAAAGGGGTAAAGCGGTGTCCTAGCTCCAGCTCTGCCAATCTGCTTTTGCAGTCTAGCGACCATTAGTGCCTACACCAGCCCGAAAGCGTCATCGTGTGCGCTAAGCAGGGCACTGTCTGGCCTAATTCTGCCCGGCTCCTATCGCTCACGGCCGCTAAAGGCAAACCCCAAGCCCAAGCTTCCTGCTCCCAGCAAGACAAATAATTTTCTGGTCTCCACTCCTCGACGCCGCTTCATCCTCTTCCCTACGCCCTCACTCACTCTTGCTCGTTCGTTCTTGTCCACGCCTCTTTCTCAATCCACGCCAGATCAATATCGTCTTCTTGTTCCCCGTATTTCTGCATCTGCATCTTCAATCCCACCTCTGCGACCACACCCACCCACCCACGGCCAGTCAACAACACAATCAAGGTCATCGTCGACGTGGGACCAGCACCTTCTTTTCACTTCCCTTCTTCCATCCATCGACACCACCACCACTCCATCCTTCTCGTACTTGGCGAGTCCGGTCAATCCGTCAGCATCATCGCGGCTTGACGACTTGACATGGAGGCTTTCGTTTTAATTCTATGATCGCAGTTGTTTTCACCCTACGAGCCGTTGTTGATTCGATGGGATACCGCCATTGATCCGTTGCAACCACATTCCTCGACATATTTTCCTCCAGTCGATCGTTATCTGCTCCTTCTGAGATACGTCTTTCCTTCCAACGAGCCTTGAGCTCTCACACTCCGCAATTCTTTCGACCACTTCGTTACCTCTTCAAAAATGTTCTCTCTACGTCGCTGGTCAAGCCCGATAGCACTTTTCGCCGGGCTGACTCTGATCACAAGTGCGTCGGCCTACACCCAACAGATCTGTTCTGGACTCAATACCGCCAGCACAAATAAGAGTATGTGATATCCCGATCCGTCTATATCGATGCTTGCTGATGTCTCCTTAGATTCCAGTATATACCAGTCGGGCGGTCTTTGCCACGATTTCTGTATCGACTCGTATGCCTTTGCAGTGGTTCAATATGATGGATGCTGGTGCTCCAACTACGCTCCTAGCGTTACAGCAGATGGGTGCAATACACAGTGCCCAGGATATCCCTCAGAACTGTGCGGTGGAAATAATCTATTCGGATATATAGCGTTGGCGTTGGCTCCCTCTGGTACAAGAGGTCCTCCCCAATCCGCCGCTGCATCCACGAGTTCTCGTCCGGTTAGTGTAACCTCTGTTCCTCCTACAGTATGTTCTTTTTCTTTTATCTTTCATTCTGATCACGGATCTTCTATCATTGCCGTCGTTTCCGTTGCCATTGAAGGCAATCGTTTTGACTTGCATAACAGATGACCGTGACGGCTACTCCTGACGCTGTGACTATTATTTCTACTGTTACGCCCGATATTCCTACTCCTTCTCCTTCCGAGACCTCGACATCTTCTGTATGATATTTCCCTTTCTGCGACTATATGGACGATGGCCGATAAATTGGAAGTGGCCCTCAAGTTATCATGCTAACATTTAGTCTAGACAACACCATCGGCAACTTCTACTACATCAACAACAACAACACCAACCACGACCAGCACCCCCTCAACCTCTTCCAGTACTAGCGATGTCGAAACTTCCTCGACCTGGACGCCAACGCCGGTCACCTCTCTTGAAACAATTACAGGTTCAGTCCGAACTGTAACCGTTACCCCGACCGTTCCTCCGAACTCTCAGAATCTTAACAGTGTGTCCAAGAACAGTGGAGGCGGAGGGGGCCTGAGCACAGGAGGTGCAGTCGGGCTTACCATCGGATTGGTGGTATTGATTGCTACCATTGCTTTAATGGCATGGTATTATATGCGAAAGAGGAAGCAAGAGAAGGAAGATGCCTTTGCGAACTTGAGTCGGGCAAACAGTGTTACCGGCCAATTGGGAAGCGCTGGAGGCGGTGTACCTTCGCGGACGATGAGTGAAAATTCCAGATACGTCCTAAACACGAATGGTCGCCAGGTGGTCGAAGCCTGGGAACCAGAGACGGGAGGAAGACAGAATCGTCTAGTACCCGTCGATCCACGATTAGATCCATTTGCCCCATTATACCAAAGGGACAACAAAAGCAGAGACAGTATTAATACTTTACGGGATGACCAAGATTATTCGAGACGAGTACAGCAGCCTCGACCAGTGCTGCGTGTCAACAATCCGGATACCGAATGATCCAGGATGATCATGGTTAATTCTTTTCTTTTCTACGCACACGAACTTTACGACATATTTCTCCTTGAATCGAAGCATACAGGATTTGCGTGTCAAGTCGATTTTGGCTGGCACAGGCGTTTAGAGCGGGTGGGTAACTGGTCAGACCGTCCGGTGATGAGTCTTCTATCTCGACATGGAAGAATTCTATGTTGCATGGACGGCACTTGGTTGACTCACATAGGTGGTCGAACATATCACATGATTGCTTTGCTGTTAGTGTGGAGTGTCTTGTCTCTGTTTGTATTTATAGATTGTGGGTGCAAGCATACGCGGGGAGGAGTGACATTTGGATCTTGAGGAAAGGGCATGGGAATTAATGTCTTCAGGGTCAGATGGCGGCCAAAACTAGGTAGTTGTCGGTGATGGCGGGCTTTCGATAGCAGGATGGTGGTCTGTACATACGAGGGGATGGGGATGATGAGAGTACATTATTTGCATCGAGACAAGGGTCACCTTGCTTGATCGGATCCAGCGATTGGAATGAACATATTGTTTAAAGAATAATACCGCCCTACGTTAACCTGAAGTCTTATCTACAACTTATCTTTTCTCTCTCTCTGTCAGACGCAAAAATGCGTACTAATGACTTCCGAATGTTTTGTTGATATACATGTAATTATGTGTGCAGTGGTAACATTGGCAGGCATTATTTGTTGCTCCATATCTCTTCTACGATATTGATCGCAGATAGTCCAGATGTTCACGGCCTTTCCGTTTAGTTAGTACCACGTAGCCACAGCAAGCTTATTCCTTTTCTTCATGTGAAATTCAAATTCTACTAAACACCAGTGTTTGCCCGGGGATGTTTGAGATATATTTGTCTCATGCGTAAGAGCGGATGTTGGATCGGAGACGGTTGGAGGTACTATTTTATTTGGGGGGGTGGCTGTGGATCTGGGTTAGAAAGCTGGAGTGGGATTGCAGAAGACTGGATGTACGATGGGGAAGTAAGTGGGTTATGAATTTCACTGCCGTGACGAGTGATGGATTTTTATAGGTTTAAGCAGGACCCTAAAAGCTATTATACTCCTGTTTTTCTTTTTCGGTCTCGAGATGTGGGATGCTTAAACGCTCGCTGACTTGGCTTTCCGGGGTGATCTTGATGCCCTAAAGATGTTCGGACCTTCAGTACTACCTTATTTTTTGGGAGATGTTCGTTCCCCCGGTTTAGCTGAGGGCGATTGTGAGAATGTGATGTGCTAACATTTCGTTCCTCAGGTTTGCCGGGTGGGGTTATGGCTGTGGTTAGAAAGTGCGATGTGCAACAAACAGAATCCAGTAACATTTTGTTCCTCAGGTTTGGGGGGTTATGGCTGTGGTTAGAAAGTGCGATGTGCAACAAAACTTTCTGGCGGATTTTGGCGACTCGGGGTTTTGGAGAGTCGAGATTTTGGTTGTAGTTGAATGGGTAGATGTGGAGGCCTTGATGGGGGAAGACTTGTGGATGGGTATGTAGGGGGTCAAGGGGATTTCGATGAGTACAGTATGGGTAGAGGATGGGTATATGATGGTACGGAAAATGCGATGTGCAACAAAACTTATAGATAGTCATGTTTTGGTGATAATGGATTTGGGACTTTACCTGGAAATATAGAGGTATTGGTATGATCAGGTTTCGCAGATGATTTTTGAGGCTTCGGTGGAGGTTGTTGGGATGTGAGGTGTAGCAAGTGTTGATGTGACGATTCGAGGCTTTGATTGTATATATTGTGGTATGGAGTCATTAATGTAGTAGTACCTAAATGGAATAGTCTAGTAACTAAATGGCTATAGGATAGATACTCGAGGGATACTCCATGGGTACTTAAATTGCGATATACAACGAAATCTAGCAGGTCGATTATCTGACACCGTCTAACCTACGATATTCACGAAACTCATGCGGCAATTCCACGTCCTATTCTACTCGCTTACCCATACCTGATTATAAAAGCTCTTACTTAAAATAAGTATCTACCTATTCCCTGCCCAGTTGCTGTCCACTATTACAATGCGATGTAGACGAAATCTATGACAGTTCGACCAGAGCTCTTGTCTGGCTTGTAGTAGTGATCAGAAAGAAATGCGACGTGCAATGAATAATGATTTTTGTCTACCCAAAACTTCATCTATAAATGCAATGCTTAGGTGTAAGTATGAAGTAGTTCTTATAGTGCATGGATGTGAGGACGTATGGGTACGCAATGGGTACGTAATGGGTACCCAGATTGCGATGTGCAACAAAAAGAATGGGGAGGGACTTTGATGTTTGGATAGTGTATAATCTTGAAGTGACGATGTAAAGGCTTCTCAAGTAGTCAGTCTTTAATAACGACTTTCACCTCTATCACCGGTACTCAACTTATCGTGGAAGTTTAGACGTTTGAAGTCTAATATTTATCTACCTACCTGAGCTGTGATGGCACGGGGACCCGCCGGCGACTTGATGGGTACACTATGGGTACGCAAGATGCGATGTGCAACAAATTCTGTTAGAGGATGAGAATTGGTACTTGGACGCTTTCCAGCTATATAGTTTTGTTTTAAGCTAATAATATCACGTATTCAAGTTGCAAATACTTAAAGTCACAAGCCCACCCAATTCGTTGCGGACGGCTCACGAAGGCAAAATAAGCCTTCTAATTCTGATATGGCGACTCGTAGGCGATTATCAGAGTGCGATATGCAACAAAGACAATGAGAGTTCAAATATCGGGAAGTTCTCGACATGGAAGGCGTCCAACCATGGAGTTGCGAAATGCAATAAAACTTACTACAAGGCGGCCAAGTCATTACCACTCAACTTGACACTTCTTCTATACTTTACTAGCTGTAAAAGCTGGTAAAAAGCTATCTACGTAGGACAGCTAGCGACTTAATGGGTACTCAAAATTGCGACGTGCAACATAAGTTATCTAGGTGTCAAATTTTGAATTCTTATCCATCTAACCCGACACCTCACTATTTCTACCGAATAATCGTGGAAGCTTTTATGTTTAATGTAACAAGACTTTAAGCTAGATAGTGTCTGGCAAGTGACGACACGCTAACAAATCAATATGAATTTGTATGATGGAATAAGCAAATGTGAGACGGATCTTAGTCATCTACTCTCTTGAAACGTCTATCTCTTGTATTTACAAGTATAGCTATAAGCAACATAAATGCGCAGTTTCTCAAGCAGAATAGATACATTCGAAATATCGTTACCATTTCAGTCCATGTTACCCCCTACGACATAAACCAAAACACACCTCAGTTTTCAGGGCGTAGGGGAGAAGACTTGGGATCTGTACGGGATAGTTAACATAAGAACTCGATCTTTTGATTCCATGTCCCTTTGACTGTACTCTCAATAATTGCTATAAAACCAAATTCTCGGCCCGCGGACCTGAGTATTCAGATTTATTTAAATCGTAAATATATTTATTGCTCAAGACTTGGAACCCTACCAAGACAACGCTTTAAAACAGAAATCAAACATCCCACTAACACATCAACAACATTTCTTCTGCTACGCCCTACCATACCACTTCTTTCCCCTATCCCCTTTATCACGCATCAAAACCACGAACCCAAACATCACGCCACGCGGCCCCTTCTTCGTGTGTGATTTCCTTGGCTGCGACGACATCAGTAGTTTTGTTAAACGCTGTGTTGTTGTTGACGGCGGAGAAGGCGGATATAGTGGAGAGGAGAGTTAAGAGAGTTGTGAGGTTGGAGAGGTGCATTTTCTAATGTGTGTGATGGGTTCCTGTGGGAGGGATTGGGAGATTGACGAGTCGAGAATGTCCTTAGAATTTGAAATTTGTCGTTCTTGAAACTGAGGCTCATAAGGTACTGGACGGTGGTGTAATAAGGATTGTGTTGAAGTTGGGAGTGTATATTATTGTAATGTTTGTTGGAAAATTGAGGACGGAAAGAAATTTTCGAAAAGTTTAGGGCAGTATACATTCACCACCTCTTGAACATTCACTTTTGCTTTCCAGTCTTCGTCTCTTGTTTCTTTCACTCTCAAATTTCTATCAAATTCATACTCCCAAATTATAGTTGGCCTTGTCGATAGCGACACAACAACACAATTGTCATTAACAGCTTATTTTGTTCGAATCCTCTAGGTTTCAATGCGACAGTGACTACTACATACGACGAATCTTACTTGTTCTCAACGGTCATCCCATCTGAGCCTTAAATCCCCTCGAATAAGAAGTATCCCCTCATTAGGGTTAAGAAAATCGACGCGAAATACAGCAAAACTCTCCATCCACCAACACTATTGTTATCATCTCAGCTGCGAGAAATTCACTCTTGAGGTATCAGATAGTACCTCAATCAGAATAAACGTACAGTTGCGATATGCAACAAAACTTCTTTGGTTTTTTAACTACATTTAATATTGTTGTCATCCCCACTATGCACCTGACTTATTTTGAGTCCGTAAAGCTCATAGTCGGCTTGAGACATTAGCTGCGATATGCAACAAACCTCTCTCGTTTTCTCGACATCTTGATTTGTCAATATTACGCATGTCGTCTGATAAACTCCCAAATTCACGTCATTCCTTAGACAGTACTTCAATCATTCTAAATTTTCAAGTGCGACATGCAACAAAATCCTTGAATTTATTTACCGGATTATTCTTATCCCATCTACTCCTGTCCTCAGATATCACCTCATTTGACTTGACAGAACGAAGCGACATGCAACAAAACTCTTTTGATTCATTCGCACTATTCTTATTATCCCATCTAGACTCTAAGATATCTCAATCCTTTGACCTTTATTGAGAGAATGATGCGACATGCAACAAAAGACCTCGTGTCCCTAGACATCGATATTCAAGTATTTTTCTCGTCCTATAGGCGTTAAATCCTCTCGAATTCTTGAACAGTGTCCTACTTCGAACAAATGTCCAAGTGCGATGTGCAACAAAAATCCTCGCGGTGTTTTTGTCGTCCCATCTAGTTACTAAGAGTATCTCGAGTCTTGAAATAGTGTAAATGTCCTAGTGCGATATGCAACAAAACTTTATTGTGCTTTAAGAATAGTATAATAGACTAAACCACAAATAATATGATGAGTGAATGCCATTATGATAGTGAGAAATATTCAACAATAGAGGTAGGCTAGTATCGATAGTACTATTATGGTCTCATCTAGACACTAAAGGCTACTTAGAATTGTGAAAACCCATCTCATTTGGCTTGAGAGAATAACTGCGAAATGCAACAAAACAACCTCTACGAAGAAGCAATTATTTTCCCGATGAATGATACTACTGTAGAGTGAACATAGAATAGTCAGTGCTGGTTTCATCCCATCTATACACTAACCCCACTTGCATTGTAAATTATTAATCTAGTCGACATAAGAGAACCATGCGATACAGTGAGCTTCGATTTCAGTGTCCGCATAGCACACTCTCTAAGTTTTATGTGCGCCACATTCTATTGGCGCTAGGCCAAATAAAGTTAGCGTTGACTCCTGTCAATACTGTAGCCTTAGGCTAATGAGCCACCACTATGGCTACAATGGTTTGAGGCTTTATTCTAACAAGGGGTTCCTTATTAACGACAATTAGCACAAGAACGTATAGCATGTTCTCGATCCCTTTATTATCACGCACTCTTTATAAAAAGCATATACATTGCCTAGCCCAGAAATACTTAAACTGCTCAATTAGACGATTGTATTTATATGTCCGCCCTTAAGAATATTGCTTGCGATATCGTTATTTTTAAGAGGGTAAATATATGCTAGCTTTAGATTTATACTTAAATCGATTTATAGTAGTATTATCCTATTCTCTATAGTAGCCTATTATATCTCCCTTAACTTCCAACCTCTAAGATCCTATACGCCACCTAGATAATGTTGCAGAAGAAGACATAGTATTAGGATGATTAACACCTAATACTTGACTGCGCAATATTACACATTCCTCTAAGAGCTTAATAGCTTCTTCTGATCGGCCAAGGTGATTCCATGTCGAGGCCAGGTTCGCCATGCTAG